GTAGTGAAACGCTTATGCAGAGAAGCCATAGAAGGCGAGCAGGAAGATGCTGCGAGGAGGGCAGACATGTACTTGGAAGATGAGCCGGAGTTCAGTGCCGCTGCAGGATGGGCAGCACGATGGGGGAGCCTGCGATCAGAAGAGTGAAGAATACAGGTATGGATGCGTTTGATTAGGAGTCCGATTGACGGCTCAGCGCAGCTACTCGGCCAGCTGCATCTGATAGAATCAGAAGATTAAGTATAGAGATGAAGCATGACTGCCGAAGCGACCCTGGGAGCATAGGTGCGAGTCCAGCGCAGCGCGGCATACTCAGCCGGGCTGCGTCCATTAGAAGCAGGATAAGCTTCTGAGAGAGTGGGTAGCAGCAGTAGCAGTAGCAGCAGTAGCAGTATGAAGCAGCAGCAGTAGCAGTATGAAGCAGCAGCAGCATCCGTAGATAATAACAGCAATAATCCTGTATCAAAGCCACAGCAGTAGAATATTGTTGTAGCTGTTTAGTGTTTCAGTAGAAGGATGCGAAGTGAAGAGAGGTGTCAAAGTAAAAGAAGCAGTAGCAGTATGAAGCAGCAGCAATAGCAGCAGTAGCGGCAGCAGTAGCAGCAGTAGCGGTAGCAGTATGACGCAGCAGAAGCAGCATTAGCAGGAGCAGTAGCACCACAATGCGATTCATACGAACAACAGACGTGTCACGCCAGCGTGCGCCGCTTGTCTCCGTGAGCCAGGTTACATACGTGTCTGAAAGAGCCGAGCCGTAGAGACAGGTGCAGCCTGGGAGCCCGCGGAGCGGCAGCGGCAGGAACAGCAGCAGCGGCACATGTAGTAGCAGGAGCAGCAGGAGCAGGCAGCAGGGACAGGCAGCAGCAGGAGCGGCAGCAGGAACGGGCAGCAGCGGGAACAGGCAGCAGCGGGAACAGGCAGCAGCGGGATCAGGCATCAGTAGGAACGGCAGCAGGGACCGCAGCAGCGGCGGTCAGAGAACCATGCCCATGGTTGTTTAAGCGCCTGAGGAAATAAATCAACCCGAATCCGAAACATTCCCATGCGAATAACAGATGTCCCCTGGAGCCATCTGCTGCTTTGGTTATGAACGATCACTTTTCCATGCGTTCATTAGCTCCAACTCCACTTCAAAACCATTGCAGATTCACATTGGGCCCTTTTTCTTTCTGCTGCACTTTCAAAGTGCAACAACTGCAGTTTAGTTACCCAATTTAATACTAGTGACCTAGCTATTTAAATGCATGGCCCCTCCTTCCTCCTGCAGATAGACGAATTTAAATGCATTCATTTAACAATAGTGACCTGCGAGTAATGAGATTAATGCTGTAAAGATGGCGCCGTGGCAAGAGTTCTGGTGTGTGCCGTCTGGAGCACGATGGGTAGTCTTTGCACATTTTTTCCAACGTGGTTTTACTGCAAGTGGCAGAACATGAATCTGAATTAATGCACATTGCTCCTCTTATATCCCTCAGACAATAGAGATTGATGCCATTTAAGATGCATTGCCCCTCAGTTAGCTCAAACACGTGTGAAAACGGAGCCTGCAGACCAAGCACGGGGCGAAAACTGACGCCTGCAGTCAAGTGCGCAGGGCAAAAACCAGCCGCCTGCAGCCTAGACTCCGGGATTAATCCGTCCGCGGTCGGCACACTCATGCCAGGAGACTTGGGAAAAGCAACGGGACAACGCGGCACCGCCAGACCGTCTGCGCGCGGCAGCAGACCACGAGGAACGAGCAGCACAGAACCCGCGGAGGGCCCCGCGGAGCAGCCCGCAGAAAGAGTCCGCAGAGGAGGAGAGCAGTGGAGGAGAGCAGTGGAGGAGAGCAGTGGAGACACGCGAACCACAGCAGGTGCAGGGACGCGGAGGAGGAGCAGACCACAAGCAGCCAGACTGAGGACAGCCGGGCCACGCGCACGAGCAACACGTGAGCAGAAGCGACCCCTCCAGAACAACGCATGCATTTGCGAACAGGTGCGTTAGCAACATGCACCTTGCAGGCTTCAGAAGTTTGCAGACTTCAGAAGGCCGGGAAGTGGGCGTCTCCGGCTTTTAACTTGCTGTCCTGGTGGTTATTGGTGGATTGGATGTGGGCGTTTTGCTGGTGTAAAGAGTAGAGGATGAGCAGGCTTGTAGCAGCGGCCGGGTCTACCACAGTGAACTTTCGCGAAGAGCTTCATTATAATCGATATATTTTGAATATAAATGAATCAATACTAATACAGTATCGTGCACAGTATACATACAGCATCCATAGTACAAATGTGTGTGTGGTGAACAATTCAAAGTATACATAAAATACAAAATATCTTTTTGTACTCAAGGCAATATAGGATATTAATATATTTCTGTGTCCTCAATCTAGTTGAGTGAAATATCAATGCAGTGAAAGAAAAGCATTTGAGAGATGTAGACTGTAAAGTTCACATCGTATTTGCAGCCAGATAGACGAGCTGATTTCAAATAAGGTATTTCAGGCGAGGTAAAACAAGTTAAACTGTCTCCGTAGGGCAAAGACCATAGATGAGATTTAAATAAATACTATAATAGTCTCATGTTCATGTTTATTTCAAGTGAGACATCTATGTTTGACCGCTCTTCTCACTGCTTCGCTTTATCACTTATCAAGCCACCTTCTTGAAGAGCACCGTACCAGTATTGATTCGGTGCGCTCACACACACTTCTCTAGAAATCCACCAATAATATGTATTACTTGGTTTCAGGGCAGGGAACAAATACCAAATGGTTTTTGTTTTTGTTTTTTGTATTACAATCTTCACAATAGAGTATGCATTTCTAGTAGGAGGCCCCAAGACATTTGATCATCTTTCATGGGGGCCTCGGTGATGAAGACTTTGGGAACGGTTGGTGTGACGAATGTAACTCATCTTCACATGTAGTTACACAAAACTGCTCTTGATATTGTACATATAAGTGCTGATGTGCTAGATCTTGCTAGCCAAAAAATAAAATATTCTGGGCTGATTTTGAGATGGTAAAAAATGCAGAAACAGCAGAAGGAAATGACTGTTATTCTTTAGTGGAAAATACTGTTACATAGCTATAGTAACTATAATGTTACATAAAGTTCCATAAATGTGTGTGAAAGCAAACGCAAAATGGATGAAAATGAGTTATCTTTTATCAACAAAACGACTGTCCAAGGTTCTTCAAAGTTTATGAACATGAGAATCATTGGTGATTTGTTTAATATTTTTGAATTGTGGAGATCCAAAAGATCCAACGCCAGGCTGACCGTGGTGTTGGCTGTGGTTATAGCCTGCATAGGAATGTCTGGAGATAAAAAATATTTATAGTTGTTTTCATCTGAACCTGTTATTTATGGCTCTGAGTGCAAAGAAATGCGACCAAATAGAAAGATAAATGATGTCCGTTTTTTCTTCAAGGTTACAATGCAGCACATTAAGCAGTGAAGATTTCCCACATTAAAATGACAAGGTCCCAGGGCTTGTTCTTGTGTGCCCTATAGTCTCTCATTCACATTTCACAAGGTTTTATTTTAACTTGAAATGTGGTTCATTGGCAATTTGTGATATAAATGAATTAGATTATAATTGAATGTTTGATAATTGATATCGTTTTGACATGATACTACTTAGCTACTGTATTTCCTTTCTTTAGTAGGTCATGAAAATCTTTAGTTTTAATTCATCTCTAGATATCAACAAGCACAGGTGATCTGTGTTGAACCTATATCACGGTTTCTTACCAAAAATATTCATGTTGTGCGTTCCGTCTCTCTCCACTTTGCTGCAGTCCAATATCTGCGATGTGATTCACTGTGGTCCATCTGTCCACACGCTGCTGCCAAAATAACACGTTGCTAGTGTTTCGTTTTACTTGTTTTTCGGGTGCTCTGTCCACATGACTGGCATTTGGTTGATTTGAGCTTTTCGATTGTCACCAAGACTTCTGAGTGTGGTCTGCTGTCTTCTAATCCTTTTTCTTTTTGAGTCTGTGGTCACTCACTGAGCATATCTTCACTAATATATTTTGTTCTTATCATTAGGCACAAATGATGGGGAAAGATATACAGGGTCCCTACGCCTCTAATACAGGCTAACTTGTTTATATGCCCACAAACAGAAACTCATTTTCATCTTATATCCTACGCCTGGTTCCTGGGCACTCCACAGCAGCTGCAGTCCCAGTGGAGCCAGTGTTTCCTCTCTATGAGCATGCGATGTATTCACTATTCATGAGCATTCATGTCAAATTTGATGTTGTTTTATTCCATTATCTGTGGTTGTATGTGTGGTGTGTCTCTCTATGACCAATGCAGCGATGCAGAGATTAACCAAACCAGCCTTAATCTCTAATTTGGGTATTAATTAGTTTGTGTGTTACTCGACAAAGCCTTGTGATTTCCCATGATGCCTGGTAGTACATGGGCGCGAGGTGTAGTACGGTGGAGCTTTTATGAGGAGCCAATAGGTTCATTAGCGTTTCAGAGCAAACAATGAGAGTGTTTGTTTATTAAGCATTTTACCTGCTTTTCTCTATGTTGAAATTGTTGAACATTATTTCTGAATGCACAGACTGCACATTCTTTACGTAGGGTTCTTTTTCCTTCATGTGTTCAACAAGTTATTACAAAGTATGGGAGATACAACAACAACATAAGATAACAATATTGCCTATAATATGTTTATAACCAATATGCACAATAAAATCTAGTGGAGAACATGCAAACTCCACACAGAGGGACCTTGTCTGGAGGTGCAATCCAACACAGGACTATAACTATAACTATATAACTATAACTATAACTATGACTATAACTAACTATATCACATCTATTAAGCTTTCTTAGTCGTAGATAAAGTTGTATGTTGGAGCATTAGCTGCATCTGTTTACTTTTAATCCAAAATGCTCCATCTTCATCTGCATGGTCCTCCTCATTAAATCACATGGTCTCCTCAGTATCCTGCCTTAGATTTAACAATGTTTCTGTTGTTTCTCTTCTCTCCTCAGTGCACCCCCATCGAGGGTCATGGCTTTGTGTTGGACAAGTACAAGTGCCAATGTCGCAGTGGGTTCTTCCATCCCAGTCGAGTGCCTCTCAGTGGATACAAAAGTAGGTTACAAATCCCCCTGTGAGCCACAAATACAGAGTGCAGTCTACTGTCAGAAAACAAAGTTTGAATTTTTCAAAAGCTTGCTGCAGAGATTTAGGAAAGCAACTTGTAGTTATTCCCTAAAGACAGTCTTTTGTTTCAAGGGGATGTTGAGATACTAAAAAATGTTTTCAGATGGGTTTCTTAAACCTAAACAGTTTCTACTTACATCTTTGACAATACCTCATAAAAGAATGCATTTTTGAATTAGTATTCAGGAATTTTTGTGACTTCACTTATTTCTCAGGTACTTTTTATTGAAGTATAGTATAAGTAGAATATAAATTACATTTACTTTTTTCATGATCACAGTCACAATATTGATCTCATGTACTAAAGCATCCAAGCAGCCCGAGATACGGCCCGGGGTCGGTGCTAATGCTAATATGAACATTATATATATTTTAGTTGTTTATTTGAGAGGGACAATATAAATGCATCAGTTTTATAAAACACTTTTTTTGTTTTATGACCACTCCATCCTCGGGGGTCATAAAACATTTGTATGTGTTATTACTGAATGCCCTTAGGGATGTTGATGGGAATAGGTTTAATTTAAAGAAGACATGAGAGGAACGTGAACACTCAAGCTCTTCTAACAATGCTAAAATACAAATAAAAAACAAACAAGCAAACAGTTTGTTAGATCATAAATAATTTTAGCTTTAGTCTTTGCCTCTCCTCAGGCTTCTCACTTCACAAAAATGATATTTCAGCCCTGACTGCTCCAATATGGCCGCCGAGAGGGAAATGGGACTCTGCTTTATTGTAGTGGGATGCAGTGAAGCCAGAAGCAAAAGATGTCATTCTGTAAAGAGGATCAAAACAATTTACCTTCGTTTCCATAGCAACGAACCAAAAGTACAGAAATGTCAAGAGAGCAAGAGGCTGAAATAACAAAGGCCTCTGGGAATGCGAACATCTATATGGTTTACAATTGACTATTTTATGATTTATTTATCACATTCATCCTACTTTGCTGGAGTATAGATTGTATAAGAGCTGTTTAGAGGATTTATAAATGTCACCACTTTGTCATGTGATCTGTGTGGCTGTAAAGTCTGAACCATACTGTATCTGCGTTACTAGTCTGTTTTCTCTGTCACGTTGCAAAGAGGAAGATTGCTTTTTGAGATTGGTTCACACTTATTTCACACTCATGACATTTCTCTCACTCTAGGGACATTATGCAAACAAAAACAGCTATTTTTATCTCTCAGTTATGAGTTCATTGTTTTTTATAATTCACAGTAAACCCATGTATGTTCTGTATCAATGTAAAGGCTGATTGAAATTTGTGGTATTGATTTTGTTTAATGTAGCGTGCAGCGTTTGACGTGCGTTGAATTTATTATGACTAGAGTCCTTCAAGATCTCATCCAACCAATTATATCATATGATTGTCAACTTGTTGTTTGGAAATCAGAATATACAAATGTATGCAGACAAAGGCAGAAAGAGAAGGCCTATAGAGAGAATGCAGAGTTAATCAGCTCAAGTTTTTTGAGTAATTCTTATTTTTCTCTATATTTTTAACTTATTATTTTCCACTATTGAAATGTAAAAAGCAGCCTGCATTCTGATTAAATATATTGATTTGAGGTAAAAACCCAGAATGTACCCCCTGTGGGTAAAACCGCAGTTACTCAATAATAATATGTAATATAAAGTTGTGCACTATTCCAACAGCCCGCCTAAAGCGCAGTTTAATAACTACCACATTCTCTTTGTAGATTTTAATCATTTGATCAAGAAGATTAATGAGATGAGAAATAACAATACACTGTAGCGCTGTTTTCTAAGTGCCGGTTTGTTTGTTCTTTGGAATGGATCAAGCACAAACACTTGTAATAAATATGGGATTGTAAATGTCTCTAAATGTAGTAGTAAGTACAACACTATTGCAATAATGTAGAGGTTTAGAGAGCCTTTCCACATGAGTCATCACATTTGTTTTGGGGCGATTTATGTTTTTGGGTAAATCATACAAAAAAAACCAATGCAAATAAACTGCAAAAAAGTATAGAATATGAGGGGAAAATAGCTTGAATTGAGTGGTTTTAATCTTTATTTAAGTAAATCCTGACTGTCTTAAAACAAGAGTTGAGTCTTATTTCAAGAACTGTAATCTGCTCAATTATCTTTTTAAAATACGATCGTTTTGCTTGTCCCAATGGCAAACCTTGTGTTAAGACAGTCAAAAGGTGCTCAAACTAAGATAATTTTGTTGCCAAATTTTAGCAATTTTGTATGTATTTGTTACTACTTTTGCAGTGTACTGAGTAATACTTTGTGCAAATAGGCACTTATATATTTAGCGTGACAGTTCTCTCAGATCAGATTTCCTTTTGTTCATTCTCGCTTGATGATGGCAGGTTCTTATTTCTTCGGGTGATTGCCGTCTTCCTCCTGATACACAGAGCCGACATGAGTGCACCAATATATTTGAATTAATTACAGCGACAAACCCACACAAATGAGTCAGATCTGAGCTGTGCCTGAAGCGTGCGTATTTTCAGGTAAAGAGGACTCCTTGGAGGCCTCCAGCAGGTGTCTGCCGTGCCGGGAGGGGTGCCCCTTCTGCCAGGACGACTCCCCGTGTGTGGTGCAGGAGGACGGGGCGCTGCGACTGTCTGTGGCCTCTCTGCAGGGGCTCTGCATGCTGCTGGACCTGGCCTGCATGGTGGCCCTCTACCACCTCCGCAGGACCAAGGTGAACATCTTGATCGAATGCACACATTGAGTCAAAGATTATATGCTGCTCTCTTCCATGAAGGTTCCTGTTCTTGAGGTTGCCCTGGGAAACCTCATATTGCCATGGGTTGTTCTACAGAAGGGGTGTAGCTGCTGCAGACTTTATGTTTATTATAGCTGTAAATGTTTTCCTAGATTCTATTTTTTTTAACTGTAGTGTAGTCCCCTGGCCATGATGTAATTTTTTTTTTAAATAAAAGCAATAATTAATGGCCTTTCTGAGAAAAGACAAACCCTTTCATTTGAGTCTTTCCAAATGTGAGAGTTAGTGCTCAACTTAGACTTCCTTCTCATAACTACCCAATGAAGATGTAAAATTAATGGTATTTGAAATATCATCTGTCGTCTATTCTACATAGTTGGTGGCAGCTTTATGAGTCAATAAAACAAACTTGAAACTGTAGTCAAATAATCATATTTGGAAAACACATTTAGTTTTTCCTGCGTTAAGTGTATGCCCCATCTTTTTATTTTGTTAAACAGAGATTACCCCTTTAAATCCTCCCAGCTTAATAAAAATGTTTTTTTTTTCTGAGCTCATGAGAATTATTGTCCGATAATTATCCACAATCCTTAGGCAACATTTGAGTTTTAGCTTTCTATTTATAGACTTTGCCTTGGTCTTTTCCACATTTGTCAGTTCACAAGGAATGTCCCAAGAGCTTTGTGAATTTACATAAAAGTCCCTGCCTTTCCTTTTGGGAGACGGCGCACAGTAATTAAATGAAATCCAAAAATGCAGTGCCATTGCTCGGTTTTCAGTTTCAGGCAATAACAGAGAAACACCCATTATACATTGAGGTAAATAAAGAAAAACAATACATTTTTTTTCTAAACAGACGACGCAATTGTTATTCAGCGAGTTGCCGCCAGACATGTTCAAACAAATAGGGATTTATAATGGGAGACTGTGTTGCTGCCATGGACTGACTGAAGCTGCCTCTCACACAGAGCATCCGCACATCTGGACTCGTGCTGCTGGAGGCCATCTTATCTGGGGCTCTGCTGCTCTACTTTCCAGTAAGTTCAATTCTCTTTGTCTAATTTGATCACTGGCAAAACTATGCAATTGTTTTCATTGATTAATCCTCGTCTAAGCCGGATAACTATTGATTAAACTGGTGTCTGTTTATGTCCTTGTTTGCAATGATAAATGTGTATCTTCACGTGTCTTTCCACGTGAAGATAAACACGTGACAAGATTGCAGTGGAAATATGAGCCGCACACAACTTCCAGCTGTAGATCACTTTACCCCCTGCTTTTGTCCAAGAAAACACAATGCATCATCTTTCTCTGTGGCTATATAGAACTACTTTTAAACACATACATAGATGTTACTCACCAACCCCAGAAGTAGTCATTTTTTAGTATGACTACTTTTTACCACTGGGGAAGAGATTTGTTCCTTGCCGATGCAGGAGGGCCTGTTCAATTCAATTCAATTCAATTCAATGTATTCTTGTATAGCCCTGAATCACAACAGTAATTATCTCAGAGGACTTTACACAACCGTTGAATTCGGCAAAACATAGATCAGAGAATCAAACAACTTAAACACAAGAAATGCTATCCTCAGAGATAACAGTTGATGTGATTTAGGGCTATACAAGAATATATTTAATTGAATTGAATTATTGATGTGTTGAGTTTGCATGTTCTCCCCGTGCTCCGGGTTTCTCTAACACTAAAATCATGTACAATAGTCCCCAATAACACCCTCTCTGACCCCACTCCCGCCTTTATTCCTTCAGAATAAAACTTTGGTTCATACAGTAACATATAACTCTAGTTATGTTGTGTCAAACTTGGTGGGAAAACAACTGTGTGTGCATTTACTTCATCATTTGGTTTGTTTCTCTGGCTGGTAATATGTGTTGGTGTGTCTGACTCTCAATGAAGCTGATTAAACAGTGTAAAAACAGTGTAAACATCAGCCCCCCCAGCCTTGTGGAGGGCTGATGTTTACACTGCGAGCGGGATCGGAACTGTTCCTTTTTGGATCAGAAACTTATATTGTCGCTCGTGCACTTTTCACTCACTCCAAGTGGAAAGAGCTGCTCCAAAGCTTTTATAGAGGGGCGGGCGGTCATTGAGATAGTGGAGACCAATCTCTGGTTTAGACCATGACTTAGTTGGTGTCTCTGAGTCCTCTCCGGCCTCTTTGACTTTGATTAGTTCATTTATATGATTTCGTATACTGCCAGTGTGCATCCTTTTATGTATTTGCACACAGCCCACACTGCACCTGGTGGGCTACATCACAAGGCCAACTTTAGCTCACAAACAGATGGATGAAACCTGTGTGCAATGTGGGGAGATATCTGATGTAGCAAGGGAATTTGCTCTCCTCAAATACCCGCGCAGACTGCCAAAGACAAAAGCCTGGGTGGATTCCTGCCATTTGTAAGAAAAAATCAGAGAGCAGAAAAATGGAGGATGATCTTCAAAGGCTGATCTGACTCTGGGGAGGAAGCGGTTTTGTTGTTCCTGAAGTGGATGAATGCTCGTATCAGATGTATTTGCATCAGAATCAGGCGTCTTTAAAAAAACACTTTTTTGCATAGAAGGCAATTTAATTCTTGTACAATATAATATTCCAGTATCTAAGTGGCACTTACTACTGTACCTTTAGGCACTTTCTACAAAACAAGATTTGCTAATAGAACAAGCAAAATGATCTCGGTTTTTTTAAAGGATACAAGAAATGTCTCCCTTGGAATGAGAAAATAAAGCAACAGTTCTTGAAAAAAGACTATGGCTTTGTCTCATTGGCAAATCTTATCTTTTGTTTTCATGTTTTTTATGATCACCCGAAACGTTACAACTTGTGGTGCAAATTAAAATATCTTGGGAGCGAAAGCTGTGCAGTCATCTCCATTTTTTCATTTGACTACAGTATTTTTGACTTTTTGCTACTCAGACTTAGATGTGTGCGTCAACCTCACTCTTAATCTTGTTTTAAGACAGTCAGAATGAACTATAATTAAGATAAAAAAGATATAAGAATTTATTGGCCATTTGCAGGAAAACCACATTGGAAAAACAGGGACTACCCCAGAACACATTATTACCACATATTTTTTTATTTATTTTTATTTTAAAGTGTTGGATTGGCCCTCGTTTAGGTTCAACTTCTAATACATTATTTTCAATATAAAGGTTAGTGTTAGAGTCCCCCTGCTCTTACTGCACTAAGGCTGTCCACGACCACTAAAGGATGAGCGTAGTTGTCGATGAGTAGTGTTGTTGTCACGATCCAAACAAAAAGAAAGAGGAAGGACCCAAAATACAAGAAAATCCAAAAACAAAGCTGAATGTCGAACACAGGAGCAGGGGACGCAAACAAGAACTCGGGAACCAACACGATGGACTGACACCGAGAGGGAAAGAGCGCAGGGGATTGAACTGAGAGACATGAGTGAGACACAGTTGGGTGGGGCCGGCAATCCACCGAACCGGAAATAAAACTCAGAAAGACGCAGAAGAACGGACGATACAATATTAAACAGATTTAAAAAATGACGGTTCCCATGACCATGATGGACCATGACACTTGGATTTTGCTGACAGAGAAAGGTTCCCAGCCAGTTCTCTCCATCGCTTGATGAGAAGAAGAACATCTACGATCTTGGGAGTTGCTGCCTTCACCTCACGTAACCACACTTTGGCTTGCACACTGCTCGAAATGAATTTTATTTTGCAGTCAACCACCCTCTGCTTTATCCAGCCCAAGGACCAAAAATAGCATCCCAAAATCTGCCACCACTCTTTTTGACTTACACACACTTGAACACTCTTAAGGACTTTTTCCTCCCTCTGCGCCTCCACTCTTCATCTTTTTCATCAAGTCTGTTTTTATTGGTTTGTAGTGTAGACCAAATCTGAGCTCATATGAAAGCGCTGCCAAAAATAGACATGAGTCAGTCTGCTGTACCAGACAGAATTATTCAAATGATCACATGTTAAATACCTACAGTGGAACTAGTATTTCACCAGTGTTTTTTCATTCGAGATTTTTTTTACTAAAGCCTTGTTAAAAATGATTGAATATTTGTATGTTGTTGTCTCTTTTCTTGTTGTGTTTGTTTTATATGGACCCTTTGTGTGTCTGAATTAAAGATTAAATAAATAAATACATTTGTAACACGTTGCAAGTCGTTCATGTGTTTTGCTTGGAGTTTGCATGTTCTCCCTGTACTTAGGTTCCTTCTTTCAAAAGACAGCCAAGAGCTGCACTGCTATAGCCACTTTTGATTGTATATAATATATTCTGCACAAATGGGACTACAGTATATTTGAACCTTCCTGTCTTTTTGCACACCCTGAGTGATCCTATCTATCTACCTTTCTTTTTAATGTTCTGGGATTATTTCGGATTTTAATGCTATCTTGTTTTGTTCAACACTTTGAGTTGCCTTGTGTATGAATTGTGTTATACAAATAAACTTGCCTTGTCTTGCCTAGTAGTTACAAAACCAGATCTAAGACTATTGTATTTTTTTCTTTTTCCCCTCCTTCAGGTTTTGCTATATTTTTTATATATTATTTAAATAGATTTATAGATAGATACTGATTCCCTTAGGAGAAATTCAGGTATCCAACAGCAGAAACACATCCATCCATACAAACACAATAAATACAGTGACCGATAGTAATAACGTTCTGTTTCAATGCTTGATTAAGTTTTTTAAATCAAAAAACCTATTACAATTTTATTTGTTGACGTTGGTATGTCATCTAAGCAACATCTGTTTGTCATCAAAACTGCAGTGGCCACCGTTTTTTTTTTTGTGTGTGTGCAGAATATGCATCCCAGCTTGTGTCTGCAGTTTCATTTCTCACTCTGTCCCTGCAGCCTCACCTCGATCTGCAAACTCTCCCTTTTCTCTTCTTCTTCACCACATGGTTCCTCAGCCATAAGCGCGCTGCTCCTCTCCTCCACGCTTGGCTGCTCAATGCATTTTTAAACACGCCATCAAGTTCTAGCACAAGTGGTTTTAAAAATACATCCACTGATTAATTGATGGCTGAGGCAAGGAAGGCAAAGCGAGAGGGCCGCCATCTTTGTACCGTCTTATTGTTGCTATCCCCCGTGGCTCATGGACGCTATTTAGATGTGTCTGTCTGGAAGTAGGATTAAGATTGGGTGCTGTAAGTGGCTTGTTGTGGGTATGTGGGTGTAAGTAACAGCCTGGCCTACTTAAGAAGGGTTGTGCTGAAGTGATTTATTGTTTATAGAGTGAAATGGTGAGAGGAAGTGGTGAATTAACAAAAATCCCAAAGCAAGGGGGAAAAAAAGGAAAAAGAAAAAAAAACTATTCCTATGCTCTTTAAAGACAATTTATGTGGTGGTGATAAAGCAGACAATTTAAATGAATCCTTCATATTTAAATGTTCTAAACCCTCTGAACCAATCCATACACAAAAATTAACACCCGCACAATGTGGTAAATCATTTGTAAAGAGACCAATCTAGTGCAGGATTCCCAAACTTGCAGCCTTTTCACAATATTCTGAACAATTTGGTGATATAGGATCATTTCCAAAGGCATACCAAATAACATCTCTGTCCCCGACACACTGGTTGAAAAACTTTGGTTGAGTGTAGGATTGTCAAACTCTGGTTGGGGCCAGATTCAAAGAGTAATTGCTGATCATATATTTTTTACCTTAGAGATAAGATATTGACAAAAGGATTACTCTGGACCAAAGCCTGTACTTGTAGACAAATAGGCTGATGATTCATTTAAAAAGGTTTTACTTGAATAAATTAGATTACATGGTCATTTTCTTGGGAACGTAATCTTTAAAATTAGGTTTAGCATGCCATGGTAACCCTATTCAGATAGACCATTAATGCTGTAATGATAATAATTGAAAATCAGCTAAGGGGTCAATGCAAACGGCTCAATATATCCTCTGTCTTATGTGAATGTTCCTGATTGCAGAAAATATGGGGGATATGAGGAAAAACAAACTTGTGATAATTATAATGTATTGGAATCAAGCTTGAATCATTCCTGAGTAATCCCACAATTAATTTTGAATATTTGTACTTTCTAGTAGACTTTCAAGACTGCAACATCAGTTTTATTTTACCCATCATCCTCTTGTGCATGAGGTTGTTTTGCTGCTGAGGAGAGCCAGCAGTGGATGAGTTGCTGTTTCTGTGGGCGATAAAAAAAATATAGCAGGTGAAAAGTGGCGTTGTTATTTGAGCTTAATTACCCCAGATAGCAGCATGTCTCTCAGAGGGGCACCTGCAAATGACAGCGCTGCACTTTAGGGACTGTCTCTCTCACTGTGTAATGAGTTCAGCTGATCTACATCCAGAGACTTAAAGACACATGCAGGCCTCTGAAAACTGCTCGTCTAACTCAGTTTCATCTCTTCATGTGGTCTATCTCTTGTAACCACAGGGCAGTGGGCGCAGCGGCTGGTTCATAATAAGGTTTCAAAAGAATTTAAGTTGAGATCGTCATTATGATTTGCTAAAAGTTGATGTGGTAAATTAGATCTTTTCGCCATCGACCAGCAGATGACTCAGAATCCCAAACAAGAATGTAATTTCAGATTGTAAGAATGTTGTCTTTATTGGCTGGAAAGCTGGGCCATCATAAAGACTCCACCTAAACAAAGTTATAGGTTCATGTGTTTGCTGAATGCACAGTAACAGGGGCAGGCATGTTTCTATCACTGTTGCTAATTCAAGCCGGTGTTTCCTCTGTGAATGTAAGCATGTGATTGGTCAATCCTTATATCTGGATTTACAAAGTCAACATCAAAATGAAAACACCAGGAGTACAGAAAACGCTAAACCACAAATGTTTTTTGTTTTTTTTTTTTTTTATCAAAATGATGAGCGTGACGCAAACTATTGCTGAGTTTACTTTTCAATGAAAGTCAATAAGAGCCAAAGCTAGTTGGAACAAAACTTCCAAGAGCACTTCCCTATCAGGCCTCATTAAGCTGGAGGGTTGGTCCACCTGTAAACAGTCTGTGGGGTTTTCCTAAGTTTTGCTTTATAAATAGAAGTACTGTGTTAGGTGTTTTAAAGTCCAATAAGAGAAGTAACTTGTCTCACTCTTCTGCAGATATTTATACAGTTCTTTTTGTGTAATATTACACTTTTACGCAAATTAGTGCTTAATTCAGATTAGTAGTGTTGTAAATTATGGCTTTTAATGATATAAACAAATACAAATGGTTCACAGGGGTTCTCCAGCTGCATTGTGATTGCATCTTTCGCACAAAGTCTTTTTAATATAATTTGTCATTTTCCAACAGAATATGCATCCAAGCTTGTGACTGAATTTGAAAATGTTTTTTTGTGTGCAGCCAATACATCTTGGTTTCAATGTATCAATTATAATGTGTTATCATGAACAGGCCCCATTGCAAAACGAAATAAGGTTTTGTTTACATTACAATGTTCTTAAACTTGTCCCTGGTTATGATTACCATTTTTACATCGTCCAATATTCACATTATATTTTGATCGCTCAACATGAACGCAGGGAATACGGTGGAGATGAGGGAGCTAACCTTCCTTTTACTCTGTGACATATGGAGCACACACAGCTGCGAGGGGTCTGCGGGGGGCGCTGCTGCCATAGGGTGTGCATGTAAATGTGTATAGACAAAAATAACCTGTGTCTTTCTGCAGGTGATGATCCTGTACTTCAACCCCAGTGTGTTCCGCTGTATCCTCCTGCGCTGGGTCCGTCTGCTGGGGTTTACCATTATGTACGGCACCATGGTCCTCAAGCTGTACAGGTACACTCTTACCGTCACTGCTTTTCTCATTTTTACACACCAAAGTAAATACATCATGATATTGTTTACATTATTCATGCTATTCACTTGCACAATACCATAATGCTGTATTTGTTGGTGTTGTTCTAATGCATACAATCTAAAATATGAGCCTCCAACGTTTAAATCAGTTCCATATTTTTGGATTTTAAACAGAAATGCTCTCACGTCTCATGGGCTGGATCTCATGGAATGCAGTTCTGCCAACAGCCGGCGGTGGCAACAATTTGCACTGTTTTAGTTCATGGACAACGCCTAGGCGGATAGTTTGAAGTGCCTCTGTGATTCTTGAGGTTTTTAAACTCGTCAGTTTCCTTCTCAGCCTTCTCATCAGAACTCACACGTCTCTACATTTACTGCATATTTGCCAAACACGTGAACTTTACTGATCCTACGGATGTGACACCAGTCAAGCTGAAAAGCACTATGGGATTTGTGCATACTATAGTGAATATGGTCATTAAAGACAGAAATACTATGCTGTATGTATGTAATGTATTAGATTGTTAAGAAAAAGTAATAGAGGATTATTATTTTTCATTGTCATTGTTTCCTCCAACTTAGTAGGACGTATTTCTGGAGATAATCGACCAATTTAGATTTTACATTGAATGAAGCACCACATAAAAACTAAACTTAAATTGTCTTTTTTATTTACTAACTGACAGTTTGAGATGATAAATAAAGCACTAACATTTACAGCATAAACATTTCAATTATTAATCTCAAGCCGCCCACAACAGCACAATTCCACATTTGAATTTCACATCTCAAGGATCTGTTCCAACTTAAGCCGCCTCCAGCTCAGAGCAAGTGCTGCTGAGAGGTCAGGGGGCGTTCAAGTGTTCTTTGGCAAAATTATCAATTTGATTTCTCCATATCAGCCGGTGTGAGCAGAGCCCCAGGGACAAGCACAGACCAGGCAGACTCAAAATGTTAGAAAGAGGAACATTTGTCACAGTCTGGCTTCAAGAGGCTGTGTGAGATGAGTGGACGGAAAGTGCTCCTCCATATGTCAGAATTCTTAGAGTATAAATAAGTATGTATAACGTATATATATATATATATATATATATATATATATATCTAACACTTTTTTATCAGTGTTGTGCCAGAAATGATTTCAAGAAAATTAAATAATTCAAAGCAAAGATGTGAGAAACTAATCCTTTTTTTTTTTTTTTTTTTATGCGATCACTTGTTTTGCTTTATGTAATATTAGATTATTGAATAATGTTTTAAAACATTTGTGTGCTTTGCAAGTTGGCTATAAGACTTGCAGAATGCATATAGAATAATGAATAATGCATGAAAAAAAACTATTAATAGACCAAAGTAAAATGCATAAAGGCGCATCTAAGCCTACACATATAACGGAGCCTCAGCTTCATCTCTCCTCATCCTCATCCCCTGTGGCGGCTCTCTGCTCCTGGTGCAGACGGCTCCTCAGATGGTGCTCACTCAGCTGGTTTTTACCTGCACTCATGGCCTATATTATAGGACTGTGTGTGTGTGTGCGTGTGAATGTTTTTGATTCAATGTTTTTTATGAATTGTGCTGCACGTCAGCCATATAGATAAGTATTTGGATTGGACAAAAGCAACTTTTTTGTGTAAGAGAATGATGTTGTCTTTTTGTTGGGGTTTGGCATGTGTGAGAGCTGGTGACAAATGAAAAGTCAAATTATGTGAAATAGCCGATACAATAATCACTCAGTTGGTTCCTAAGGTTCTCTGTACCTCTGTCTGTTTCAGGGTGTTGAAGGTGTTCTTGTCCCGCACCGCTCAGAGGACGCCGTACATGACCAGTTGGCGCGTGATGCGTCTTCTTTTGGTCATCCTGTTGGTGGCGCTGTGGTTCCTGGTGGCCTGGACCTCAGCTGTGTGTCAGAGAGCAGACCTGACTCAGGTCCTGATCAGCGCTGGGCTCACTGCAGACAGACTGCAGTTCAGCATGTGTCTGCTGGACAGCTGGGACTACATGCTGGCTGTGGGTAAGGCACAGACATGTTTAAAGACCGCATCTCTTCGACCACCTGCTGTATCTGCCTCATGTTTGATATATTGGATTATCATTTACTGCAATATCTTACGGCAGCAATTTTTGTTCATGATAAAAAAGACTGTTATTGTAATAGCTCTCTACAACCCAAAATATAAACCTGTACATGAAGTCTATAATGTAGTAAGCCTTTCCTATTTACTTGCAGCAGCCTGCCTACAGTTGCCTGGTTAAGATAATACAATGAAAATATAACACGTATCTTGTATTCAAAAGCATTGTGGCCCATGCTGACCACAGAGGGCCTTGGACCTTGTTTGACCGCCACTATATAGAAATACTGTAGCTTTATCTGAAGTCGCTAGACAGATGTGTTTATTCTTCACAAACTTTAAAAACTCAATTTAAAGTGACAAAAACAGGAAGCAGGCGTATTGCAATGTAAAACTGTGTAAATCTCTTCAGCAGGCTGTTAAAGCTAAAGCAAGTGTGAGTTTGTCAGACACATTAGCTGTGCTCTGGCTCTGAAAAATGTCCTCAGGCTTTACTGAAAACTGAGGTCAAAAAGTAAACTGCCCACTCCTCATCAACCCGTAGAAATATACAATTCTAATAAATCTCCTGCAAAGAACAGATTCTAGTTTATAAGTCAAAGTTTAAGTAAATCATGTGGGTTAAAATCTATATATTTTTACATTTAAGATATACATTTTCATTTAATTGGAAACTTATGCTTGTGCTTATTTCCTTGTTATAGTTAGCACTCCTGCGCCCTTTCGGTGATGTGACTAACATCAGACAATATGAGCAATCTATATAAAGTTTTCAGAAGTAACAAATTGTAAGGATTAATCTTGTTTTCCAAGGCCCTCTCTTGCAGAGCACAGTCACTTAATAGTCCCGTCACTTCTGTCTGCTAGCAGCCTGGTGGCCTCTAGATCACATGGAAATAAATAGTCTTGGATTGTACACAAAGCAATAAAAGACATTATATTGGTTCTGCTCCATTATTTTACATCAGCTGAAAGGTCAGAGCAGCGATCTGCTAATGTTATTGACGAGGCTCCATATATCATCAGTGTGTACACAAAGAAGCAACGCTGTGTTTGACCCACACTACTGGCCTAGATTACCCCATTGTCTTCCAAACTGTTTAAGGGATATTTGATACACTACTTTTCCCTGATGTCAGTAGCACATGGCCAAAATCTAAATTTAGAAACAAGAAGCAAAAAATCTTAACGTTACAACAACAGCTAACTTCACTCTCATAGGTGGATAGACATATTTAATAATCCAGAATCACTTACTGAGTTGTTACAGAACATCAATAATGTCAATAATGTCAACATGCGCATACAGATAGTGTTAAAGCAGCTTTACTCTGTCTTCAGTCACCAATGGATAAAGCTTTCTCCTTGTGTGGATGTCATGGTGCTCTACACTTATCCATCCATACAAGGAGATCTATGACATCTGTTGACACCCCATCCATTTAGACCACTGCTCTGCTCTACTGGCGTCGCTAATATTGATCTGCTGTTTGCCTTTAACAAACTGGATATGTTGAAACTGCACAGCCCTAAATATAAGTACTATATCAGTGGTTCCCAAAGGGGGGACGCAGGGTCACAAGATCATGCATGACAAATACATGACTCACAAAGCAACACATAATGTAACATGTTATTATTCTTCAAAATACTGTTTTCAATTCTGTTGCGCAGTGAGGGTCGCAAAGTCAGTTTGTGCTTATGTTGGGGGTTGTATGGGGACATCTGAGCTAGCTTGTGCTACTAAACATGTGAGGTCATTCATATCCCATTCACTTGCATTATAGTATCATTCAAAAAGTGATGAAAAATAAGTCAAACATTGGTCAAATTTGGGAATATAATCTTAATTTGAGCACATTTTGACTGCCTTAAAACAAAATTTGCCAATGGGACAAGCAAAATGACCATGTTCTAAAGAAATATACAAGAAATGTCTCCCTTGGAATGAGAAAAAATGCAACAGTTCTTGAAACAAGACTAAATAGCCTATCGGCAAATCTTGTTTAAAGACAGTCCGAATGATTTCAAAGTAAGATCTAAAACTTCTCAATTCAAGCCATTATTGAATTATTATTACCTCGTATTTTATCATTTTTTGTGCGACCTGAGTGATGTCAAGAACTATGTATCGCCAAAAAGCATGATTTTGTTACCAAGCAACTAGCCCGACATTCTTTTTAAAACACAGCAGTCTAATTTCTGGTTTAATATCGACCCGTATCTAGGTGAGGATCCCTGCATAACCCTAGTGAATGTAGTCGTGTACAGTCCACGGCAGGCAGTGATGGGCACCACAGTCGGCTTCACTGACAGCAGGAGAGCGTAATCCTGTTTGGATTCAAGAACACAACGCTTTCGTCAGAGATGCTCGCCACATCTCTGAAAAAATGATGGACAAGCCAAACTCCAAAAGCCAGAGAGGGAAGCTGTGAAGTCTGAAGCTTTTAGAGACTATGGGCAACGATGCGGAGAGATGCAGCCTCTGAAAAGGATGTGAAGGGAGACGGGAGGACAGCTCGAGACGCTCCAAGGAGAAAAATATCCAAATAAATATGTGCATGACTGTAATCTCTCGCCTTTCAATTCAAGCTGTAAAATTAGGGAGTCAAGCTGTTCACGCTGACAACCAATAAGAACAAGCAGATTTGAAGGGTAGAAATCCCCAACAAATATGATGGGAAATTATTTAGCATACAGTCTCAGTACGTTTGCCAAAAACGTGGAAATTAATGCAAGATTTCTGACTTTTGTTTTTTCATTTTGACAAATCGGAAATTGTATCTTGAGCTATGTTATGCCAAGGAGAAGTGGTGAATGTGGAAGTAATTCAATTCAATTCAATTTTTATAGCCCTAAATCACAACAGTAGTTATCTCGTTATCTCGCCAACACAGAGCAGAGATTTAACAGTTCAACACAAGAAATGCTACGATAAAAAACACATTGGTCGTTGGTCCATAGGGGGCAGATGACCAATGTCCATAGATGATGATAAATGTCCAAAGTAACCGTTGTACATTGTTTCTCATCAATACTGTAATATTTCCTTCCCACATTATAGCAGTAAAATAATGTTATAAATTACAATGAAAACTGAGGTATCCAAACAAAGAATTGATCAAACACAAAAAGGACCATATAAAACGTTCAAAACAGACAGAGGTTATACAACTTTATACAACTCTCTGGAAACCTCTCTCTCGTCTCTGTGTAAAATGAGCTATTCATTTGAATGCACTGTTTGTTTGCATTAGCCACACCACTTGTTCGTCTTCACTTACAAACCACTCTCTAAGCAACCTTTCCCTGACGCTAAGTGCCATGTAATTACTTCTGATTTACGGACAAGATTTCCCCATGAATATTAATTATTAATGCACCCTTCATACGGATAACTCGACTCATATGTTGGTTATTGTATGTGGATATCGGCCGAGACAGTGTTTCTGAAGTGGTGCAGAGGTTTCTATTAAATGAATGAATGTTTGTTGCAGGTACAAAAGCTTTTATCGGCTTATTAGTGAGGGGCATGAAGCCGTGAGCACAGCAGATATCAGAGCCCGGCATAATTTCATATCTGCAGTACAGTCTGTTCAAAATAATCTATTAACGAGTTTTAAAATGGCTATTGATTTCCTCCTCGCGGTCATGCATTTTATTCTACAATAGCAATTTATGTGGTAATGACTTCTAATGCTGTCCTTTTTGAGACCTCTTCCTCTAAATCAGGCACCTCAAACATGTGGCTTGTGTTTTTTTGTGGCCCCCTGGTGGAGATCAATGTTGCAATGTCAGTGTGGCCCCCATTGAGAGTCTGGGCTAATGAGACATGTCATTTTTAAGCTAATTTAAAATAATAACAATAAAATGCATTGGTTTTATATAGCGCTTTATTGGACACTCAAAGACACTTCACATTTCATTATTCATTCACTCCATACAGTGATTAACTACTACTATAGCCACAGCTGCCCTGGGGCACACTGACAGAAGCCAGGCAACCAGTATGTGCCATCAGCCCCTCCGACCACCACCAACCATTCACACACACCAGACTCGTTCAAAAGAAAACTACCATTAAAATGATCATGAACATTGAAGACTAAACGCAATAATATTTAAAAGTGAAAAAGTAACCATTATGCAGCCCAAGACTCGACAATCCAAAACTCAATGCCTTTGGTCCAGTTTTGTTTCAATCTCAGCAGCTGGACTCATTTTGTAAATATAAAACATGAGTTGGTAAAACAAACCTTCATGGTAATAAAAACTCATTGATGCAAATTGAGCAAATTTTCCACAAACACTTGATTTTAGTTTTTTGTGTTTTTGTCTTTGTTCTACGAGCACAAACCTTTTCTTTCTCTACTGTTATCGTCTGAAAAATATGGGTACATTTATCAGTCCAGGAGCTAAACTGCGTGTGCAATTTTAATGATCTAATTCTATATCCGCATGTGCATAGATCCGTTTGCTGCAATGTCCCTATATTTAGTAAACTCACAAACATATTTAAACCTCTGACGTGGCCCAGCTTCCCCCAGACTTTACCTCATGCGGCTCACAGCAAGTTTGAATTTGAGATAATTTTTATTGCCCAGCTCTGAATAAAAAAATGCCCAATCAAAATCATTTGGAGCTCGAATGAGATTGTGATGGGCCTTTTATTTGGTCTTTTCAGCTGAGTTTTTGTTCCTGCTCTGGGGCTTGTACTTGTGCTACGCGGTACGGACGGTACCCTCTGCGTTCAACGAGCCACGGTACATCACGGTCGCCATCTACAACGAGCTCGTGGTGTCGGCCATCTTCCAAATCCTCCGGTCAGTGTTCTTTTGAAGTATTACAGCACTTTATTTGAAGACTGTATGTAAATAAGTCATATTTTGGACGTTTATTTTTCATTTATGGACATTGGTCATCTGCCCCTTACGGACCAATGTGTTTGTTATCATAGCATGTGTTCGAACAGTTGGATTCTCTGATCTGTTGCTGGCAACTCGATAACTTAGTAAAGACTGCTGATGGGATTTAGGGCTGTACAAAAACTACATACATTTTCATTCATTTTATTTTCCCTAGTTTGAATCTGGTGCTAAAATCTGTTCACAAGCGATTTATCTTTGACCAAATCCCATGTAATTGCAACTCGGGTTTTAGAGTCACAATTAATATGCCACAATTTAACATTCTCAATAATTGATAGTGGAAGTTCTGTTCCATTTCTTTTTCAATATAAATGTTTGGTCTACTTTCACATGAGGATTGAAATACACTCAAATCAACAGTGTCTGGTTGATACAAGAAACAAACTACCAAACTGAAAAATTACTTAAATTCTGAAATGGAGGTTAATTGTTATTCTGTTTTCATTGTGAACTGAACATTCACCAGGATCAAGTAACTACCCTGACGTCCCCCACACCCACACAGACTTCCAGTAAACGCTTTTGGCATAAACAGCGGCGCATGTCAACATTAACACAATAAAAGTAGTTAAAAATTTGTGAAATCTAAGGCCTGCGCTGCTGTGAGGAAAGGTCACACTGAGTTAATCTGACCGGAACAGTCCACTGGGTGCATTTTCATTTTCAGCTCAAGCTGCTCTCGTTGTCAGGGACTGAAACATTAGGGTTTTGTGAGTCGGCTGCTGCTGTTTCTCAGATAAGAGGTGTGCACGGAGCATATTCAGCATATTTATTCATTGTGACTCATTGAGGGCTCAAAATGGCAGGTTTCCCTCAGTCTGATGTTTTATAAATGCATTTAACCGTCATTTCCCCTTTTCTTACACAGGGTTTTGAAAGTTCTCTGGGGCTTTGCACATGGAACAGAAAACTGATCAAAAAAGAACTTTGATTAATGAGGCAAATTTTGAACATTTTCTTTTCAAAAATATAAATACAGCAGTGTCTAACCTTGAAGTATTCCATATCATAAACACGTTTGACAAATATGATTCTAGTTTGCTGTGTCTTCTAGGAGCATAGACCAACGTGCAGCAATGACAAGAGTCTTCATCAGGGCTAGTACCCAGTAGTACTTGCAAAAAGAACATACTGTTGCTTTAATCTTACAAGTAGCTAATACCACACACTGTAACTTTTTTAATCGTTAGAAAAAGAACAAATCTGTATTTCCATTTAATATTTCCAAATAAGCCAAATTTACTGGTCTTCCTTCCTATTGTTTTATCATTTTAAACTTTTCTTCACAACTTACTTTTGATCCCAATTCAACATGGGAAATATCATCCGAGCATCATCTGAAATAATCCATGTTGTTTGCCACAGATTCTCTCTGGCCCCAGGACTTCACCCGGACTGGATGTTCATGTTGTTCTTCGCTCACACTCATCTGACCGTCACCGTCACTCTGTGTCTGCTGCTCGTGCCTAAGGTGCTGCTGCTACAACATTCTCCTGAACTATCAGAATTATCACACATTACAGATCAAACTCTGAAAATCAGTTTTTTTCTGTCCGTGGTTCGGCTGACAATGTGAGACAAACATATGATAAAAACACGTAACATACAAAGTGACATATGCCAAGCCTTTGTGTGTTACAATTCATGAATATGGCCTTTTTTGCAAGCTGTAAGCCAATTATACACATTATGACACATATATCTATCTGTCAGATGTTAGTTTCACATTATAGGTTATTCTGAATCATATTAACATTTTCAGAATTTCACTTGAACAAAACAAAATGTATCTTCTCCTTTTTAAGAGCATGAGTGGCATTCTTACTAGTACTTCTAATTTATGAATGTAGGATCTGTGCATGTAGAATCTCTGGATCTACAGTACAAAGACCTTGCATTTAAACAATTAACTCTTGTGCTATCCTTGGGTCAAAATAACTCGCCACAGTGATTAAAAGTAGAAGAAAAATACCATAAATTAAGGTCTAAAAGGGACTAAATGACCAGCCCTAGACTCGTATAGATACACTGCCAGTATACTGTATATAAAACACTTACTCTCGCACGCCTCTGTGTGGGCTGTATCACTATTCAAGATTAGTCAATGCTTTGTTTTGATTATATTGTACATGCAGAATGAATCAGCTGAGTACACAGGGGTAATTAAGAGCGGAGGCTAATCTCACAGCTTCTGCGCCACAATATGAGGCAAATATTTACTCGAGCCTCCTCCATAACCAATATTATATTTACACAGAGATTTCTGTGTGGTCATTATGTCAAAATTAACATTCACCACCATTAACTATCAGAAGCCCACCAAAAACGCTGAACGCAATTCATTTGCTTTGGATTTTATGTTGTATTCATGTTTGATTGTTGTAATATTGATTTCTGTTCTAGTTTTTGGCCAAAGGGACTCAGGCGCGGGACGACATTGCCACTGAAGCGTTTGAGGAGGAGCTGGACATGGGGAGATCCGGTTCATATTTAAACAACAGCATCACGTCAGCCTGGAGCGAGCACAGCCTGGACCCTGAGGATATAAGGGTAAAGACACAAGCCAATGATCAGATATAAGTCTGTTATCTGCATATACACAATGCCCTAGTAACACACTTTGTAGTCCACAGGTGGAAGGAGGTGGTATAATTAACTGTATCTTGTGCATTTGCAAATCTTAATGAATCAAGTATTATGTCTGGCCATACTTGCATGCAAAAGCCAGATCCCATCAGACTTCTGAAGCTGTGCAGGGCAGGGTCTGGTTAGTACTGTGATGAGAGACCTTTGAGAACACCAGGTGCCACAGTGGGGCGGCTGTAATGTGCCAAACTGTCTTTGTGTCCTTAGGCAAGACACGTCACCCACATTGCCTATAACAGTGGTTCTCAAACTTTTTACACCAAGTACCACCTGAGAAAATACTTGCCTCTCCAAGTACCACCTGAGAAAATACTTGCCTCTCCAAGTACCACCACAACTGACCAACACTACACAGTAGCGTAGTAAGCCTAAGTATTCATCATTCACTTCAGCTGTGTTCATGTTTCAGGATGAGTTGAAAAAGCTGTATGCTCAACTCGAAGTCCATAAGAGAAAGAAGATGCTCGCCAATAACCCTCACCTCCAGAAGAAACGTAACTCTAAAAAAGGCCTGGGCCGCACGCTGATGAAGCGCATCACCGAGATCCCCGAGACCATGCACCTGCACCGGCAGGGCAGCCGCGAGGAGGGCAGCGAGCACGGCAGCACACGGAGCACGCTGCGGAGAGGGGCCTTTGAGCCGAGCCACCACGGTGAGGCCATGGAGCTGTAAACCCACAGTCACTGCCAGTAGCGAACAGCACTCTCTAAAACCAACCTTTTTACAGAAATGTACAGAATTTTAGTTGCTGAAAAATTAAGAGAATGACCAGGAAACAAAATATTGATATTAGGGTTATTTTGGAGGTGATCCAAATCACCCTCTTTAAATAGGATTTTAGATCTAGAAGTAATATTACTCCTGTACAATTTTGATTGTACAGGAGTAATATATCTGATTGTTGAAGAAAATTGAGCTATATCTATTTTTTTTTTCAAATCTAATACTGATTGAATCTAATACTGTGTTTGGATGAAAAACAAAGCAAGCATATTATATATTTGTTTCAATTCTACAATCTTTCATTTCAAGCTCAAAGTGCATCTAACTGTGTGCAAATATGTTGTAGGTAAATCACGGGACGACTCTCTGAGGAACAAAGTCATGGCCTTAAAGAAGTCCCTGAGCTACGACCATGTGTGCGACCAGGAGGGTGCGGCCCCCAGTCCCAGTGGCTCTTCTGGAGGAGAGAAAATGATGCCTGTCGGAGGGGGAGAAGGATCGTTTCTGGGATCACTAATTGGTCGAAGACATGCCAAAAAACAAATGGACACCCCCGTGATCCAGACCCTCCAACCTGCTGAATCCACAGAGTCCGTCCCCCTCTTTTGGAAATCTGCCAGTGCCCACAATCTCACCCACGAGAAGAAACCAGTCCAACTGCGCACCACCATCATGCAGAAGTCTCTGAGTGTCATCTCCAGCGCTAAAGAGAAGATGCCTGGTCTGGCCAACAAGACCAGTGCAGAGGAGGCCAACAAGAGGGGTCCAAAAGGGCAAGAGGGGGGCGCCCTGGCAGAGGTGGATGAGACCCCAGAACAATTTTCAAAGATGATTGTGAGCCAGTCTGTGGAGTACTCCAAAACACCCCTCAAGATGGGCATCATGAAGCAGCAGGTGTGCAGATTGTTCTGATGTCTCATGGGATAAGCCCTAAACCATAAAATGTGAAACAATTTAGTACCACAATATTGTGAGTGAAAATAGATTTTCTTCACTTCTGATCTACATAAAGTACATAGATTATTTATAGAATGTTATCCTAAATAACGTGGAATTTCTTAATTTAGAAAAAAAAATTGTCCAGAGGTGTCCGGACTGTGGTTCAGGGCCTAAATGCGGCCCCTAGAAAAACAGCCTGACGGCCAAGATTATATTATGTACTGTATATTAATTATTTTAACCAATTTAGAATTATGACCCTGTGATTATTGTGTGGGTGGACATTAAACTCTTTTATAAAAGGTAGTTTATAGAAAATGTACATTATTGTTGACCAATCTGTGGCCCTTTGCTGTGCGTATGTTAAACTGAGTTTGAATGGCATAGATGAAGAGTGAACTGTGTTTGTGATTCCAGGTGAGTGGCAGCCAGCCCTCCATCTGCTCTGAGACTGGGAGGAGCCTGTACGATGTGTCGGAGGTGTGTCCGTGGGACACAGACGATAATCAGACCCCCACGTCGGAAGTGAAGGCCCAAAAACACGTCTCTATCGCCCCGGGAGAGGCCCTCGCGTGTCGCCGCGGCAGCTCCTCCAGCAGCACCAAGGGGGGGCGCTCTCAGCAGAGACACAAAACGGGACAATCACCAGCCAACAGAAGAAGAAGCAGGGATAAAGGAGCAGAGGACTCCAGAGAACCACGCAAACCCAAAGGCCCCAAGTCTCCACTGCCTTTGAAACCAGACGTGTGCCCATGGGAGTTCGAGGAGCAGCCTGCCCTGGGACCAGAAGGCATTTCTCCAGAGCGAATCCGGCGAAAGAAAAGCGTCACACCCACTGACGGCAAACCCAAAACTCTGCACTCAGACCACTCCAAGTCCACAGGGAGCCTGCTGCAGCCTCCGTCGCTCACCGTGGACATTTGCCCATGGGATTACTCCAGCCCCCCATCGCCCAAACAGGAGCGCGGGTGCAACAGTCCCAGCACGCACAAGAAGAAGCGGAAAGGCTCGTGCTCCTCCAATCACAAAGCAGAGAAGGAGAAGAGCAGAGAGAGGCGAAGCTCCTCCAGCAAACCGTCTTCAGAGAGGAGGAGGGTCAGTCAGTCCTCCGAGTGTCCAGCGGGTGCAGAGCGGAGGAGGAGCTCGTCCAGAGACCCAGAGGTGGTGTATCGGGACAGTGAAGCCTCTCGCAGCGCACAGACTAAGCCCCCCGCGGAGAGGAAGAGGTCTGCTGTGATCAGTGCCCCCAACATGGTGGACGTCTGCCCCTGGGACTTCCCTGATCCAGACTCTGCAGGGAGGCTGTGAGGAGAAACGCACAACTGTCATTTTCACAAGAAGAGAAGAAGATAAAAAGACACATTTCTATCTCTTTTGGGCGGAACTAAAAAAAATAAATGTACTATTTATTGTTGCAACTCAAGCATAACATGACAGGGAATACAAACTTCAGGATACTCGAATAGGTTTGCCGCACATTTGCTAGTTTTCTCAACAAGTCTCGCACAGTTTTAACTAAAATAAATCAGACAAACACCTAATAACATTGGGCCTCCCTACAGTTTACTGCACTTAGTTTTCCCTGGGGATCCTGTTGAGGGATGTATTTAGACGACGGGATAAGCAACCGTCTAGCTGTCAGATGATGAAAAGCGTTGCGAATAAAGTTTTGCATGAATGAGCTGGGAAATTCCTAGACACAAAAGTGAAGCCAAACCTTTAGGCAAATTTCATAATTTATGTCGGAATTAAAAAAATTATTTTGTTTGATCAAAGAAACCAGAGGATTACTATTGTCAAGCCTTCTGCAAATACTACAGTCTTAATTTGGTTTTGTTGTCAGCAACTGGGTATGTTCCATCACACTGAACGCCATCACTTGAGTTCATGTTGCCCATCAATTCTACAGAAGAAATTCGATAAGTAATTACGTTACATATTTATTTATGCTTTTCCGTCTGGTCCGACTCTTCTGGGGCAGTCAATACTAATAATCTGCGTGGTATTGCATGTGATTTACATTTTGATTTGCCAGAGGTTATTTATAAAACGCCTGTTCTTGAAGAGGGTTCAGCAATACTTTTTTTTATGGCTTAAGGCTAAAGATTATTTTGCATCTATTTTTAATTATATTGTTTTATGGCAGATGCTGGCACATAACAAAAGAATACAGTGGCCACAAATAAAACTCAAACATCAAACATGATTACGATCATCATTTAACAGATTTGGCTAATCTGATTTTTAAACTAAGAAGCTGTGAAGTGGGGCTTTCTGGATCAGGAAGTCAAATTCCCCATTCAAAATCCCTATAGGGATTTCAAAAAATTATTATGATGAAATATTTAACACTTGTTAAGGGCTGATCAGCCATCTGGAGAGTAATGACCACAAGATATACATTAACATACAAAGTATGTTGGTCGAACATTAAATTATACACATTTTTTATCTACACCTCGTATAGGATTCTGCAAATAATAGATCAACATACACAAATCCTATTTGACATTTTCTGAACAAAAGTTTAAAGAGGAGTTATTCTTAATTGTCCTCCAGTGATTGTATTGTAATTGTGATGACTTTATTATCCCAGTTAGAGACGATTGACATAGGCCTTTCTAAAAACCATACTGCTGCATTCCAGCTGAATCAACAAGCTGTGCAATGTAGTTGCCAAATGCGAAGTAGCCTCTGTCGTGTCTCCAAACTCATGATATTTGGATTTCTTTCAAAACTAATACTTTGAACCTGTTAGCTCTGCCCACTTTGCACAGAAGGAAAAGGTCATACACTGAGAAAGTGAGATATTCCAGACAATTCTATATGTAGTGGAACACACTCAACAATCAGATGTTGTTGGAATATCTACTTTTCTGTGTTTTTCTTCTGGTCAAATACCTGCACCTTCAGCTTTATTACAGCCTTGTTCTTTCTGCTTGTATGCACTTCCAGACAACAATCCACACAACTATGCATGACCAGTAAACCTTTCACATACATTATTGCCAAGTCTGTTATTTGATTGTTAATTTAAACATGAACAACAACATTTTCATCTGTTGACAAACCGACCACTATGAATAATGAATACAATGCAATGTTGCCCTGCGTCTGTGTGAAGCTGCATCCTGATGCATGATCCGTGTTAGGGGACGACAAACAAACACTTCAAGTTGGTCCTAAAGAATGTGACAAAGTAATAAAGCCACAAAACACAACTTGTATCCTTTTAGTTTTGTACCTTGTTTGGTTGGCCTTTCAAATGGAAGTCTGTGCACTTGATAAACGTATTTTATGCTCGTTAAATGTGTTTCTACTAAAAGTTACAAGGATTGTAGCGTCCACATGGGAGTTTCATGTTGTGTTGCATGTACATAAGAGTTAATGCTACAGTTCTGAATTAAACGTTTTTATGAAAGTCTGTTTTGTATTGAGTTCATGCATCGACTATGAAACTCATAAACTATGAATAGATAGATTTTTATTTATTCTCACATACATCACGTACTATTCTTTTTGCTCTTTTATGACAAATAAAGCCTCATTTGGCTGCACCTGCACTCACATAAAAGGCCAACAGGTTTGTGCCTGACAAATGTGTTCTTTATTGGTAATGAAATGTATGTGTAACATAAAAGGGGATTACAGATTTGCTTCCCAGGAAGAAATACAAACCTGCACTACACATTTTCACATACATCAATATAACAGACATATTTACAAATATACAAGGTTCCAAAAGGAGCAGACGCTTGTATGATTCCCCTTCCTCCCTTAAAATACAAGAGCGATACCCTGGAGCAGAATTCAGAAAACAAATTCCACTACAATGTATAGTATATGACAGTGGCTCAGTTGGTAGACCATTGGCCTGAAGGTTGTGCGTTCGAGCCCACCACAAGACCCACTTCACAACTCCCACTGATGATTGCTGTCGTTGTATCTTTGGGCAAGACACTTAATTCCACTTTGCCTGAGGCCCCTGCTGAATAATCAAGGCTCCTGTGGACTCACCACCTGCAGGAGGATCAGTGAGGGGCTGGTGCTCTGTGTACTGGGTGCAGCTCTGACTGACACCCCCGACCCAGAAATGGATCAAGGGGAAGCAAATGGATGGATGTACAGTATTGTAATCTATTGCTTTTTAAAGTAACTTAGTCATATAATTCATTGAAAATATAAAACTGGTTCTGATTGCAATTAAGTAACTCAAGCTAATTTCATTGTCATTATAATGTTTCATAGTTGTCACTTTCCCAACTAGCCAAAAATAAAATATTGAGCGCTACCATTGGTTGTTGAAATCGGGTTGTACAACACTGCCACCGTGTGGCGTCATGACGCATTTGAGCCAGCGATCTCAGCGAATTTAGGTTAAAATAGCTTTATTAGAAATGTGAATTCGTGCCATAATTTTAGACGTATTTAAATGTTGTAATAGACCACCTAGAAACCCGTCACGGTTTCATGGGATCGTAGCCTTTTTTGCCGGTTCTACAAAAAAGGCTCGGCTACATCTGTGGGTTTTCTTCGCCCCTTATCTAAAGCAGCTTCTCTGTAAATGAATAAATTCAGTTTATGAAATTATTCATTCATGAAAATGTAACTATGTTGTGAATAAAGGACCTCCGCCCACTGCCCACTTACGTCACATCTGCAGGACGTGACACACGCACCGCGCATCTGCTGAAAACTGCACTTTTCTGATCAACTAAAAACAAGACTGATTCATCACCTGCAAAAACCCTCTTTAATCCTCATGGGAAACGTGCAGGTAAGATGTCAGCTGTTTATTGAACGCAGTGACTTTGCATTTCCTGTTTACAGTTTGGGGAGTGCCTTTCCGATTAATTAAGTGCTACTTTGAAGCAGAATGTAAATATTAGTGGATACACAGATACATTACACTAACGGATAGGGCGCAGTCATAGCTTTTATACGTTTATAAATAACCTGCCATATAGTATCTTTTTATTACAGTGAATCTTTTATTTGTATTTTTTCTTTTTTTTTCTTTACATCTATATTTGATCTAAATCCCTATTTGGTTAAAATCCCTGTAGTTTATGCTGATGAATCAGTGGGCTGAAAATTAATATAATAAAAAGTGTTATTCTTGAGAAAAGCGGATCAATAAGGCCGCATTGTGTGAGGGAGAGGAGAGGAGAGGAGAGGAGAGGAGAGGGGAGGGGAGGCTGGGGAAGGACCATGAGCAGGACTGGTCCATGACTCAGCAGCTCCACAGGCTGCGCCCTTTCCCTGCGGGACATTACTATGACCATCATGCATATTTGATGTGTTTAAGGCCTAAATGTCCTCTGCTGTGGGGAATATTGCATTAAAGATGTTTCCATCTGTGTTCACTTTGACATTCTTTTGGGACAGCCCACTATTGTCCCCTTTGAGGACTTTGATGTCACTGCTGATATCAAAGAGATCAGGAAAGCCTGCAAAGGTTTGGGTAAGTTTCAAAATTAAAAATCCAACTATTTGTTGAATCAGTTTACATATAGACCTTTAATCTGCAAGACTCTTGCTTCTAAAATGACAAGGGTCAATCAAACATTTTCCCCTCTCATTTTCATAGGCACTGATGAAGAAACCATAATTCAGATCTTGGCCAATCGCTCCTCGGCTCAGCGCATGGAGATTAAACAGGCTTACTTTGAGAAATATGATGACGTAAGTGTGATTCTATAGGTTTTTTGTCTGCATACAATGTCATTCATAATTGCTACAGTAATAGAGTTTTGCTTCAGGAGTTAGAGGAGGTGTTGAAGAAGGAGCTGACAGGGAGCTTTGAGAAGGCCATAGTGGCCATGTTGGACACTCCTCATGTGTTCTTTGCCAAAGAGCTGAAGAAATCCATGAAGGGCGCTGGGACTGACGAGGCGGTGCTGGTGGAGATCCTCTGCACTGCCACCAACGAGGTCTGTCAGCTTTCAAAGTGCTGTATGTATTCACTTTATGTTATGTGGTGGTAAGCTGTAGGCACACTGACATGAGCAAGGCTATACTCTGTGCCCCTGGGCGCTCTGACCACCGGTCAGTCATACTGAGCCACACGGGGGAGTGTCCTGCCCAAGGACACAACAGCAGCTTGCACGAGTGCTGTGGCCCCAGAGTTCTCATATGATGGAGAAGACATGGACAAATCCTGAGGGTGCCACAATATTATAAATCACAGATCTATGCTTCTTTCCTGTTTAATTGGAACCAGTTAAAGTCTAGTCCGCCACACCAGCAGGCGTTTGACCAGTGACATAGTTAGTGCATGTAATTAGTGACACAGTGTTGGCAAGGACTCACTTTCATATTTGTATTAATATCCTAGGATATCGTCCTCTACAAGGAGACGTATGCTCAGGGTGAGTTATATTTTGCATCTCATGAGCGGGAACCTTATCACAACAATAACATGTTTTAATGAGTTAAATGTGTGTTTTCAGTTCATGAGTGTGAGCTGGAGGCCGACATAGAGGATGACACCAGTGGAGACGTGAGGAATCTGCTCATGTCTCTGTTGCAGGTGACTGGTTTTTGTTTCACAAAGTTACAAACAAATGTATGAATCCTGGTTTTCTCAGGACAGATGGATGTGTACTGGAAATGTTAATGGGAGATGGTTTTGTTTTTTGTTATAGTTTTGCTAAAATAGCGGGTTGATTTGATATGAAACAGACAAGAGGTGGAGGCCTGAAACGATAGGCAATAAAGCGCAACAATAATAATAACAGAAATAAATCAAAGACAGAGATGTAAGGATCTATTTTTTGGGAAATAACCATATTAATTTAAACCTTATTTTAATAGTAAAATAATGTGAGTTGTCCTTATTATGTGACGCTTAAGAGGATGAGCCACATTTATAGAAGACTAGAGAAATCCTAGCGACATACACACAGGCTTCTACTATAATCAAGTAAGTTTCACTGTAGCCAATAATGCTGAAATCTATGTCCTTCATCTTAAATCAAAACTTTATACCACGAACCACCCATTGACATGTGGTTAGAGGTTAGAATTTTAATTTGAACCTTTCAGTAGTGACTGTATTGTTTGCGATCCACCCACTGGGACATTGTTGACACATAACTTCATTGTTTTGTCGTGTCCTTATGCCAACCATGCTTCAGAGCTCTCCCACCACGAGCTGCTTCCTCTGCCTCTCTTCCTTTTCACTGAATTGAAAGACTCTCATTGTAACTCACTCCTGCCTCCTGAATGCTTCACAAATATTTGGTTTTAGTAATGCCACGTGAGATGGTTGTTATCTACACTATATCTATCCATATTTGGGACTCTTTGGTCTCATTTACCCCCACTTAAAGCCATTCCTCTCTCTAAACCCGCACTTGTTTTTCCCCGCAGGCCAGCCGGGACGAGGGTTATGAAGTGGACGAGGAGTTAGCCGAACAGGATGCTACGGCTTTGTTTGAGGTGGGCACTGCAAAGACGTGGGCGCATCCGTTAAATCAGATATATCGTTCCTTTTAAACACCACTTTAAAGTTGAAATATCCTCTTCCTAAATGATTGCACATGTCTGGGGATGACTCGTAAATCCGTTGTATTAGCCAAGCTTTGGTCGGGTCTGGTTTAGCTTTTGTGGCACGTCTATGGCATGACTTAAGTTTCAACATGGGATTTTAAGATTTGTGTGGGAAAAAGTGTTGAGTGTTTCAGCATGTCCCGAGTGCCCGGGTTGGCCCATCGTTCATTTATCACCATATAAGTACAGTGGATGATGTATAACTTCATATCAGTGACTATAGGATTCCATGTACATGTGTTGGGACAGGATACATCCAGAAGTATTTCAAGTATTCTATACAATAGCATTTTTGTAGATGGTTTTATACTTTTTCACACTACAGATAGTTCATTAGTTATTGTTCATTTATCTTGTGCCGTGTGCACCTCATTCCTTCTGTTCTATAACTTGTGATGCAACACTGAAATTTCCCCACTGTGAGACGAATAAAGCGTCTCTTAATCTTCATCTTAAAATATTTTGTCAACATTTTAAAGTACTGTTTAGCAATCAGATGTATGCATGATCCAGTTCAGAATGTTTGAAAAGGGGGTCTGCTACACCAGGTGACTTATTGATGGGTTTAAAATCTCCATCAAACAACTCTGTCAAACCAGATCTGTAGAGAAATACACGTTAAAATAAATGCCATACTGTAGAACGGTTTAACAAAATCCATCCCTCCACTATCACCAAGACACAAACCAGATGATACACCTTTAAATCATGGATAATCATAGGTACGGACAGCACTTCCTGTGTAATACATTGATTAACTGACTAAATTGCTTACACATTCAAAAAATTTAAAGATAGAGTGCCTAACTTGTTGTTTACATTCTGTTTGTCCCAAAAGAAAGGGTCTCATAAAAGATTCTTGACCGACATGTTGACTTCATCTTATAATAAAACTTTTCTTTTTTTGCATACGGAAGAGCACTGTGACTCACTATTTGATGATTTGTTCTAAGAGCTGATTGGTTGAGTGAAGGCAATCCTCTCTGTTTCACTTTTCCGTCTAAAAAAGCTGATTCAAAGATGTGACAGAGGCCGAAGAGCGAGGAAACAGTCAGATGGATTTTATTACTTATTTTCATTTGTTGCATTTTCGGAAATAGTTCCCCCAGCTTTGAGTTGCCCACAATTACACACAGTTGCCATAGTTGCCACAGACAAACACATGTGTATTTGTTTTGCAGGCAGGTGAGGGCATGTGTGGCACAGACGAGTCCACCTTCAGCCACATCCTGACGCACAGGAACTACATGCAACTGCAGGCCACATTCAAAGCCTACGAGTCTGTGAGTAGTTTGGGGTCATTTTCAACTTGTGATTTGTAAATCTATGTATCCATGCTGTAATGTACTCCTCTAACAGCTCTCTGGCACTGACATATTGGACACTATTGACGCTGAGGCTGCTGGGACGCTCAAAGACTGCTACGTGACCCTGGGTATACTGAGTGTGGAAATCTGAGCTCACACGAGGCTAAATATGAGCTTACATTATGAACCATAGAGGCCTCATAACAAGTCTCTGTCTGCGGCTTTTTCACAGTGAGATGTGCAAAAAACCCACAACTCTACTTCGCCCGGCGCCTTAATGCTGCGATGAAAGGGCTGGGAACAGACGAAGACACCCTCATCCGGATTATCATTACACGCTCTGAGGCAAGTGAATATAGACTATTTATTGTTAAAATACACTGAGGAATTATGTTTAAAAAACAAAAACAAAGTGGCATGTACATTTTCAATCTTGTTTCTGACTTCATTTTAAAGCTAGAAACTTCAATAAAATAACTGTTTAATAATGTTTTTTGACCCAACAGAAAAATAAAAAATTGTCACAAGTCACGATTTGAAGCTTTGCGCTGAGAGAAAAAAGCCAATAGTAAATGTCTGCGAAGAAAGTGATGGAACCAAACTATTTTGAGAGCAAAGAACTATTAAATGATGTGTGTACAAAACAAAGCCAAAAAACTGGGTCACAAAACATTTTAATGCAAGATATCATTTTCAAGTCAATAGGGAAAATTGAGACTGTACTTTCTATATTGTCTGTTACTGGAAAAAAAATAATTATATTTTACTGGATGACCCAAGCGTAATTAATTAATCTTGAATCTCGAATCTTGATTACTTTTCCTAATAATCTTCATAAACATTGGCATAGGCCTCACCAGTAAGATTTGCTGGAGGAGAATAGTTAGACCAATGGTGAGGTAATTAAATATTTGAATTAATTTGGTCCAATCAGGGACTTGTGGGGGAGGGTCTGAGTGCTGCTTGTGTTCAAAAAATTGTTCTCCGTCTTTAAAAAGTAACTGACCATAACATCTCACAAAAAATATCAATTGCAAGGAATCATTGATGGGCAGTATGTGCGCGATGATACTAGGCTTGCACTGAAATGTATTAAGTGTTGTGACTTTGTGTTTTGACAGATTGATCTGCAGACAGTGAAGGACATGTACTTGGAGAAATACGACGTGACTCTCAAAGACGCTCTGGACTCTGAGTGCGGGGGAGACTTCAAGCGCCTCCTCATTGAGATTCTTCACTAAGCACACTGCCCCCTGCTGGCCTCACCCCGCATCACCGCCCTAAAGCCACTTTCTCACACGCTCTATCTGTGCTCTGTCACTAAAGAAACGCAATGCAACTTTTACTTTTCATAAAACGCATATTATGTTGTTTGAATACAATGTCCTCAATGCCTTTCTTTAAAAACTTACGAATGCAATTTAAATGTATTTGTAACATGCAACACACAAGTGCCCGTATCCACTCTCACTGTACCAATCTTCTATAAAACTACACTCAGTGACGTCTTGGTAGCTACTATTTTTAACAGAGATTTTATTATGAAGCAAGACTGCCCTTGTTTTTTTAATCTTTGCTAACGCTGCTGTTTTTACCGATACTCTCTCTTAATAGTATTACTGCTTTTAATATAGATGACTGAAGTACTGAAGACTAATAACCTCAACTCATTTACTGCCTGTACTCATATTTATTATGTTTCTGTGTCAATGTGATATTATTGTACTACTCAAAGCACTGTGGTGTCCTTTACTCTCTCCTAGAATATAATAAATTATTAATCAAAACTATTGTCCATATGAAATGTCCAATAATGGGCTTTTCGATGTGTATTTATTTAGTTGGTTGGAACTGTGCTCATTTCCATCCGTTGTCCGTCAGTCACACTCACAAACACACTTATTCACCTTTCACTATTTTTAAGTGGTAGAGGAAACCGGAGGAAACCTACGCAGACACAGGAAGAACATGCAAACTCCACACAGTCTCGAGGTGGGATTTATAAATGTACTTTTAACACTGAATAAAACTCCCAGAATTCCAGTGTTAAGTATTTACTGGGAACTGTGTGTAAAAATGGAAATGGGATTTAGTGTCGCCTCTGGAAGAGTTCAAAGAAAATAGTGAACACAACAAAACTCGCTCCAGATGACTTTTCACTTTCCTTCTCCTCTTTTTTTGTTTCAATATCGAGAGCAAAGCTTGTGCTACACCTGTTTCTACACATTCTTGCACTTCTATAGCAGTCTGCGCACCATATGAGGCCACATGCACTGTCTGCGCTCCACTGTTTAATAGAAAACAAATGGGGAGGTATAGACCGACTTCGGCAAAACGTTTTGTGTTCCACAAACTTAAAGCTGGGGAACCACCATAACTTAATCAAACGCATGTTACTTATCCCTTGCTCTCCAAACAGTTCTATAACTAGTTTTTACATGCAACAATTTTATCATGTAAAGTCATCATTAAATGGCCCTGATACTGTATGTCAAAAGGCATTCATAAACCATGCTCTTTTCAAATGCTTCTTTAACTGATAACAGTAGTTCAGTAGAGATATTTGGATTTCAAAATTACTTTTACAGACCCTGAATCTTGTTATTGTTTTCATTTCGATGTCCCGCCCTCCACTATTTTACCATTCAGAAAGTCCGTGACCCGGGTTGCCTAATCTCACTGGTAAAGTAACATGTGGCCACAGAATTAAAAAAGGTCTTGTTGTGATTCTCAAATCATTTATGACAAAACAAGGAATAAAACGAGGATTTCGATCAGAGCCTTTGTGAAAAAGGTGTTGGTTCAACATTTGTTGTTGACAAAACTCTTGTCTATTCAGCTATATTGTCCCAGCTGGAATCGTCTGCTTATCTGGCAACTTGAGTCAAAGAGAGTGCAGTATCACTTTTGGCCAGATTTTTACATATTGCTCCTTTAAGATCAGCGTTTTCAGACAGAAAAGTGAACGAGGACCACCCCAGCCTCAGCCACCTCAGCTCTCAACCCAAAGTGTCAAATAGTGACTCACAGGGCTTATCAGTACAAATAGATGTCTACTTACAAGATGAAGCCAGTATGTTATGGCTCTGCTTTGTTCATAGAATTTAACTTTTGCAAGATTTGGCAAAACAATATGTATTACTTGTGGAGTGGAAAAAAGTGATGTAAGCCAGCAAAAGACACATACATATCTTTTCACATCCAAAATCATCATTGAACTATGCAGTTAACACATTATCCTTGACATGTGCAATGCAACTGTCTTTGTACTGTATCTGCTGAGCCCAGACGGCCCTCAGTAATCACAGAGACTTTGACCTTCACACCAGAGTGATGTGTGCCCCCTGCTTTGTTCTACTGTTCAAGTTTAACACAGGTTAAACCACATTTGTTATTTATTGGGGGACAACCTGGGACCGGAACAAATTTGCCAATAACCTAGCTCTAGGAAATGGTTCTGCTTCTGTTACCAGTTTATGTCCAACACTGTAAAAAAAAGTTCTCAGATATTTCCTATAGTGTTGTTGTCGAGTAAAATTCACCGCCAGAAAACAATGGAAAAAGCATCAAATTAATTGTTATTTTTAACTATGGAAATGATAAGCATGAAAGTCTAGCATCAGGACAGTGGTGATGATCCAGGACACCCGACATTCAACAATATTTTTGGACATTGGTCATCTGCTCCTGATGGACCAATGTGTTTTGACTGTTTCATTCTCTGATCTGTGTTGGCGAAATCAACGGTTGTATAAAGTCCACTGAGATAACTACTGTTGTGATTTAGGGCTGTTCAAGAATACATTGAAGTTACTTGAATTGACAAGCAATGTATTTCCTATTTACACTGACTAGGTAAAGCTCTTTGTTCTAGTGGTATTTTTTCTATTAAGACAGATCCAGATAAAACCCCCCCTTATTGAACCGCTGTCCTTCCCCTGAATTTTTTCCTACACTTAAAAATACTGAAGGATAAAGCAAGTTAGGTGATGAAAAAACAAAAATCTTGAATGTACAGAATGCACTTTTGTCAGGATGAAAGGGAGAGGGGCAGAGGAGAACTGCAGAGTAACTTCTATGCTTGGAGCTTAAAAGTTTATGGTTGAACGTCAGAACAAAGGGAAAAACAAAATATTTTGTCTCGAACACATTTAATCGACATAAATAATGTTTGGTGAAGAAGAATGACCCTGAGCCCAGATTGTTATAACTGGCTCTCATCTCTAACCTTTAGCTTATTTTACAAACACACAAAAAACATTGATGGCTAACGTTAAACAACCAATATACATTTCATGACATTCTTTAAAGGAACCAGCATTTTGAACGTGAAAAGTACAAAAAGTCAATAAACACGGCATGCAGAACAGTGGTTAACATGAAACATATGCTCCAAACACTTCCAGTAAGAGTCTCTGAAGGCAACACACTGAGCAGAGACAGCAACACAATGAGCCAAGTTACAACTATAAGCCTCTGGAGAACATAGTTTGCATCAAGTTCTTTGCAACAGACGAAACAAATGAGGAATGAAGAGACATTAATAACGAACAATAAGCTTAAAAAGACAGGACTGCATCCGATTAATGAATATACCCTCTTCCTATTGCCTTCCCCTTATTACTGGGCACACAAAGTAAAAAACGAAACTACGGGTTGCCATTTTCTAATTGAGGACGAGATTTCATTGTTGTAATCATCATCATGTGACGCTCATTGGAATTTTACTGGTAATGTGGCTATAATAGCCATTTTTGTTATAATAAGAAATAATTAAACAATAAAACTTTGATCACAAAAGACCGTGTTTACCATAACCATGTTTACCTTGTAATCTAAAATCTAATGTTACACTTGGAGTCTTAAAGTGCTTTAAAATGGTCATACATTTCACTTGATTAAACCTGAGCTTGTCTCAAAAAGGTACATTTGAAAGGACAGAAAGTTGGAGGAATGTGGAAGGAGATAAGTGTTAGTGAATGTGGATGCAGCCAAGGTTTAGTGTTGCTACTCTGCCACCCAGAGGACTGACACGGCACTGCCGGTGTGATGGCTGATCTGATTGACTCGTCCACGAACACAGTCCAGAGTGAAATACACAGACGTCCCGTTATGAACCCTGAAAGACGACCTCAAGCTCACACCAGCCCACTGACTTCCCTCTGGCATCTGCCCCCCAACCTGCTGGGCCAGGGGTACAGGACGAGCCCCTTCTGCCTCTTTCCCCCCCTGCCCCCCCTCGTGGTCCCCCCGCCTGAGGAGCGTCACCTTGAGCAGGCTGCATGAGTGAATGAGTTTCAGGTCCAGTGCTATACTGGCAGTGCCACTCTCTTTGAAGACAATATCTCTTTTCTGTTCAGTCGTTCCCTTTGAAACCATTCCGATCTGGGGCACACGGGGGCTGGTTTGATGGAAGAATAACGGCTTGTTCCGGACAGCTCCAGACGGGAGGCCCGTAGAAGACACCGCTGCAACCAGAGAGGATGAGATGGCTGCAGGAACCCACACTAGGCTCAGCTTACTGATGCTTGTGTCATCTCCAAAGAAGCGCACATTGCACTGAGCAGGAGACAGTATTTCAAAGGCCAGAGTGTCCCCAGGGCCCACTTTAGCGGCCCCTGACACAGATATAGATGTGTCCCGGTAGTGAACTCCAGGCTTGAAGCTCCGGCTCAGTTCTACTCCTGTCCCATTTTGACTGACATACGCTAACACCTGGAAGCCCTCGCTCACACACGCCTGCCCCATTGAGTACAGCGCCTGCTGGAACACAAACCGCACCGTGCCACTCTCGGAAAAGCGCACCCCTCTGCCATCATGTGTCAGGCTCACTACATACGGGTCTGATGTGGTGCTCATCCTGAACACTGGCCTGTAGTTTGTGTGGTAATGAGTAGAGACCACTGCCTGCGCCGACATGGCCACGGCTCCGGTGTCATGAGACAACCACATCAAGCTGAAGGAGGCGGCCGAAGGGCTGTACAGCTGCAGACCATCGCTGCTCTGGTTACAGTGGTGACTGGCACTCCGCAGGAAGACTGAGACCACATGACCGGGGGCGACCTCTGCCACTGCACTGATACTGACGCTCTGCAGGTAGCGACCGTCTCGCTGCTCCACCCTGATGCCGCTGAGCTCACTGCTCTCAGCTCCGTCGCTGCTGTTCATCCTCAGACACACCTGGATGAAGCTGCGGCACCCGTGGCTCACAGGGAGGTTCTGATCCAGCCACACCAGGCCATGCTGCCTAAAGATCAGCCGACCTGCCTCTGCAGACAAGAGCCCTGCTTCACTGCGCCCCTGAATCTGCAGCTGTAGACTGGGGACATGGGTGAGGATGTGGCCCTTCTCTGAGGATAAGCTGATGTCCCCGGCCCAGGACAGAGACAGAGCTGAGGCTCCAGTGAGAGGCCCAGAGCACATGGTGTCTGTGGTGAAGGTGCAGGCAGAAGCAATGGGCTCTCCATCACACTCACTACACGCCTGGCACTCGTCCATGTCTGAGTTGAAGAAATAACCATGTGTACACATCCCCAGGTCAGCATCTCTCTCAGTCATCCCTTGGCACCTGAATCCACCTGGAACACCAACATAATTACAATCATTTATTTGAAACACTAAGTTGTTTCAAAGGAAATGCATTCTAACAGTCTATTCCTTTCTGAACATTGTGGCTGAATGCTACTTCAATATTGTTGATTTGAATATTATTGCAGCTTAAAGCCCGATTCTATCCTTTGCATTAATTCAGAATGAAGTATAAATATAACACATTTAAGAAAACAATAAAAGGCATACCTGGAGTATTAAGACATTTATGAGTGTCACTGCAAAGGCCAGTGATTTCAAGACATTCATCTCTGTCCTGCAACAACAACCAAACTGCATAAATGTATTATTACATTATGATTAGACCCATATGTCTCCATGGCCTCTGTGGTAAAAATACAGACCTGACAGATCCTATCAGCATGAATTGAGCACTGAGCGACTAAGAAGAAGCCAGCGGGACACACAGTGCACCTCTCACAGTGCGGCCGTCCACTGCTAAAGGAGCAGTACTCGTCTGGTCCACATCTGCCACAGGCCAGGGGCTGGCTCACCTACAAGGCCAGTTATGGGTCACTCAAAGCTGACATTCATAGTGCAGATATAGAAGAACTGTAGCAATTCTGAATAATCTCACCTCCATAACGTTTGCATTCATATCCACTTTGTGCAGAGACAGAGCCTGCTGAGCCTGGTGAGCTCTGAACTGTCCTTCCATAGCCTCAACGGGGTTGTTCACATCCCCCTGGAAGTTCTGCAGCGATGTGTGTTTGATGCTGTCAATCAGTATGTTGTACTGGGCTTTTACCTGGAAGAAAAGGGTCTCAAAATCTACATGTATTGTTATAATTTGGATGCCTTTTGCCAAATCTTCCTCCATAACTTACTTGCTCCATTTGATCAAACATGTTCCTCTGTTGCTCCAGGATTTCTCTCTGCTGGTTGAGAAGCGCCCCCTGCTGTTCAGTCAGGCGCCTCTGCAGCTCCCGCACCTCGTCCTGTTGCCCCCTGAGCGCCTCAACGAGCTTCTCTTGCCCTTTACTCAGCTGCAGTTGCAGAACCAGCGCGTCCTCAGAGGGGACCTCGTTTCCCCCTGCAGCTGAAACACACAGGGTTACTGGTGTACTTGTGCTGTTCGCTTAATAGGGCTTACAATTTACACTCTAACTCTATTTTATAAGTTTCCATTTTGGGCATAGTCAGCTTCATGAAGATGAATGGATGAATGTTAGTCTTTGCTGTTAAATGTGGCTAAAGCATGTTCCATATCACGCAAACTTACTTGGCTTGATGTCACAGTTAAGTTGTATCCATGCGCCTCTCTCTGCTCCAAAGTCTGGAAACTCATCCAGAAACTGCGCGGCTCTGTCTGTGAGGCGCACTGGGGGGACTTCTTCAGCGTGCGCGCCACAGCTCTCCCCGACGCACACCTTGGGCTTTTGGCGCATGAGTTGAGGAAGCTTACATCCAATTCCCTTGCATTCTCGTGCGGCATCTCCCGTGGACCCCTGAGACACGCTGGTGGGACAGATGCCCCCTGAGCAGCCCGGATGAAACACCTCTGCAGTGATGGTCCTGGGATTGGTCCTTCTCGTCCCATCGAAGCCCCCCGGAGCATGGTGCAGAGCATATGGCTGGTTATAGTCCTGCTGAAAGCCCGCGGGGTACACTGGCCCCTGTCTGCTGTGCGCTGAAGTTTGGTGCTGACGTCTGGTGTCCACGAAAGACCTGCTCCAGTCTGGGGCCGGGGAGCAGCGCGGGCCTCGGCACAGATTAGGAGCACTCTGCGCTTTGGTTTGTGCAAACACAATCACACAACACGTCACTAAAGTCCAACTCATTTTGAGAAGTCACAGAATGTCGGTAGCCTATCCACCAGCAGAAGCTCTTCCAGTGTATCCCAAATGTCGCGAAGCACAAGAGGCTGCTCTCAGCTCACGTCCATCCTTCGTGCGCCTGAGCTGTGCGCGCTCTGCCCCCTGCGCCAGAGCCTCATCCCAACATGTGGCTCACTGTACATAATTGGCTGCAGGTTTAGCTCCTAGTCTTAAATTAACCCCTCGTTTTCCCGGACATACTTTCCTGCACACTTCACTGGAATAGGGCGTGTGGCAGAACTCGGGACGATAGCATTTATTTGTTTACGTCACAGCTCATGTAATGAATTGAAAGCCTCTCAAGCGCTTTAACGCCGTCTTCTTTGACTTTAGCAACGCACCTTTTTTAATTGACCTTTTCAAAAAGAGCTTCTGATTAAAAGTGGCATCAAGACTTTGAAGTCGACCATATAAAGACACACAAGAGCTGAACTTCCTCCAGGACAAACCTTTAACTTTTACAAGCCTCTGATTAAAGCCTCACTCTCATTAAGCACAATCTGTATTTAAGAATGATCACTAAGTCTCAAAACCACTGAGCCCAAAGGACCATTCAAGGCTAAAGGTTATTTCCCGGTATTACAGTAAAGCATTTCACAGTTTAATAGTTGACTAAAGGAGGGTGATTGACCTTTACCAGAAATGTTCTCTCTCAAACTAAACAAGTCATTATGAAGCTAAATATGTGTCTAAAATATAACCATGTGACAGACAACTCCATTCACATCATATTGTGACCCTGGGCCCCTCCAACAGGTGCTTTCAGTTACCACATTACACAGGCCTTTACTGCTCACAGGGAGAGGATTAAGAAACTAATTGTCACCATTAGTCATTTATTGCCCAATCTAATGTATTTTCTGTAGGATATACTTAAAAGGAAATAACATGGAGATTATCTGTGTCTTTCTTCTGTACAAAGTCTAAACAAAATGGAAACAAAAAGTACTCACATTGTTCTAAATATGTAAGCCTAGTACGTTGGGTTTCACCCTTGGTCTGAGAGTCACACAAATACATATCCACATCCTCTTTCACAGGAGAAGAAACAAGACTCTCATGATGACCTGACACTGAGTGAGAAGAAGACAGAAGGTAAGCCGTACTGAACTCATTCTAATAAACGTTGGGTGTTTGTGTTTACTCAAAAAAAGATTTGTTATTTGAAATATACTTTTCAAGAGTAGACTGATGGAACTCTCACCTACATCTGACATATCATAGAAGCAATGCGGGTGAAGTCTCTGCTCTGTGACTGGACTTGGCAAAAAAAATACATTCGGTTGGGACTATTCTGGTTAAATAGAGGTCAGAACAGTGTCTTTTCTCACACAACAGGAGACATTGATCAGAACCACAGCCGTCCCACTTGGAATTTAGCATCCAAATATTAACCAGGCCTGATGCAGCATCCTCGGTCTGACAAGATCGGGCTCTGACAGGCATGGCCAATTATATCTAATGATATCTTTACAATGAATAATTGAATAATTCAAAATATTAGAAACAACTGTGTGAGGACAAAGTAGAATATGATGACAAAAGCTTTCAGATCGTGGATTTTAAGTCTCCATAAATGCTTTGGGTTTTGGCTTCTGTCTTGTTGCTTGCCGTTTGTTCCGTTGACATCTGGGAGCTCATTGGGAGGCACAGAACAGACTCAATTGAGGCTGGAATTCATAAGTAGTTGTGGTTTTACCATGAGAGAAGAGGGGCTCACAAACACTGTGTGTCATCGGATGCAAGTCCCTTATCCAATCGAATCAGTCATGATTGCTGCTGACATGCGACGCAGAGGTGTGGAGCAGCCACAAAGGTGCATTTTCTCAGATCCAAATGTTCTCTTTCATATGGAAATGATACAGAGCTAAATCAGAGCGGCTGTTGACCGTACTTTCAGTTCATTACATTTCACTGGACATCTGTTTACTCTCAGCATAAACACAGCAAAAGAGTGAGCGCTGGTGGGAATGAACAGCAGGGTCTACTGGTGCTCTACGCTCTCATTAAAGTTGGGTACCTGACTTTCAAACCCCAAAAAAGTGAAACTACATCAGAAAATCCATCCAACTAATTCCTTTCTTTCAAAAGTATTGTTTTTAACTGTCCTTCACATGCATGGATATTTCACATTAGAGGTAAAGGCAAACTGTGGGAGCTGAACTGTAAAACAACAATCTGTGTTTATCGATCTAAAATCTGGGGTACGTAACTTTCAAACGCTCATACATCATTCTCGCTCTCAGAACACTTTGGTTCTATCACTAGTTTTCACATGCATGCAAAGCCAATCAGCTCTTAACCCAACAAGTCAAATAGTGACGCAGGGCTCTTTCTAACAAATATGCACAATAACATTTCTGTTTTAGACAAACTTTATTAGTAAGGTTGGTACCCCAGCTTTAAAGCAACTGAGGAGAGGAAAAGGTAGCACTGTGACTAAACTATTGTAAATAAAATGTACTGATACTTAACTCGGCTCTACTTTAAATTGACTGGGTGAGTGGATAGCACTCTCGCTTCTCAGCAGTCCTGGGTTCGAATCCTGGTCGGAACAGGGCCTTTCTGAGTTAAGTTTGCGTGTTCTCCCCGTGTCTGCATAGGTTTCCTCCGGGTGCTCCGGTTTCCCCTACCACAAAAAATATGCACAATAGGTATGAATGTAAATGAGAGAGTGAATGGATGGTGTTGGATGGGGCTTTGATGCACCAGTGTGTTCGGCAACTCGCTTCCGTCATCACTGTGTGTGGAATGATTGGAACAATATCTGAACTCTGAACTTTGTAAAGCGCTTTGGGTGACCTTGGTCGGTAAAATGCGCTATATAAATAAACATTATTTACTTACTTACTTCCTTACCCAGAAAGTCACAGATCTAGAAATATTGTGTACCCAAAACGTACATGTGTGAAATAAAGTTGGCTTCTTTGACCTTTTGCACTAGTGAATTACACTCTAGTTTTCAGTTCAAGATGAAAGTTCCTGGCTCAATGTTGCTCAAATGCAGATTTTTTCCATCTTAAAGTGTGTGTTCGTAGAAGTAATGTAGATATTTATAGCATAGTTGTTATAGTATAAAGCGTTTTGTTATTGATAGACTGATCCGCACACACAATGGCGTATCGCCGACTTGGCACAGAACCGAGGCTCATTCTCCAGTGTTTTTAAGCTGCTCCATATGCTTCATGTATTTTTGACTTGAAATCTGGCGACTGGGACCCATATGGGCGAATCCAGAATCCTTCAAAATAGGGTCGAAGAAAATCTGCAATTGGTGTAAAAATGTCACAAACATTTTCACGTCGTTTGGGTGACACGTCTTTGTGCGTTACCAGGTTTCAGCTAAGTGCAACATGTCGAGGGCCTTTGCTTCGTACAAAAAATAGAGAAATAGAATGTTCAACGAAACGGTTATTTTAACTGGCATGACAAACAAAAAAATCAATTAGTTTCTTTGGCCCAGCAGAAAGAGTCCTGTAAAATCAAAGCACAACATCTCAGCAGTTAATCTTATTCAAAAACATGTTACCTTATGTGTACTTGTAAGAAGTCAGTGATTGGCTCACAGGGCTGATAGCTGATTGGCTGAGTGGGTGGTCCTCTTCTTTCACTTTTCTGCTGGAGAAAAAGCTGATTAAAATGTCAATCAGGAATGATCGACATTTTTCGACATTGTTGAACTTTATATGATTTCAAAGTTAGGTACCGCAGATTTAAAGGTTTCTCCTGCTTGCCGATATCATGACATGCAAGTTCAAATACAGTATTATGAAAGACCAGGTGCTCTCAGCCATTGAACAGACACAATGGCTGAGGAAGCTGCCCTCACAGGTGGAAATGGGAAATGGTCTGAGGTCTAACAAAAGGTCTGAGGCTCATCTAAAACCTGAATCAATGAAAGTCCCTATAGTGACTGGGGCCACAGCGGTCCTTGTAAACCGCGTACATGTTTCGACTTGCAGTTTCATTCTTTTAAATCAGGACTGAAAGTGGGATCTTTTACAAAACATTCTTGAAAAGAAAGTGAAAATATTTTAGAAACCTTAGTGAAGTTGTTCTTCTCATACAGACATGTTTGTGTAATATATATGACAAAGATAATAGTCTGTATGTGCTATAGATGGAGGAAATAGACGAGATTTTCAATCAGCTGCAAGAGGAGATGGAGGATCTGACTCAGGTGAGGCCGTAACAAGTATGTTCTTTCAGGTTATCATATAAATATAAATATCAATGCACATATAGGGACGAATCTCTGTTTTGAATGAAAAGGAATGAGCTGTTATTTGACACAACGAACAACGACCTAATTCATCTCATTACAAGGACATCAACACCCTCAGTGAAATACGTTTATTTAATGTTTTGTTTAATCCGATTATAGCCTGGTCAAAACACTCACACACTCATAACATATTAGATGAAATACATTTTTTGTCCTCTCAAAAACATGTTTGAGCCAAGAGCCAGCAAAAGTTCCTTAGCAACGGTTGTCATGATCAAAATGTAGACACACAGAAAAAGCTTAATTTTCTTACATTTAACTTTATAAATAAAACATATTTTATCAATAAATATGATATGATAGCATGTTTAGCAACTTAATTTAACTTACTGGTGTATAACAGACCTAATACAAAAGTTAACTGTTCTCTCTGCTGTGTGTTGCTATGGTAACCACTTGATATGGAACCGATGATTTAACATTAGGTCCAAATAGTATTAATAATGGTAGTTTGTATTGGAATCCTCTCTGGTCGTGGTATAATTGTGCAACAATCCATTAGTTCTGTCCAATTATCTCCTGCATATCCTCAGTTTCTCCAGTCAAACCAGCCAAAGCTCATTGTTTACATTTACTGTTCAGTCTAAATGTTTTTCAGAGACATTACGCCATCGTGTCCTTTAAGCTGCTCTTCATCTGCGCATACGCCAAAGAAAACATTACAAGGCCTCTTGAATCAAGGCCAGCCGCAGGGACAGTTTATCTCAAACTTCTGCACAATATAGTCTAATAGAGCAAATTTACAATAGTTCATGAGCGTCACTTTGGCTCCAGCTTCACACGGTAAATCAGGAGGGAGACAGATTTAAAAGCTGATCTCTGAGTATTCAAACTATTTAATGGTGAAGTCACTTATGTGCTGATTGGGCCCATTCGTCCTTCAAAGAAAAGCTTGGACACTTTGAATTGGTAGATTTGGCAGATTGTCATGTGCTGCGGGCCACATTCACAAAGTGGCATGAAATCAAATATTTATTCGAGCATACAAAGTACATTCCTTTTAAACCTCAGCGACAAATAGAGAACACACATACAACAAAAGTACATTCAGTGTTCATATGTTACACATGTGGTCTGTAAATAAAAGACACTTGAAATTCTGGCACATGCTCAGGCAGGTTTCAGAATGACTATATATTTGGGCTATTGTCAATTTGTCATAGAGAATAACAATCTAAAACCAAATATTAGATTAGATAGATTGAAATGGACAAAAGACCCCAACATGTTTTATGTAGTTGGAAGTTGAAGGCCCCAAAAAGCCTAATAATAATAGAGTAATAGTAATAATAAGAGTAGATTATAGTGTCATTGTTGGTGTTGTTTATAATCTAATAAATATACATCTTTTTGACGTATGCATTTTTTAAAGTGGTGTCAGACTCATTTTGGTCGGGTGCCAAATTTAAAATCATAAGAGCTGGTTGGGGCCGATAGTATTATTTGATATGAGTTTGTACATTATTTTCAGATAGGTTTGGATTCAACCACAACTGGGCCAAATATCAAGAAGAGATATATTTTAAGACTGATAGTTTAATATGAAAACTAAATTTTTGGCCTAATTTTACCTGTAATCACATAGATAGATAGATACTTTATTGATCCCAGTAGGAGAAATTCAGGTGTCTAGTAGCAGCAAAATAAAAAAAAAAAAAAGATCATGCTAAAAAGTTAATAATAGTTATAATCAGCAACAGCCCTTCAGGTCACAGCAGCAGAGGTGGAGTAGCCTCTGGGTGGAGCAGGACGGGTCACAGAAGCAGAGGTGGAGTAGCCTCTGGGTGGAGCAGGACGGGTCACAGAAGCAGAGGTGGAGTAGCCTCTGGGTGGAGCAGGACAGTAGCTGCTTGGTTCAGACCATTTTCTCGGCTCTAGTCCAAAGTAAAATGCTAAATGCTTAATTAGCATTTTTCAAAAAGTTAGCGTTCCACCAGTGGATTTTCACATGATCCGCTTGGTTCAGACCATGAATCCTCTCTGCTCCGATCTGGACCAGTGCAAAACTATGAACACCGTACTGCACCAACATCCCAGGTAGAAAAAAGCAATACAAATAAAAATTCAAAAGCACAAAACAACAACTGTTTCAGAGCTACTTAGGACTTAAGCCTAGTGTATACTTGCGCGGCGTGGCTTACGTTAGCGGTTGCGGTGGACCTACGTAAGCACAATTGATGTTATACTGGCGTGTTCCCCTTACGGAGTTTTGAGGAGAATGTTGTAATCCCACAACAAACCACATGAGGGCGATCACACAGGAGCGGTCCCATTTACGCTGCTACTTTGTCCTCTTCAGAACAACAATAGCAAACAAAGCTGTTTGAGCTCATTACACGTGTTTCTACTGTAGGTTTATGTGATAGGTTTATGGATTCATTATTTTATAAGTAATTTCAACTGTGATGCTGTGAATAAAGACACAGTTCTTGTTGGAAACATAGTTATTATTAAATAGTTTTCAGCACAAACAGCAAAACAATAATAGTGGTAAATATCTGAGACAAACATGAACGATTTACGAGTGCAGGAGGAAAGCAACAAACGCAGCTACGATTCAAACAAGACAGGAACAGTGCAAAACAAACGACTGCACAGTTTATAAGTTATATATATGTGTTAGATAGTCCACTGTCTCCTGTATATCAGGCTCTGAGCCCAAACTGCTTTTCCTTCGAAGCACAAAGCTCTCTGCTCCATAGTGCCTCGTCCATTGTCCCTGCTGCAGCCGCCCCGTGCTTCCTTCCAATACACACACACGGACCAATCACAGCGGAGATTCCTTGCGGCGACCCTTACGTAGTTAGAAAATGTCGATGCTGCGCGGCAGGCAACGTAAGGGCCTTGCGGTGACCAACGCGTTGCGCAAGTGACGTCAGGTCACCTCCGTAAGCTCCGCGCCGCGCGAGTATAAACTAGGCTTTACAGCCGTTTTCCAGCACATTCAAAAGTAAATTATAACATGTGCGTTTACATTTCAGAACAGATTCAATTATATGGCTGTTTTCCTGATACACTTAATCTAGAATCAAGTATAACCCATTTCCATCAAATGCTTAAATTTGTGTAATAGTGATAATTGAAAATCATTTCAGGGGCCACTAAAAATGGTCTTGTGGGCCGGATTTGGCTCTCGGGCCTGAGTTTGACATGTCTGCTTTGAATCTTCATCTACAAAATTTTTTTTTTCAAATGACTTATTATCTCACAGATTAATTTTGAAAGTACAATATTTGAGAGGAAACAAAAAACAACTGATTGTAAAGTTTAAAATCATGTAGAGCAGGGGTCCCCAAACTTTTTCCTGTGAGGGCCACATAACTTTTCCCTTCTTCGATGGGGGCCGGGTCAGTTTGCAATAGAAAAAGTGTGATGATTGCAGCGTTGAAATAGTTACTAACTAATAGTAAATGATGAAAAAAGTTCATAACTAAGGAACTTTTTATTGCAAAAGTCCAACTTTATTATCAAATACACACATGGGTGTGTTCAGAGTAAAGTGTCAAAGTATCTGGACTTTAAAAGGTTATAACTCAAAAGCTAAAATTACTATCATAGATTGGAAACAAGTTTTCAAACACAGACAGATTGAAGAGATAGTGTGGATAAAATCCAAAGGAAAGATTCACAAATATTTTTTTGGCAACATTTTAAACGACAAAATCAGCCTCTGATTTCATTTGACCATTCTACTGTGACGCCAGTTACATAGAAAATAAAATTTCCTCAGTCTGAAAAAGCGGCAGATGAACTCCCACAAGATTTACATAAACACAACATCAGTAAATCACTTGATATAAAAAGGAATCGTTAAAAAAATAAATGACCCTTGAAAAAAGTGTAACGAACGTGATGGTTTCCGTCCATTTTTCTCTAACAATTAAACTTGAGAAAAAAAAATCTGGTCAAGTTTCACATTTGATATGAAATTATCACTTTGTTTCTACTCTACGTAAAAAAGATAGAATCTCTGAATCAAATGTGAACATCTAAAAATACATAACAAACTTCTGCAAAGCTCATTCTGTCAAATCATCACGTCCGTTACATAAAATAAACAGGGCCACTATAGGAAACTTGTATAATGTATAAAACAGTTTTGTTCTAGCAACTTCTATTGGACAGAGGAGGTGTTTGGAAACATGAAAAACATTAAATATCTTCTGATTATTAAAATCAATTTTTTGGCTTTTTGTCACACTTTTGTGCCCTTTAGTGTGAACAAGCCCATATATGAAAATACTCTCTGGTATTGTTCAGGGGGCCAGAGCCAATGTAGTGGGGGGCCGGGTCCGGCCCGCGGGCCGTAGTTTGGGGACCACTGATGTAGAGGAATGATACAGTATTTATCCTGAATAAAGATGACTCTAAGTGTGAAAGAAAATGCTTTAGAAAAACGGCTCATTACAACATTTTGGCAGCATCGTCCTCAATCTGGGACAGAGCTGCTGTGGATTGTAACTTGCTTGTTGTTCAGAGCTGCATCACAGTCGCGCTCACACTTGCGGCGTGTAAATGACAAATGATTTATTTCCACGTAATAGGAGTATGTAAAAAGTTCAAGATGTTTTTCATTACAGTGTTTACAGACGCGGTGCTCAGTCTGTGTACGGTTCACTCACACATGTGCCCAAGCTCAGGTTTCAAGATGTACTGAAACTATATGGCTGCTTTAGAAATGACCTCTAACTTCGAGTCTATCTCCAAGTATCGTTATGTCAATGTTGGGCTGTTGAGTGTTCAAACCTTAAGAACTGGTATCTCCAGAACAAGCAGCATGCATTTCTCACATATTTTACCCTCATGTTGCATGAATGAAAAAATTGTGATTGATGTTATTGTTATTGTAGGCAGAAAAAGTGTAAAAGTGATTTTTTTTACTTTCTGACTACTACCATTGTGTATGGCTCGATTATTAAAACAGATTAATTGGGAAAAATAAAACTGTGCTTGTGCTTATCAGAATCAGCATTATTGTATTACCATATGAGTAACAAGAAGTCACAAACTGGCAAATTATATTTTGATATGTTTTTTTTTTTTTTTACTGTATTTTGATTGTAAGTTTTATGATTGTATTGTCAAGGACCACAGATGGAAAGTAGCTTGGTGCAGCCATCTTCTTAATGCAACTGCACATTGTCCTTAATAAATTAAAATTCAAAGTACAAGCTTTGGCTCTCGATGCAAACACGTTAAAGAAGAGAATAGAATATGGCATGCATTAATAAAAATCTACCCATGAATAGGGACTGTACAGATAAATATGAACAAATTGGAATTTAGTGAAAAAGTAAAGCACATGTATTATTCATTCACTCCACACACAGAGGTGGTAAGCCACCACTGTAGCCATGGCAGCCCTGGGGCAGACTGATGGAAGTGGGACAGTCGCACCACCGACCATCCACACATACCCATTGTACATGTTTTTAGTTTTTAGTTTGTTTTTATTGACATAATGTGCCCTGAATGATGGTCCATGTGTTACATGCTGCATTTGTGAAGAGCCTGCAGTCGATGGACCCTCTGACTGACTCCAAGAAAAACTTCCCTGGATCCTCACGTCTCACTGGTGAGAATCTGATGAGACTGAACGGCTTTCACTCAAGCACATTCCTGAGGCTTACATTTGAGGGAGGCAATGATTGATTTAGTTCCAAAAAGTCATTCCAACCTGGAAAGTCAAATAGATTGTGAATTTGGGTAATAGGTGTGCACAGATATGGAGTAATATGTCAGTGTTCTTTTGACTGGACCAAAGATTTATGGGGATTAGTGCGGCTTTTGAAAAACTAGTTTAGTTTTAGCAGGTGAAATATTTAGCCAAATATCTGCCTGTTAACCTATTTCTATTTTTATTATGGTTTTCCTGCGGAGACCCAGAGGAATCACAAATATGTGCACGTTTTCTGACTAACTTGTATAACTGAGTCCGACATGTTTGCGTCTCAATCAGTTGATAACGACAGCGTACCATCTGCCCCGCCTCCTCCCCCCTCATCGCTGACACCACCTGCTAATATCCCCGTGCACAGAGTGGTCCCAGGGGAAGCTACAAATGACCTCCCAGTCTCCGAACATACGCCACAAGTAAGTTCATTAACAATATTAATAAATATTTCTTTACTTTGAAGTGTTTTTTGTCCATAGATCATAAAAGTGTGGATGGCAGATGGCAGCTTCAAGACCCTGATGGAGGAACGAGCTCAGACAGTGAGAGAGGTTCTAGACAAACTATTTGAGAAAACTCACTGCACCAACGACATCGACTGGAGCCTGAGTGAGACCAGCCCGGATCTCCACATCGGTCTGATCCAAACGCACACCAGATATCATACCCATAGGACTTTCCTTTCATACTTGTTGACTAATAACTAGATAAGTACATATATTTATTGTTGGAACAGGGGCATAAGACCAGCCCAGATCTCCACATGGGTCTGATCTAAATACACGCCACAAACCATTCAAATAGGACTTTTGAGCAGTGGCATTTGATCCAAGACCAATGTCAAGGCTTTTTCTGAGACATAAAACTAAAAAAGGGATGCAAATGCTTTGTGTAAATATGAGGCCTATGATACAAATTACTAATAGCAATTTTCATAGCATAAACTCAATCATGTTAAGATAAGATAGACTTTATTGATCTCACACAGGAGAAATTTACATGCCACATTTGACATGGATAGAAACACTCAAGATTTGTGCAAAAAAAAGAAGTGTGCAAACATGCTAAAGGCAAAAAAAAATATTTTCAGAATATACTATGTACAATAAAAAGTGGTCTTTGAAGAAACAGGTTTTCAGTCCTAGTGCAAGTGACTTAAAGTGACTTCTTGTACAGTCTGACAGCAGTGGGGATGAAGGCCCTGCGGTAGCGCTCCTTCTTGCACTGTGGGTGTCTAGTCTTCCACTGAAGGAGCTCCTCAGCTCCTCTACAGTCCTGTGCAGTGGGTGGGAGGTGTTGTTCATGATGGAGGTGACTTTGACTAGCACCCTCCTGTCCCTCACCTCCTCCACAGAGTCCAGGGAGCAGCCCAGAGTGGAGCTGGCCCTCCACTCTGGGTCCAAGATAAAGGATGAGAAAATCTCTAAACTCACAATTGTTTTTTGGATTTGGATGTTCAGTGCTACAAAGTGTTCTTTCACAAATGTAACATATAAACGCAAAATAACCTTTGAAGTAATAAGCAACACATAAAATTAAAGTTTCCTAAAATCTTATATCCAGATAGGACCTTGGAGGACCATGAGTGCTTAGTGGAGGTGCTCTCTACATGGACCAGTGGTACTGACAACAAACTGTATTTCCTGAAACGACGTCAGAAACATGTCATGTTCACACAGCCCCAGGTCAGTCACACAGACTCCACTCTGTTGAAACAAAACTTACTTTGTAGTGTGCTTCTCCTAGTTCTTCTACATGTGGAAGAGGAAATGCGCAAAAGCTATCACTGAACAGGAACAACAGCTTTTGTTCAAGGTCAGATCCGAGTCACAGACGCCCAGTGCATTTGAGATTACATATACACTATCAAACTGGTTGTTTTTTTCTATAGGAGAATTTTGAGAGTACAACAGTGACAGTTCCTGATCTTGAAGGATGGTTGTTCCTAAAGGATGAAGGAAGGAAAGTGTGGAAGCCACAGTACTTTGTCCTCAGGGCCTCGGGCCTTTATTATGTGCTCAAAGGAAAGACCAAGGTACAGTAACTCCTTCTATATACTTTTCTATTTTCATGTTTCAATCACTGTATCATTTATGATGAGCATGTGCATCTGCACCAGTATCAATGTGTGACACTGTGGGCAAAAAGGAACCGGTAACACCAATATTAAAATTATACTCCATGAATTGATGCATAATCTTGTATGAATCAATTATTACTTCATGATGAATTCTTTCATGAACTCATTTCTGATGTTATTATGATTTAGCATGAATTCAAGTAATTCAGGGATGAGTTCCTAAAATCATGTACAAGTCATGAGTGATATGACTAATAGTGACAACTAATGTCATGGCAGCTGTTACTATGACAACCATTGATGTGGCATCCATTACAGTGATATCCAGTTATTACAGTGACAGCTGTTTGCATGGCAACCAAGACAGTAGTTACTATTGGTGCTGATCTGACCGCCGCATGAATGACATTCAGATAAATGGTGTCTTTTCAGTTTGATGTATTTTTTTATGTTGCAAAATTGCCATGGTGCTGTTGCCATGAGAGCCATTGCTATGGCAGCAGTTACCACGGCAGCTGTTGCCATGCTAGTTGTTACAGTGGCAACAGTTCCCGTGGGAATGATCATTTTTACTATTGTTATTAAGTGACCAAGTTATTACGTCATTAGACCCCTTAAGAAAATGTTCATGGACAGATATGAATAATTAGAATTAAGATTACATTTTGTGAAAAAGAATAAATAATGTTTTATATTATAAAATACGTAAATAAATGTGTCAATTTTCTGATAATAAAACTGAATTATTTGCTATTCTCAATCTTCCAACAACTATTATTATAAAAAACTTAATTTAGTAACAAAATGAACCCTCTATGAATTAGTTTTGATATTTTGTGCTTGTTAAGTGTGAGTAAAGGCCAACAGAAAACTGCTGAGACACACTGAAGATGCCTCTTGTCCTACATACTTTGGGTTTTGTAGATTTCCCCAATGCCAGCAGTGAAGTCATTGAACAAGAGATACGGGACATGAGGGAAGTATGCGGAGCAGATGTGTGAATGGGAACAGAAAGGCTGATGGGAACTGAGCACATGCTACTGTTTTAGACAAATACAAACAGCACAGAGATGCTTACAGTTTGGACATGCATTCGATGGAAAAGTGCTTTGGAGTGGCTGAGTTGTTCTACCCAATGTGGAAAAACTGAAGGATGCTGGAAAGAAAACCGGATTTCATTTTACAGCAGAGATACATTTAAAGGGTTCCAGTCCATTAAGCAGCCAATAAATGTCTACTTCAAATGCAAAATCACGCTCTCCATTTGAAGTCAAAGCTTTTTACAATTAGAGGTGGAAATATTATCAAAAACATGTTTATCATTCTGGTGGGGATTGAACCATCAAGTCAGTCTGGCCTTGGCCAAGACTGGAAACCCATAACAATCTGGGACTCATTGTTTTATTGTAATGTTTATAATAATGATAGAAGAAAAGAAAAAAAAACAAACAAACAATGGAAGTATTTTATTAGCTTTTAATTGCGTCATAACAAAGCGTCTGATAACTACTTGTTAAACTTGTGTATGTAGCTATTAAACACAAACAAAAATGTGTTGTTGCAAATGAGGAGTTGAAGCAATTCACACCATTTTGAACTGGAAGTCAACAAACCTTATTTTAAGTAAATTTAATAAGGTTAAACTACTATCAAAATATAAAACAATTGTTCTACTCAAAATGTTGCAAATTTGCTCTATTCTTTAAATGTGGTAAAATGGTTGGTTATGAAGAAAAATTATTGGTTGAAACTGACTATTGCACCTAGTTATCGATGATTTTTTTTTTTTTTTAACTTTCGGACACATCTAGTTTAGTGAATATTAACCTGTTCCACGAAAGTAATACTTTGGAAACGGCACTTTAAGCTGTTCAAGCAATGTAGTACTTGAATATACTTGTGTGTGGTACTTCAATACTAAATATCTTCAAACAATCACAGTTCAAACAACGCAATAATGAAAAATAGACAAGAGCCATTGGTCGGGAACAGGATGACCAATCTCCATAAATGTTTACAAACGCTTGGAAATGTGCTGGATCATCGACCCTCCTGCATTGGCACAGAACAACTCAAAAACCATTTTAGGCCTTGCATCTCACTCCCACAACTCATCAGAAACTCTTGACACACTGCAGAACTTTAAATCACTTCTCAAAACCCACCTGTTTCACCTTCCCTTTTCTTAATTTTGCACTTGTGTTTATGTTTAATGTTTCGTAAAGCGTCTTTGAGTGTCCAAAAAGCGCTATACAAGTTTGATGTATTGTCATTATTATTGTGTGTCAAAAGGAGGACTTCAAACTGAATCCTCCACAATGCAGCGTGTAGAGCGTTTTCAATACCGGAGTTATATGTTCCCTCCATTTAGAAAGACCCTTAGTAAATCCTAAGAGGCTGGAAGCTTTACAAGTGTTCCCTTTTGCAGAGCTCTACTGACTTGGCCTGCTTTGTCCGGTTTGAACAAGTGAACATCTACCAGACTAAAGGATACACACACAAATACAAAGCCCCCACAGAGCACTGCTTTGTGCTGAAGGTGAGTCTGCACGCACGCACGCACGCACACACGCACACACTCACACACGCACACTTTGAAGGCAGACTCAAAGGGGAGTTCTACAAACGTCCAGATGGTTTGATGGTGTTGGGGAGACCAGTGTATCATCGTCCCGACAGTTTAAGAGCTCAGACTGGAACAAGGTGCGCGCAGAGCCATCACCAGGGCGTGCGCCTCAAAACTCTCACACACTGTCATAGTTCAGGTCAATGTCAAGTTAATCCATGTGGCACAATAAACTCACAGCTTTTTAAGGAGAAGGAGAAAGGAAAAAGGGAATCTAGCCTTGAATTTAGATGCAGGCATTACGCAGACATTTACTATTAAAAGGCTCCCCCTGCTGGACACTTTGACTAAAATGCTAGAATAATAGACTACTAAATATTTTTTGTCAATATCTAGTCAAATCATTATTTTTTAGATGCTGTTTAGTTCAATTATGGTATAGTCTTGGGTCTACTACTACTACTACTACTAAATAATAATAAAAAGGACACTTTAGTAGACAAAACTCAACAACAAAAATAAGAAATCATTTCAGTTGAATTAACAATGCTCATGCTGTATAAATAATACCATTCTTTTTCATAACAAAACCCGCTAGTTAACGCAAATTAAATGGTTGAACTCCAAGGTATACAAATAATAAAAACAAATGAATAATAAACTTATTTGTTATAAATATGGAGACCAGCTTTGACCTTTATCATTGCCAGCAATAACCCTTATGTTGTAAGAAGTTTAGTTACATACACAACCTGCATTTGTTTTAGTTTCTTGATTTAGTTTGTGATAATAAGGAGATTTTTAAAATTCCCTGGACACACATTTTTTTCTTAATTTTCAGCATCCTTGCATCCAAAAAGAGTGTCGGTATGTGAAGTTCCTTTGCTGTGAGGATGAAGACTTGATGGTGCTTTGGGCCAATTCCATCAGGATTGCCAAAGTCTGAATATGACCATAAAAACTAAAGTACAGTAATGATAATGATCTAATAATAATCCATTTGTTTTTTGTCTAGTATGGAACAGCCCTCTATAAGAACTACAAGGCTGCGGTGAAAAGAGCAAAGAGTCAAGACAACCAAAGAGTCACCAGTGTCGGTACGATCATTTTTGTGACTATTTTTACACAATCATAACCATTTAACCCATACTATTATTACAGAAAACACCAAGGGGTCAATCAGTACAGAAACACCAGATGAAACTCCACCTGATTTTGTTCCCCCACCTCCCCCTGGATACGTGGCAGACCAGCGCAAAAAATAAAAATAAAAACAAAATTTAAATAGCTTTGGTTTGTTTTATGTTTATTACAAAAAGACTGTACATAAATTTCAGTGAACACCTATGTACAAACTGAAAGGAGACAGACACCGATTTCTGTTCCCAACAACATTTAAGTCAATTTGAACCTCTTTCTGCAACACATACACGTAGGAAGGCGCCTCGACTTGTGATGCCCTGAAAGCGGTAAACATTACACGGTTCAGTGGTTGTCAAATGTTTTCACCATGAAAAAAGTATAAATAAATTCTTTACAGACATAACTGCTTCTTGGGCAGTTTCCAGAGACATACGTAAAAACTGATAGAAAGACATTAAGTAGAAAAAGTTGTTATAAATAGATGGATAAAATACAATCAAGAACAGAATGTCGTGGGAAACCATTCACTTGATCAATAATACTGACATGCACATGGGCTCTGATTCTGCAGACTGCGCGTTAGGGCTGCACCGAGAATAGCTAGAAAATCGGGATCGCAATCAGCAGATTTTAATTTACTTAGTCCTTCGCAAACAAAAATATGGACTAAAGATGAGGAGAAAAAACATTTATTTGGAAAAATGTCTCTATGATTAACTATGCAGAAGACTTGTCAGATTTGTTGTCAAGGAGAATCTCATGCTTTTCATAATTTATATAAACTGCCAGAACTCAGGTCTGATCAAGAATTGTGAGAGAAAAATTCAAGCGTTTCTATAAATTAAAATGTTTGCAGTGAATCTCTACTTCTACTAGAAAAAAGTGGTTGTATCGCAGGTTAGAAGCAATGAGTGGGAATTGTGTAATGGTTTCTTATATAATGACAACAATTATTGATAAATACAGTTAATCAAAAATTGTTAAAAATATCACACTCATATCTCTAACAAGGTGCAGCCCTATACTGCATGTCAGCAACTTCTGTGTTTTTAAGCCCATTTCTGTTTCTTAATGTTTTCTGAAGCCTGGACTTCAATATAACTGACAATGGCATTTATCGATCAAGCACAACATGACGACCGACTGACGCAACACTGCTCTGCCCTTCGACCACTATTGGATAAATAGAAATTACTGCAGTCTGTGAACGCCTCGCACAATGGAATGATAGTTCAGCGCTTTCACTGACAGAGGCAGTCTTGTTTTGCCTGATTTGGAACAGATATAAAAGATTACACCTACATTCACTACAATGCTGAAAAAGTACAATCTGATCATTATTTGTGAATAACAAAAAGATGCATTGAGGGAGCAGTTGTTGACGGGAGCCTTTGAGCACCACATCGGCAAAAACCTACAAAAAGTAAAGAGTAACAACCATTGGCACCGAGAATACTCTCATTGATATCTTGCATTTTAACATGATCACAGTTCTAAGTTATCAGTGCAATGGAAATAGCACTGAATACAATGCCAGTCCTTCGTACATTACCCAGATTAGAATCCCTATGTCTGCTACAGTAGCTGGACCACAGCGTTACGAGTCCGAGTGACGACCAAATGCAAAACGGTTCATTCATGAGTTAAAAACGGCACAGAGTGATGAGGAAGGAGGAGATTCAAGTACATACCAAATGTAACATAGGCCTTCGGATGCTGGCACCACCACTTCCCACAGAAGGAGACTCACGGAGACAGACGGACAACGCACTGGCTGCTTCTCACGTTACAGAATATATATACAAGAGGGGAAGAAACGTCACCAGAACAAGAAAAACTGTTTAAATGCATTCTTTACACAAACCTCACTTTTCAGCAATCCTCACATCAACAATCCAAACGTCCAAAATACTCGTTATGTGTAGGGATGGTCCAATATGGATTTTATTCAAGCCGATACTAAGATCCGATATTTTTCTTGCTGCTGTGACTGTTAACTTTTGGTAATAAAACCTGCTTTCCGCGCCAAAGTAGTATGTATTGCTACATGGGCTTCTGAATCCAGGACACTTTCTATACAACACCTGGCTTCCAACAAACGTTTCCCAAAACTGCTCTTACGCAGTTCCCTTCAATTTATTTATATCATGGATTCTCCTCTTCCTCTATAGTTTAAAGGCTCCATTTTGTCTGTTTCACAAGAAAATTTGAAAACCCTTGAATATCACCGACACCAATATATCATTACTCATCCCTTCCATAGCAACAACGCAGCCACTTTGCTCAATCACTGTGCAAATGATGGATAGGAAGCTTCTGAATTAAGAATGAAAATAAGTATTACATTTGATATTTTGGACATATTTGTAATGCCAGTCCTTTAATATAGACTTGATCAAACCAGTGTAAACTAACAGATGCCACAATCCGCATCAACCCTTTTTGTGCGACAAGTTTTTTGGACTGGACCCATATCTTTTCAAAAAATAAGCCTGGATTTCACATGGCACTTTGTTCAGACTGAGCTGTACATTTCGCTACACTGCATTCACATCTGTACATCTTCACGGTTGGAGTTCCACGCTGCGGAACGCTGGCGTGCGTGCTTTTTTAATCGGCATAGTGCATGATAGATTCCACGTAGTTTCCGGGGAACAGTCCAGTGACGCCGTTGCACACTCCTTCAAACCAGCCGTCGTCGTTTTTCTTCATTATGTAGATGATCGCTCCCTCCATGAAAGAAAGCTCGTCCTCCTTGTCCTTGCTGTAGTCGTAGATCGCCACAACTGCGGAAGTGATAGAATATTTAGTACCAAAACACACATGTCTTGCACTTATTTAAGAGCAGTTTTATGAAAGCTATGGGAGAGTTTTGTGAATTAATTTCACAAATGTCAATTCACCTCTTCTGACAAAGCCATAGACTGTATATATACAGTCTATATAAGGACAAAGGTCAATGAAGCACAATCAGGAAGTGCTAGTGGACTAAGTTTTGTTCTAACTCGCTCTGGCTCCTATTGCGTTACATTGAAAAGTAAGTTCCTCCTCCAGCTCAGTAACCATTTGAGTCACACTCTCAATTTTGAGCTTGAAAACCCTGGTGTTTATGTTTTGAAATTGTCTTTGTAAGCCACACATTTTTGACCAATCAGATGCATTCATTCACGGGGGAAAACTCCAGCTTGCCTTACCAACCATCTCAGCAACGTTATAATTAATTTTGGTTTTCTTGGAAAGAAATAATGGTAAGAAAATATATGATAGCTCTAATTTAAAACAAGAATAGAATGTTATCTAAACTTTGACACATGGGAATTGAAAATAAAAATAGTTCTGGCTGATTGCAAATGCTTTTTGAGGCCAAGAATATCTCTGCAGAGGATATTAATAACTATAAAGTGGGCTAGCCTCTGTCGTGCCTTCAAAGTTTTGATAAACAAAGGAGACTATGAATGGGGATTTTATTTCTGAAGCTGGTGTGAACGGCAGAGTGGGTGTGAACGTTGAGCTCCAGTGTGTAACCATTCAAACTTAATACACTTTCTCTGTGAGTGAGAATTGTCAGACCTTTCTCTAGATAGTTCTTAGGCGCCCAGTGTGGGTCTCCGTCGGCGTATGGGTCGCTGTAGTGGACCACAGCAGCATCATCTTCCTCGTAGTCCACTGGAGGGGGAGGCGGAGGGGGGGAGGGCTCCTCAAACACAGACAGGTCCTCTGGAGGGGGAGGCGGCGGCGGAGCAGGGCTGTCTGTGACTGAAAACACACACAAGTTAGAGAAATGACTGTTTTCTTTGTGTTTCTTGATATAGTTTTGTGTTTTTTGTGTTTACAGTTTGCTCAGTTTCATGGTGGACTCTCTGGTCCTCACTCATTCACTGCTGGTCTGATCTTATTTGATTGATCAGTTACGGTCGAAAACATTTAAAGAAACACCACATGGTTTTAGCTAAAATAAACTTAACTTGCATAACATACTGCTCTAATAAACCATCCTTAGACTTCAGTCATTTTTGGTCTGACACCTGCTCGTCTCCATGGAGACGGTCTTATTCTGCCTCCAACATTCCAAAGAATGACACAGGTTTTCATGTTTCTTCATAATGTCATGTGTAGTAACTGTATTTAGAATATGGATACAAACATCTCTAAGGAATACATTGAAGATTTCCATCAAATATAACATGGGACCGGGTATAATATATACAGATGTTTTAAAAGTCACTTGTAATGAATTGTGAGACTTATTAGTTATACCATGTAACAGAATAAATTACAAAACTATGTATGCATGTATACAGTAGCAGTATTCAAAGTATTCTCCTCAACACTGAATGTATTCGACCATTGCTTTTAATAAAACTATATCATGTCTACGTTCAATTGACCCACTAGAGAGCAGTGTTCATTTATTTTGTAAATAAAATTACCATTTACAGGGTTAGGGTTAGAGTAAGGGAAACTGAACAAGATTCATTTTCTTTCTATATAAACTAGAAAATGGCCAACACATTTGACCCCCTCCTCCAGAATTGTGTATATATACTTGAAAACAATAGGATAAAGTAATAATAATAAATACTGGTATATGCAAGGATGGGCTGCTCGACTTGATCTAATTGCAAATGAATTGTGATAACAATTTGATTCTGTTAGGAAGATCAGGTAATGTTCAAAGTGCACTAGGACAATTCAAATGAGAAAACAGTCCCTCTGTAAACATATTTCAAGTTGTATTTCAATATTTGAGGATATTTTCACTGCAAAATCTCACTAAAAATTCCACCGTGTTTAAAACTAAGATAAAACCTGATTGCCTTTTCTATTAGCAGATAATATGGTATTTATCTGCATTTGAGTGCATTTTGATAAACTTATTTATCTCTTATTAGGGCGACAGTGGCTCAGTTGGTAGAGCATTGGCCTTAAGAGCCTGAAGGTCGTGGGTTCGAGCCCACCACAAAACCTACTTCATGACTCGCACTGATGACTGCTGTCGTTGTGTCCTTGGGCAAGACACTTAACCCCACTTTGCCTGAAGCCCCTAATAATAATAAAATAATCAAGGCTCCTGTGGACTCCCCACCTGCAGGGGGATCAGTGAGGGGCTGGTGCTAAGTGTACTGGGTGCAGCTCTGACTGCCAGCCCCCCGACCCAGAAATGGATTAAGGGGAAGAAAATGGATGGATGAACTCTTATTAGCCCATTTCAAACATCTGTATTATGAGACAAAAAGATAATTTGCTCTTTGTGAGTTCATGTAATCTGAATATTTGCAGTCTTTGGGCCACTCAAATAGCAATTTCAATTTGAATGTGCTTAATCGTGTTGCCCAAATGTAAAGAAGGATGTAACATGTTCTTTCTCAATCCAGGAGGAAGTTAACAGCTCCAAACCCATGTATCTGAGCATGACTCAGGACTTTGCTTCACTCAGGCCAAGAGCACAATCGTCTCACATTTCTTTCTCTTCGTCAGAGTGAGAATTCGACTTGAGCTTTTCTGTGACCCGTCGCCATGGTAACAGACAGACATTCAAAAGGCGTGCCCATCGCCAGAAAGTGTGCAGAGTGTAGTGAGTCACGGAGGAGCAGAGGGGAAAATCACAGCATTTCACGTTCACCCTGATTGTGCACGGTGTGAAAGCTTGCAGAACGGTTGCTTGTGTGAGTTTGTGTGAAAGCATAAAAAATACAGCTGTTTGAAATATTCGCTTTAGAGATGAATCACTCACCCCCCTCCCCAAAAGTTGATTTCAAAGTGCTCAAAATGCCACCAAGAGAAAACGGAAAACCACAATTATTCATTATGTGCTCATGGTTTGGGATTAGAAGTAATAAATGTGCTGATTTCAAAACCGATTTACATATGTCTGTATATGATAAAGAAATGCTTAAAGTGAAAAAGAAACTAAAAGTGTATTGTAGGTTGTGTTCATGTGACATCCCAATATTCCAAAGAGGCTATAGTTTAAAATTGCGGTGGAGGGCAGCTGATAAATCTTTCCTGGTAACTATGGTAACAGTCAAAAAGCAGGTTTATAGCCAATTTTCCAGTAGTTCCAGGACCACACAACAAATGAAACAAAAGTATGATGCAGAGCTTTTGTTTCATCTGGTCTTAGTGAGTACATATTATCTCATAAAAATATATGTATAAAAAATATATATATGCATGATATTGGTGAGTAGAAAGTACCGTCAGAATACGATGGTGGTTGCAAGTTAACAGAAAATATTGTACAAAAATGTCAAAATGTAGTCTAATCACTATGAAATATTGATCTGGAAAAACATTTGGACAATTTAAAATGTCTTCAAAAATAAAAAACTGGTATTGGTATCTGCCCTCCACCCGAAATGAAATCCTACAACATGAACAGGACCTGAAGGGAACAATATTGAATACAAATAGTGTCAAAGTTTTCCTTCACTCCTCATATTTGGGCCATGACTGTTAGAACGCTGAGGTCTTTACTTACTGCTCTCCTGCATCCTGGCCACAAAGCCGGTGAGTGGGATCTGTGGGGTCAGCTGCACCATGGGAGGAGGCGGAGGAGCCACAGCCACTGAAGAGCAGCAGCAAAGAGGAGCAGAGCGTGAGCCGAACGCACAATCGCACAAACGCACAAACACACAAGGCACGGTGCAAAAGAGCTCCGATCAAGCATTTAGACAGAAAGAAGGAGGTGCGAGTCTGCTGTCGAAACATGGAAGGTACAGAACCAGCGTCTGTACGCCCTTTGCCTCATTTGAAGAACATTCTAAAGAGGCTTATTGTGGCAATTCAACTTTTTTTGTCCATGTTACAACATTGTCCCTCATTAAAAACAGACCTGGAGTTGTGTTTAGATCTTTCCACGCTAATATCTAGAACATTAAACTCTGCCCCCTCTGTTTAAACGCTTTTTGGGAACAGAAATTCCATCTTTACAATCACACAGTTGTGTTTTCAGCTGATAATTTTTGTATTTGTAAAAAAATAAAATAAATAATGTTCCCCCTCTCTCTGCATAGGAATAAAAGAGGCTGATAGCATGTTTTCGCCTTTGTACTTGTTTCACCATATAATTTCTACCATTTCTTCTTCTAAAACATGATTATTAAGCAAAACTAATGAATCATTTTGTCTTTAAAGTCTGATAATGCTTACAGTCTGTTTTCATTTTCTGATTGTTGCACTTTCAGTTGCATTTTGTCAGAACTGTACAAAACAAATACATCTTGATTTATTGAAGCATTATTGACTATACTGTTTTTTTCTTCTTCTGGTGGTTCTTAGCCTCGTTTGCATTTCATAGCCATAACCAAAATTGTATTCCATAATTGTTTTCCCTCATTGGAATAATCCTCCTTTAGAGCTACATTGATTAGTGTAGCAGTATGTTGGCTGGGGTGGTACTTTTGTTTAAGTACAGTACTTTTTTATTTGGTCATTTGTGAAAATTGTTTGTGAACCACTGATTTATATTTTGAAAACATTCAGAGGAGAAAAAGACTGGAAACAGATTTTCTTGTCAACCTCCAAGAGATAATTTGACCGATGCCACACCCAGAGTGACTAAAGGCTTCCACCTCAAAGTGTAAGCTATGACTCAGAAATGACATGTTCCTCTAAACTTGCGCCTATCAACAGGATATCACATGTCAACTGTGCCAAATCATTCGTTTTTTTAGTCCTAACATGTTAGAACACTACAATATAAATGTCCACTAGAAGTCATGTATCTAATGTTTACCTGAAAATGAAGTTTGTGAACTGTCACATCACATATCACATTATCTATGTGCATAACATTAAATTCATCTGGAGCTACACCACTTTCCTTTTGTATTTAGAACCAGGGAAATTGAGCTGACTTTAAGAGTATTCTTCTCACTCTGTCCCAGTTTAAATCCCCCGCTGATGCTGATGTTGTGCGTCTGGCTTTATTGGCTTCATTGTCTTTCCCTTGCAGACAATAAACCTCTTCTGTCTGAAGGAAGCTATCCTTAGGAGAGGGGCCATTAGAGCAGAGGAGCCTGTGCCGCTCGTGCCACAATAAATTGTTGTCTTAGACACTACATAATCATAGATATCCAAGATTTCCCCTTGTCAGAAACATGCTTGTCACTTCAATACGTTTGTCTTTCTACTTCCTCTAGAAAACAAATATTTTCTCAAACGAATGATTGACTAACGTCAGCATGGCTGAATCTCAGCAAATATTATAAGCTATAAAGCTGCAATAAATTGACACATGATTTATCTTTAAAAATCCCTTTACATTCATGCAAGCAAAATCAGAAAGGAAGCAAATATAAAGACTTCTTGTAAGATTTGTACATTTTTGTATAACACTAAATCAAGTAGTTTGGTCATTTCAAATGACAAAAACACATGCATGAGTGCTGTGGCCGTTACCAGAGTTCTGCTGGTAGCCTGGTCCTCCGTTGATGTGAGGCTGCTGGGAGGATACAGAGGGCGCACGGCGGTAGGTGCCGGTGGCCGACACCATTGAGGCCGACGACGTGGTCGAGTTGTGGCGGGAAATCTGTCGTGAGATGGTGCCAAACTGAGACATGGGGATTGGACCCAAACCGGGACCCTGTGGCACTGAAGCAGCAGATGTAGCAACTGAAAGCGAACATGAAAACAATATCATTGTGGTGAGTGTTATTCAAAAAATATGACATTCTTCTTTCTGATGTATGTCATTATGTATTGAGCACACGCACAGTACATTTAAACCAGTCGGCACACTTTGGTATTCAGTCTCACCAGATTAATCAAAGCTCTTCTCTTTTATGTGATTTCATTATAACAAGGTCTCATCAACAACTCTGCTCCACTGCATCAAGTAAACTATAACATCATCAAAGCTATGAAATGTCGATTTTATGCTTCAAAGTGACATAGAACAGTTGTTCTTCCATTCATTCTCTTCTGCACTTGTTGTACTGTGACCTTAGAAAGATCTCAATACACTTGTTATACAGGTGCTCACCTTGGCCCATACTGGGAGGGGAGGGGGTGGGAACAGCCAGAGGCATCCCCCCTCCACTGCTGCCACTGTTTTCTCTTCCCCCACTTCCACCACTGCTCCCACTGCAGAGAAACAAAAGACAGACAGAATGTAAGGGTGATGCTCTCAGTTGAGCCACACGGTGTAATTAGATGACTGTGTTTGACATGATTACATCCACCCTGTCACTTTGTGTATCTCTGCGACAGACATTATACTGTAGCACTGTAGGAGAGGTCATCTTAACACTGACAAATCATTAAAAAGGTTTCTGATATATTGTGTGTAATGATCTTCCAGAGACAGTGAAACCATACAGTCATTAGAAAGCTCTAATTCATGTTATAAAACATGTTTTTGTTTCATAAATAATACAAGTTGTTTGCAAAAATAAAATGTTGTGAACAAGTCAGAGGTGATGAGTTTAGAGGATGCGGTGACCTGTGCACAGGTTTTAAAGCGATCTCTGTGATCACACTTCAGAAGTCGTGGTTAAAAAGTGTACAAAGAGGATGGGTTCTACAGCTTTAAAACATAGTGGCTACTTTGCCGATCAAGAGACCACTGTAGATTAAGTTTATTGTTTTGTTGTATTATGAAAGTTCAGTACTCCAGCTTTAAGTGTGTGAAGTGGTGCATTAAAGAAGCATTTGTGACTCGTGATGAGGTAGTACCTGTGAGTGCGGGGTCTCTGGTTGAGGGAGGCCGTGCGTGCAGGACTGTGCTGGTTGCCGAGTCGTGCCGGGCTCGTCATGTAGTCGTTAGGCACCACCGGAGGCTTCACCGGCTCCAGTGTCTTGTACGGAGTATTACGCCTGTTCACAGAGATTGGTTTGGATCAATACACTTTATAATGGTTGTGGACAGCAGTTGATTTTTTTTTTTTCCGAGTAACTACTAATTGCCGGGTCAGAGCTCCTGTCTTAGTTTATAGCTAATTTCTCTGTAATTCCTTCTTTGTCAGTAGCTACATGTCAACTCTTTTCTCAAAAAAGATGTCTGGATGTGTTGACAATTTAAAAAAATATGCACGACCCAGACCACTAGAAAGAACGTTCAAACAAATAATGATTTGACGTGTGTGTGAATTTAATCACTATTAAATAATAATCAGGGAAAACATTGGACCTTTTTTGTCTTTCAACATTTCTTTTAAAACTGTTTTTTTCCCATTGAGTTGTGTTAGCACCTACCTCGAAACAAATTCTAGAACATGAAGGCAACCTATATTTGAAACACAGATGGTTTGTAGTGAGACTTTTTTCATGTTGGTGGCTTTACCCCAGTGTGCCGCGGCCAGCCATCGGGGGACTGGGAGGTTTCTGTGTCGGAGGAGTGGTCCGGGACAGCGTGCCTCCGCCTCGCCCTGCTGCATTGTTTCCATGTTGCTGGAGAAGCAACGAAAAGTTAAATGGCTGCATGTTTCCTTGAACATAGAACTTTGACATCTTGGTTCTCAAATCTTTCAAGTAGAAAATAGTATTTATTTACATGGTAACATGCCATTATTGTTCTATTTCGCCCTAAAAAAATGTGTAACATTAATTGCATGCACATCCACTTTATTGAAACAAAAGGACAAGCATGTCTTACCTTGGCCTTAAGCCACTGTGTGAAAGCAGCAGAAACAGGACAAAGAACAGGACAGGTTATGGTGATGACAGTGACATTTTAGTGTATTAATACCATGAATATGAACACATTCAAACATTTTGGATGAGTCTATATTTAGAAAATGATGCATCAATGTAAAAACATCTAAAGCACCTTTATTGCGCTTATTCTGTTGCATCAGGGACTAGACTTCAGCAATACGGTCACAACCACATCCACTTAACTCATAATGAGCGAGGGCTAAACAGAGTTAATTTAAAAAACAACACAGAGAAGGTCTGTGCGGGTTCATCGTCTACTTTCTACAATTATGGGGGAGTGTGAAGTGCAATTCATTCATACGCAGCCTTTTACTACTGCAGGAATACAACAGGAAAGAAATCTCATTGTATGCATGAATATTGTAGTAGTATAGTAGTATTATTGCAGTAAATATTGTGTAAATTGTAGCGTTGTGATGAAGATTTTTGGATTTTGGTCAAATGTGAGCAAAATATCCGAGGTTGGTTGATCAGAATGCAGGCTTAGTTGTGCAACTAAGTCCAGGGTCCGTCTATTATGTGTTTGTGAGCAGTCATCATTCATCTCTGCATCTGTAGCTGCATTTGCATAGAGGGCTGTGCCAAATCCATGTGAGATGCTTCTCTGAGGAGGAAACACCAGCTTTAGAATTTGAATCAGTGCATGTCTGAGATCGACAGACAGTCTCTGTCTTAACAAAAAGAGGAAAGAGGGGACTGGCGCAGCGATACACAATACTGTAATACAATGAAAGCTTCATACACATCCACACACAGAGTAGAGTTTAGTGAATCAAAGGCTGTGGGAAAGCGGATGGCCATGCAGAGAGAGAAGAAATCACGAGAAATGCGAGCAGAATTTAGTTTTTTACTGGCCCTTTAACAGCCATCGCTTACTAAAGAGCTTTTATGGGAAACGGGTGCCTTAACTCTGTGTGGACTCCCCGGTAACGCTCCTTGCATGTGTCGGTGCAGTGATTACTTAAAAGGCCACTGTATTGATTGGCTGAAGTGTGGGTGTGCATCACTGTGAGGATATAAGAGCCAGCAGTTACATGGGAGAGGTGTGACCTACACTGAAATCACTTTTCCTCTCCGGCAAAATCGATAAAGCTTGCAAATGAGAATTAGCATAATGTCTTAAGACAGTGTGATTGTAGGGAGGATATGCTCAAAAGACTGATCTTTTATTATGAAATATGATGACTTCATCTTACTTTGACGCCATGTCCGACATCGTCCAGTAGAGTGTAGTCGATGGGCTTCCGGATGTAGCGCACAGGTCGCTCCATGTTGCCCGGGGCGATGATTTTGTGTGTGCGGGACGTGTTCTTGTTTGTGGTCAGGATCCCAATCTCTCGACGAGCCACTTTCTCCTTATGAATGTCCACAGTCTGCAGTGGAACGAGCCGGATAAATAGCATGTATTATTTCACTTCAGGAAATTCAAGCCTTCCATTAATAAACTAATGCATATTTTCTATCTTAAATTTCTCCCAGGAAGCATTGAGATAGTTCTATACCATTCAAAAGATTGTTTTAAAAGTAAATGCCACAAGACTTAGCTTTCTTATAATCAAAATGAAGAAATGGAGCAAAATAGAAGTCAAACTACTATTAGGTTTTATTGCAAAAACAAAAAAAATGCTATTTTTTGGACAGCAAATTTGTTACATAAATAGAAATACTTCATGCAATAAATACATCTGAATAAATGAATGACGATGTAAAATATGTATGGTTAAATAAAACAAATGAATTCTGCAGATTCTGAGCATTAATATAACGTCTGTGTTATTTGATAAAGTTTGACCAAATGAGTTGATGTTTGCCCGTTGTATTTTCACTGAATAATAACAGCACTGTCATCACAAAGTTAAACAAATCAACTTTGTCCAATTTTATTTTACAATTGGACAGCTCCCAAAGGTTTTTCATCAAGGTCACACTGCAGAGTGTTCAGGAACGTTCTGAATCATAGTGTCCCGTCATCCTGGAGAACACTCAGTCTGCCTTTACAACAGATTATTCTGCTCATCTGGCCTCATGTGTTTAATGAATATCTCTAACCCAGAATCAGGGTCAAACTCGTGCGACGCTGACCTCCTCCTCCTTCATTAAAGTAGTGGTGGTTCTCAGCACCAGTGTCCCCCATAGGGTTTATGAATGATGAATGAAACAGGAGACGTCAATGGAGGAAAAGGGCAATAGCACAGTAAGAGTGGAGGCAGAATATGGTGCTTCTAGATATAAAATGACAGATTGAATAGAATGATAATATGGTTGGCATAAGGTTAAAGTACATCAAATTAATATTAATTTAATAAAGTAACGTGTAAAGGGATTTTAAAGTAGACGATAATGCTGGTGGACAGAGCCACAATATTAATACTTCTGAAAGACAGTGTGTGGAATAAGAAACTAACATGGTAGACTAAATATACACCTCATATGCCACAATTAATATCAAGAATCAATCATGTCAAACCATTTTTGCCGACGCTGTTATACTGTAGTGTGTCTATAAATGTGAAAAGGTTTTGTCAGTCATTTCAGAAAACAAAACTGATAATAAACAGGTGAAACTCTGAAGATTAGAATATTGTTCAAAAGTTCATTTGTGTATGTATTTCAACTTAAATGTGAAACCAATAGATAACACTCATCCCTCATTCATGCTAAGTGACATATGCCAAGCGTTTGCCATACTTTTGGTGATTATAGCTGCAAGTCCATTTGCAAAATATTCTAATTTTCTGAGGTTATTATAAGCAGTGAGCTAATTATCAACATAACAAATTAACGCTTGATAAATCTGCATCCATTTGCCTGTAATGAGTATTATTTTATTTTCATATTGTGTTTTCCGAGTTTCACATGAAGATCTGTTCCATGTTGAGATATATAATTCGAGCTTGTATTTTTTTGTAAAAACATAACATTTCAACTCATGCTTCATTCTTCATGCCAATACACTGTAAACACAAAAAACAAACTTTTAGGCAGGTAGGAGTGGTTTGAGTTTTATGGGGAGACCGTCTGCGTACACTACTTCCACAGCTCTCACTTGTGATAAGACAGAGCTGGGCCAAACTGCGCTCAGTCCTTTTGAACACAGCCTTCCTCTTCTTCATTCAGCCGCCAGATATGTGTCGTTCTTGCTAAACACCAAACCTATTTAGTATAATTCATATTCCCTAATCATGGAGTCTTAGGTTGAATACAGTGCCTTGCGAAAGTACCCCTTGAACCTTTCAACATTTCGCCACATTTCAGGCTTCAAACAAAGATATAAAAATTATTTTTTTTGTCAAGAGTCAACAACAAGTGGGACACAATCGTGAAGTGGAACAAAATTTATTGGATAATTTAAACTTTTTTAACAAATAAACTGAAAAGTGGGGCGTGCAATATTATTCGGCCCCCTTGTGCTAATACTTTGTAGCGCCACCTTTTGCTGCAATTACAGCTGCAAGTCGCTTGGGGTATGTCTATCAGTTTTGCACATCGAGAGACTGGAATTCTTGCCCATTCTTCCTTGCAAAACAGCTCGAGCTCAGTGAGGTTGGATGGAGAGCGTTTGTGAACAGCAGTCTTCAGCTCTTTCCACAGATTCTCGATTGGATTCAGGTCTGGACTTTGACTTGGCCATTCTAACACCTGGATACGTCTATTTGTGAACCATTCCATTGTAGATTTGGCTTTATGTTTTGGATCATTGTCCTGTTGGAAGATAAAGACCTGAGACTGGGACGGAGATTTTGCAGACTCCAACAGGTTTTCTTCCAGAATGGTCCTGTATTTGGCTCCAGCCATCTTCCCTGTCCCTGCTGAAGAAAAGCAGGCCCAAACCATGATGCTGCCACCACCATGTTTGACAGTGGGGATGGTGTGTTCAGGGTGATGAGCTGTGTTGCTTTTACGCCAAACATATCGTTTTGCATTGTGGCCAAAAAGTCCCAGGTGGCTTGTGGCAAACTTTAAACGAGACTTTTTATGGATATCTTTGAGAAATGGCTTTCTTCTTGCCACTCTTCCATAAAGGCCAGATTTGTGCAGTGCATGACTGATTGTTGTCCTATGGACAGACTCTCCCACCTCAGCTGTAGTTATCTGCAGTTCATCCAGAGTGATCATGGGCCTCTTGGCTGCATCTCTGATCAGTCTTCTCCTTGTTTGAGATGAAAGTTTGCAGGGATGGCCAGGTCTTGGTAGATTTGCAGTGGTCTGATACTCCTTCCATTTCAAATTGCTTGCACAGTGCTCTTTGAGATGTTTAAAGCTTGGGAAATCTTTTTGTATCCAAATCAGGCTTTAAACTTCTCCACAACAGTATCTCGGACCTGCCTGGTGTGTTCCTTTGTCTTCATGGTTCTCTCTGCGCTTTAAACAGAACCCTGAGACTATCAAAGAGCAGGTGCATTTATACGGAGACTTGATTACACACAGGTGCATTCTATTTATCATCATCAGTCATTTAGGACAACATTGGATCATTCAAAGATCCTCACTGAACTTCTGGAGTGAGTTTGCTGCACTGAAAGTAAAGGGGCCGAATAATATTGCACGCCCCACTTTTCAGTTTTTTATTTGTTAAAAAAGTTTAAATTATCCAATAAATTTAGTTCCACTTCACGATTGTGTCCCACTTGTTGATTCATGACAAAAAATTAAAATTTTATATCTTTATGTAGATAACAGAAAACCGCACACCTCTGACAGTTGTGGCACAGGCAGCAGCTTCTCCTCGTGTTTAAGGTTTTATTTCTGCATTTCTGTTCTCTGGATGCGCGATATATATAGTGTCTTTAGGAGAGGAAGCTCAAGGGTCACGACTCGCTTCAACTGGAAGTAAGCAAAGATACCGCCTTTTTCCTGTTCCTGACAAGCACGCGGTGAAAACAGGCTCATTTTGCACAGAGAGATAGGAGTTTATGATTTTGGGAAAATAACCTCTACTACAATTATTCCTTCATTGTTGAACTTTTTATACTTTTGGTTTTTGACAATTTGTTGTCTGCAAAGGAAATTGGTGAATGATTTTAATCCTTGTAACTATCTAAATGTGTTAATTAGTATCACAGGAAGAAATATGAATACATTGATTTAAATATTAAATAAGTGTAACCAAACAAAAAGTAATTATTCCAGCTATGTTCATTATCTTGCCAACAGTGGGTATTGTAATCATGTCTCTGTATGTTTTTGTCTGTGGTCACGACTGCTTTAAAATGACAAAGGACAAATTAGACTTTCCGATAACAAACAATATCATTTAGAAATGGTCCTCAACGAACTTCCTTAATAACGGAAGTCTACATATGGGACAATGATTGCACTGACTGTTGTGAAAATCTTTGCCCCTAAAATCAAAGGAGTGAACCACAAGCATGGGACAAACTGAGTAATTTGTTTGAGTATAGAGCTTACACCACTGGCAGATGTTACAGATGAAGTAATGGGAAAATAATGTGGTATTTTGTTTCACCTGTTACCTAATCACAAAGCAGACCTCTGTGTGGCCTTGCTGTGCACCAGTCTAATCTCATTTAATTTGTAATCCCTAATAAACATCTGGACGTGCGCCTCAGTGAAATGATGTCGCCTCATTCTCGCAGATGTCACAACTGCAGTGTGCGCTGTTGGATGTACACTCAGACTAATCACTCCCAGCAGCGCGTTATAACACGGCACAAAATATGGGTCAAAAGACAACTACTAACTTCAATACTTGTTCAAGCATAGATAAAATAAAGAAGAAGAGCTGTGGCTTTACTGTTTAACAAGAAGGATCACAGTGAAATCCAGAGGGAAATCTAACAAATACTGGTGTTCAAATCCCTTAATCTTCTGCAGGGGAAAACAGAATAACAATTATCACTGTTATATTTTGGAAACAGTAATTAAAAGGCAAAACACAGACAGATGGGATTGTTTGGCACACTTCTTTATAAATAAGTACATTGCAATAAGGAAATTTATGCACATTTTATAGCTCCCCTCTTCACAATTACATAACACTTGCAACCAAAACAACGCAATGACCGGCTAGAGATAGCCTGGGAATACCCATGCTGCAGTATGCGCTTAAATCATTTCAAAGAATCCTTTCATATTTATATATACATATTTTGTTGTTCTTAAAACAGGGTTTGTCAGTGAGAATGTATAGTTTGATGAAATTCTACCACCTTTGAAATTAGTAATACTTGCTTGTCCCATTGGCAAGTGTATGAAAGTCCAGATGAAAACTACCATAATTTCCAGACTAAAAGCCACTACGTTTTCTAGTTCTTGCGACTTATATAAAGATGTGACTGATTCTTGTATTCTGATTGTAATAGAGTTGAGCCGTTGTCAGAGCAGAGTATATGGACTTAACAGTTTGACTCAAAATTATCTTATCCCCTGTATAAGCTGCACAAATGTTGCTTGTGCAAAGTACAGTACATGATTTAAACATTTAGCTTAATTTTGTATCAGGTTTTGCAGTAATTTGAGGATAACAATTTACTTTTAAATTTCCTTGGCCAAGATCAGATTCATTTATTTGCCATTTGCAGTAAAACCACATTGGAAAAACTGTGCAAGACTACCCCGGTGTGCACCACACACACCAGAGCTCTTGCCACGGCGCCATCTTTACGGCACCATGCCAAGGAGTTATTCAATCATGCCCATGTATCATAAGTGGCCCAACAGGTTATTAATTGACAAAAGACAAAATATGAGTCAAAGTAGAATCGTTAAACATCATACACACACCTTTTACACTGCATTGTAAAAAGATTGGGCAGGAACCATCTCTACCCGTACAATATACTCACAGCTACTCATCTTCACTAAACTAACAATAACATTGGTTATCCCAGCTGCCTTTGGTCAAACCTCCACAACACAGGCTAAAGCAGAGCTGGAGTTCAGCCTGACAGGTTTAATGAAGCGCATAGGGACAGAGCAGGACACACAGAGTGGTCCGGGTGAGAACTGAACAACAAGAGAGCACAGGGAGAGGACTGCTGATGAAGCATGAGGCGTCATCACTGTGGAGGGCTGGCAGGTCCACACAGCCAAATGTCACATGTCTGCTTTCTACTGGGGGAACACTGGTGCACTGTGGTCATGCTGTGTGAGACAACCTTATGTGATGCTTGAATACAACGCAAAAATCATCTTTGTGAAATGTCTGTGAAACATGCTCTTTTCACCAGCACTTCCACCACAATACAGCAGAAATACTCCTTCATACACCAAAAGTAACACGAATCCCTTTTTCAATGAATCCAATTTACAAGAGCTTGATGACAGACCCAGTTACTTCTTGTTTCAGCCCAAAAAGCAAATCATGTGGGCAGCACTTTTTTTTAAGTTTTAATAGTTTCAATATAAAAGGTGAGTCAATGTCATTAAAAGAGGTCATTATGCCTCAGATTATCATCAACCCCCAACTAGGTTTCAATAGTTTATAATAATTATTTTTGGGAATGAGGGGAATTTGACTTCTGCGCCAAAAAGCTCCGCCTACTTCACAGCTACATAATCTTTTCTATTCCTAGAGTTGGCTTTGTTTTGTGCTAAGAGTCATTGAATCATGGTGTGAATGTTTGAGTGTCATAATGATGTAAGGCAAACATTTCAACCATTCAGCATAAATTGATTTTCCCCAAATTGAATTGCACTTTTTTACCTGAGAGATGTGGTTGATTGAAGACTCCATGCGGCGCAGTTGAGAGGCCTGGATGTCCAGTAGCTGCAGCACATTGTTGGCTAAGGCGTTGATCTGATAGGCTACGCTGGCCAGAGACTGGGTGGTGTAGGCCTTGGTCTCCTCCAGCGCCTTTTTCTTATCTTGAGCCTGGCAGAGAGGCAGAGGCAGGGTCAGGCGAATCAGCACAGGATGTGGAGGCGGAAACACACAAGTTGGCAGAGGGAAGTAAGGTAGAAAAACTGAAGCGGAAAGAGGGCAATGTCACTGCTCATTTAGAAGAGGGTACACATTTGTTCAGCTTTATTCAAACAAGAATTTGAGACAAGGAGAGCAGCCGGGGAGGACAGAGAAAAACAATTGTTAGATGGACATATGAGACAGGTGCGTGTGGGAGAGACGATCAGTGAGCAGGAATGCCAAGACACTTCGTATGATCTCAACTCTCCGGCTGGCAAACCATCTGTTTCAGGAAACCTTTAAATAGTGACTGCTCTGAATAAAAGGTATTTATAGTTTCACAGCAAAACCAACATATGAATCTACCATTTTTGTCAAGTGTTAGTTTCTTCTCCGAAAGTCCAATCTGTAGATGGGCTCAGTACATTAACAATACTTGTTGTGTAACCCAATAAAAGGTGTTTTGTAAAATTTGACATGTGTTGCATGGTTAATATCCTCAAATCAAATCCAATCTTTATACATCTGAATTATTCATGAAACTTGGCAGCATAGAAACAAATAAATGACTTGAACACTAGGGACCTGACATTGCCTTATGTCGCTGCATATAAATGTAATCATAATATGGTCATAACAAAGTCAGGAGAAGCAGTCAATTGTGTTCTTCTGAAATATTGAGCATAATTTACTTCATAGTTATAAAAATAGTAAAATAAAATGTCATGTAAATAAAACGGGGGATGTCAACGAGGGTAAAAGGGCAATAGCATGGTAAGTGTGGAGGCAGAATATGGTAAAATATGGCAGAATGATATAAAATGATGGATTTGGAGCTTGAAATTATAATGTGGTTCACGTCAAAATAATATTATTTAATAAAGAAAGATGTAAACTAATGTGTTTCAAATACTTTTATAATAATTATTCCACACCAATTTATGGATATGCACTGATTGTGGTCTCTGTAAAGCCTTTAAAACAAAATATAATACGTGTGATATGAGCGAGAGACTGGACCCATGAGTCATTATGTGAGCTATGGTCATCAAATGCTGCAATAGCAGAGTGTACGCTTTCTGTTCATAACGTGAGGCAATAATCAATGATCTTTTGAACAATGACAATTCAAACAATGTATAATTGTTTGAAATGTACAAACATTAGAGAGTAGTTCAGACTACACTCTGATGATGCCTTACAACAAATGCAATCAGCACATGACATTTTCATAGTCATGGTTTATGCCAAGTACCCTGTACTATCTGTATGACAAACGACATGTATGTATGTGTGGGGTCAGCTGTACGTGTAGAAACATCCTTTATAAGAGGGCCATACTTGACAAGAACCTCATCATAATGACTGTTAAGGAGAAGCTCTATGTAAACCCTGCTAGAAGAAATGATAACAACATAATGACCATTCCACAGCCTTTACTCAGTCGAGTTGAAGCAAGACTTTTTTCATATTTGGCTCCAGATCAGTGTTTTACTGTTAAAAAGAAAAGAAAAAACCATCCGTTTTCTCTGTCAGAAGCTTTTCTCAAACGGATTCAGTCATTGACAAACCACTTGGCCACAGCTCGACACACCCTCTCCAAACACTGGGGCGACAGTAGCTCCTGATGCTACGCGGCTCGCTGGCTCCACCGGGCCGGGCCAGCACAAGACCAACCCGCTCCGAGCCGTGTTCCTCGGGACCCACCGGCGGACGTGTGCCACCAGTGTGGGGAGCGGTTTTCGGGTCAGTGTCGGTTCCCTCCGCGGTGCCTGCCCTGTGGCTTCCCGCAGCGGACATGACGGCACGTAGCGGTGATCGGTCTGAATCAAAGCCTCTCGGTCACGTTTCTTACCTGCACATAATTGTTTTCGCAGTATTCGGCCACACGGGAGAGGTTCTGGTAGCTCTCCACAAGCGCTCGTTTACCGGCGGGGATTTCCTCCTCTAACAGCATTTGTAGCTCTGCCATCTTACATCCCTTCGCATGTCTCCGCGGTGCTCGGGAGTGTGATGCTGTACGGCGGACTGAGGGGCTCCCCGCCTACAGGCTGTGCTGGTGCCTTTGTGGGCTAGAGGCCTCGGCTTCACCACAGCCACCGAGTACGCGCAAAACACTGCTCTCTGATTGGACTAGCACCAGTTCACCAATCATGTCACGACTTCATTAGAATACAGTCAAATATGAACAATAATATGAAGTGTTCATGTGCCATGGTAATGTAATGACCATTCGTGATATAACATACGTGAAATAACAGTCATTAAAAAAAAGACCTTTGTATATATAGCGTTACATTATATTAATTTACATATGCATTTCTATGAAACGAGCATTTTTTACCCTTACTACTTTTAAACGAGCCGTTCGAGACTACGTTTCCCATAAGTCATTGCGGTTTAAAGCCCTTATTCTGAGTGCTTGTGGGACTTGAAGGAAAAGAGCTGCTTGCAGCTGCGCGCGTAGGCCAAGACATGAGCCTACAAAAACTACACTTCCCAAATCAGAACAAACGCCTGCTCGATGCCGGGGCTCATCCCCTGCTCATCCTTCACCAGACTAGATGGCTCTGGGACACCGACTGCAGCCTCAATTAGCTTAAATGTTTTTATGTAGTTTCTTATGTAAAATAAACATTGGCTTTTTATGGTAACAGCCTATTTTTGACTTCACTATACTCTCAGGAATGAGAGTCACACCAGCAATCCTCTGATCAGAAAGATAACAGTCCTTCAGTGAATATTCTAATCTTTTTCATCAGCATTTATGCCTAATTTAAATTCTTGCCTTTTGTCATCCTTGCTATTAATAAGCATGGCATCAGAAGAGGACGACGAATACAGCCTGGAGGATAAATTTGATGCTGCAGTAAAAGTGATCTGGACTCTGCCAGAGGATGGTAAGTTAATCTAAGGTGTAGTCCTGCGCAGGTTCTATATGGTGACTATGGATGACCTACATGCAGCTTTTAAGAGTGGCCACTCTGAACCAGTAATGATAAAGCTGCTTCAAGGATAAGCCATCGTACTATCAGTAAATAATTGAGTATGTTCTACTCTCTGAACTTGGGCTGTTTACATTTGTGATTTGGATCTTATTTTAGTGTGTACTCACTCTTTAATCAAACACATGAATTGAAAATGGATGGTTGCCCTTCATATCTTTTATCACATCTTTTTCTCCATCAGGTCCCTTCCAACCATCAGACGACATGATGCTGATGTTCTACAGTTACTACACACAGGCAATACAAGGGCCTTGCAATGTCCCCCGACCCTTAGGCTTCTGGGACACAAGGGGTAAAGCTAAATGGTAAAATCAGAACTTACTTTAGTTTGATCATTTGTCATTATTTAGTACCATTGCACATCATAGCATCTGTTTATGCAAGAGTAAACCGCCCATGCAGTTTGAAATTCTTGTGTCTCCAGGGATGCTTGGAGCGCTTTGGGAAATATGACAAGAGAAGAAGCTATGAAAAATTATGTTGACAACATCCAGCTGGTAGGCCATTCATACAATGCATGGCTCATTGATAGAGCTTGCAAACTTGGCCATGGGTACAATAGTCCTTTATGTTATGTTTCTAAGTATTCATACATAGACCGAGGCTACAGTCATATTTGTCCCGCGTATTGCTGATATTTAGATGGACTCTTTGTTTTGTATTGTTTACTTCTAGATCTTGGAGACAATCCCCATATCAAATGAAGTGACTGATCTGGTGCGAAAGCTCGGAAACTTCTTCACAGAGGCGGAAAGCAATGATGAAGATACCGAAGAAAATGAAGTCGACCGGAGACCTTTTACGAGACCTTTTGCGAATCATACAGGTGAAAAGTATTCAGCTGAGAACTTCTCTGGACGATCATTGAAGTACATGTACATTGTCATTTAATACCACTATACTTTTGTTCTCAGAGCAAGTGATCCAGCCCACTATTCAAGGCAAGTATGTTTTCACCTTAATTGATTTTTATAATTCTACTTTTGATACAACCAGCTGTAAGGATTCATTTTCAATAGCTCTCTATAATAGTTTGAGTCTTTATTTAAAAGATCCCCATTAAGAACAGCTCGTTTCCATCTGTCGTCTCTGGTTATGTGATTTAAAATATGCAATATCATGCAATCAAATTACAACTATAAAAGTACACAAAGGCATGTAATTAAGTCAATCAAATCAACAAGTCAGAAAATGCCCACTCACTGCTCCATACACTGACCAACACGCACATGCATCATGGCATCATAATAAATATCTATTTTCCAAATGAATCGTTAACGTCTAACACTTAAACAAAGTAGTAATTAAAACAAAAAATAAAAAAACAAAAAAAAATCAATTAAAAATGCATGTTAGCCCTAACAGCCAGACCCATATACTTTCAGACACATGTGAAAGATTGTAAAATCATGTGGGTCTTGCTGGATGTCTTACTTCAATAATGAATAGTTTTGTTTGGTAATCTATCTTCAGTGTTTTCACTTATTGAAGTCCCACATCGATTCTAAAAATGAATTTTAGTTACAGCCTTGAATACAAATGTGTCGTTTTCACTTTCAGCAACTTCGGGAACACTGAAGTTGAACACTCATCCTTTTTTTTAAAAGGGAATTTGTCCTATTTCTAACTTTCTTGTGTGGCACTTTGTTTGTTCAGGTTATGGAGATCTTTGGGATGATATTCAAAATGTTCCTGACATTGCAACAAGTATGAGTCCTGTTGTTCTGAGTTTGAGAAATGAGAAGGAGATACATGGTGTGGATGATATTCCTGAGGAAGAGGAGATTGAGCTCAAAGGTACACGTTATTTAGAACTTTGTGAATATGGTTTGTTTTTTTCTGAATACTTTGCTTTGTGCATTATCTTATCACAAGTTTATTCCAGTTCCACTCATGTAATGTATATGTTTGATCTTGGAATCCAGAGCTGCTGATGGCTGGGACTGAAGACTGGAGCTCGGACAGTCAGAAGTCTGACAGCAGCAGCAAGGAGCCAAGTGTTTCCTCTGTCACCAATGTGACGCACAGCTCGCTCAACAGCGAGGTAGAAGAAGTGGAGCTTGCATGTTCAATAGAGCCTCCGTCTGAACACATTCCCAATGTAAACTTCATCGAACACCTCAGCGGTATGTGTTAACTTATAATTACACATACACATGTGCAGTAGTTTGCTAATTGTCCTTTATGCTTTGTGCAGATCACATGCCTGCTGGGATTATTGTTAGATCTACTGATTCAGACAATGAGGAATTCTGTGATTCAATGGAGCATCTTGCAATTGAGGTTATTCATAATAAATATTTTGTTTTAGAAATTATTTATGATTTAATTACGAATTCATTTTAATTGTAGTGACTTTTTAAAATCAAGGGTCTGTCCACATCAAAACATTCAGGTGAAAAAAAAAATCTATTCATACAGCAAAGTGACTTGGGATTCATGGCCTTCTCAGCTTTAAACTGTTCAAGACAATCTGGTCTGGTAGATGGGATAAGAACAGCTGACTTCAGAAGTGCCTTGTCAAGGAGACAACCAGGTGAAAACAATTCCTTTTTGCAATTAAACTTCCTTTGTCATTAACCATCTTAACATTCTACAGCAACTTCCGAACCAACTTGTGGGTCTCAGTTGGGTATAAATGTGAACATGGCATGCTGCTGTGTATCTCAGAGCACTCGGTCTCTCTATAATCCAAGCGAAAACATGAATGAACACATAGCCTCTGCTCTGCTGAGACTCCAACAGGACATGGACAATGTTCTGCAGAAGCTGCAGACTCTAGAGATCCTCCAAACACCACAGGTGACGAAAGATGTGTTACATTACCTCTCAATATACTATTTCATTTGTTTTTCATTTTAGCCTCCATCACCGTCACCAGAGCAGCACCCTCTGACAGCTGCCCTTCAGGTATTTAATATATAAACATTTACTGGTATGTTGCACAATGCAAATGCACACATGTTATTTATTTTCAGTTCATCAAACCATCTTGGTGGCGTTCACACTCGACTTCTGTGTTTTTCACCTTATTCTGGCCAGTGTTGGTGCATTGGCTTGTCCAGATGTATGTGCAGAGAAGAAGGTTAGGTCAGCGCTAATTAGATTGTTTCAAGGTCGTTTTAAAATGTACTTTAAACATTGTTTTCGTATTGTCTCTTAAGGAGAATATTGTGATGTTACCTCACATTGAAAATGACATTATTACTTCAAATTACACATCACAACAACAAAAAGAACGTGGATTTTTTTTGAAAAAGATTGTGTGCATTTATTTATAGCTATAAATATTTGTTTTAACATTTCCTTTTTCCTCATTTGTATGCAATAAATTCTTTATGAAAATAACCAAAAGTGTATTTCATTTATTAAGAAAATGACATTTCAGATATGATGAATGACCATATTTTTGTTTTCGAAAATTCGTATTGATATTTGTGAATGAGAGTGTCGTTTTAAAGCGGAACGACAAAATCTAGCGCGTGGGAGAGGAGGACACATTTCACAGTGCGTCCAGGTGTTACATCAATGTTACTTCCGGTTTGTGTCAGCCTGTTATACCAGCCGTATAAGGATGAAATAAACTAAATAAACCTTAAACTTCAAGATACATCTTATATTCTTTACGATTTGTGATGTTTTCTTTGTCAATGTCCGTTCAGCCACAGGTAGGAATCTAAGACTTCGTCCTCGCGTCACGCTGTTCTGGTTAATGTCCTGGTTTTTAAAATGTTTTGAAGTTTTGCCCGGTTTAAACATTATAAACTGTGCCTATCACCATATTTTGATGCACAGAGAGACCAAGCAGATCCACTTGTGTTGCCTTTGGCGTGTACTGCGTCACTCGACTAATGGCCTTTAACACGAAACATTCCTCTCTGTCTCATTTAGGTGTACATTTGCTTTTATATCCACTGCTATGTTTTTCCAGGTGACTGTTCCTCTCAGCCACTTGATAAATGCTTTCCAGTCTCTGGGTTCAGTTGGCACCCGCAAATGTTCCACAAATAAAGCAACAGTAAACAAAGAACATGCTCCAGTGGCAGAACAGCTCTGTACAGAGGTACAAGCCAAATATACTTATGTCATATCACTGTTGTACTGTATTTTTAAGAATTACTTTCATTTTTTTGTGTAGCCTTTATGGAGCCTGCGTGATTTGGGCTTGTCGGATCTTGGGAAGCAGCAGTTGGATGAATTGGTGAAGGATGTTTTCCCACAACTCAGTCCTCAGGAAGTGTCTGTGTCTTGTGGTCAAGGAAGTAAGAATACATGGTGGACCTCTCATCTCTCGACACACACCTTTTACCACAACAAGCATGGTAAGTTCAGCTGGATCAACTATACTATTCAACATTTCTAATCAAATTTCCTCAATATTTGGGTGTCTCATCAGGGTTTCCACATGTTTCTGGATCCATACCATTTTCAGCAAAGCATTCCTCTCTTTTAACATCAGAGCTACAAATCTGGCCAGGTAAAAAAAATGATACAAACAGAATTATTTGTTTAATAATGTTATATTTTTTGCACTATGACTGATTCATGTTGATTTTGAATTCTCTTTTCATTCAAGTATGGTTCCAGAGCAGAGGTTTTAAGACATTAAGCAATAAAACTAGGCGATTGCAGTCAGGTTTTGATCGTCCAGTTGAGCCAGAGGGATTTACGCCTTCTTTTATGAAAGTCAGTGTTACATTTTCCCACAAATCTGCAGCATCTCCAGCTAATTATAAAACACACAACATTAAAGGAATGTCATCTTGCAGGGGTTCCTAACCCGTGACAAAAGTGCTGATGTAGAAAGTCTGGATAGTCTTCTAAAAATCAAAAATATCCCAGATGGGCAGCAAGATTCTTTCAAGCGGGGATTTGCCGAAGGGTTTCTCAAAGCACAAACTCTGACACAACGCACCCAAGGTAAGAGTTTTTTTAAATTTATTTTTTAAAATATTGCTTAACTTGTTCTCTGGTTTAATTCAGTAGATATTTATATTTTACTCTTTTAAATGCAATTGTAGAGTCTCTGAGGAGGACGCGTCTCATCTTACTGGTGCTGCTTCTGGTTGGGATTTATGGGATCTCAAAGACACCTTTTTTATCGGGTAAAGGTTCCTTTTGTTGCGTTTAGTTACATGTGTAATTTCGGACGGGATGAATGTTATTCTGTAGGTAACTGAATGTAATTTCTAGTTAATTTATAAAGATAGCTGATGTGATTTTGAACTGTAATGTAAAAAATTTTGACAGTACGGTTCCGAACTACATCAGGCCTGGACTCTGCTGTGGACCCAGTGCAGATGAAAAATGTGACCTTCGATCATGTAAAAGGTGTAGAGGAGGCTAAGAACGAACTTCAGGAAGTGGTGGAGTTCTTGAAAAACCCACAGAAGTTCACAGTCCTGGGAGGAAAGCTGCCCAAAGGTAAAGGACTGATGATAAATTTGTATTTGTGTATTCTTAAAAATAAAGTGGTCTGCCTTTTTTCATGATCCTTTTTTTTTTTTTAAGGCGTGCTGCTTGTGGGACCCCCAGGGACAGGGAAGACTCTCTTGGCCAGAGCTGTAGCCGGAGAGGCAGAGGTACCATTCTATTATGCCTCTGGGTCAGAGTTTGATGAAATGTTTGTTGGAGTTGGAGCCAGTCGCATCAGAAATCTTTTCAGTACGTTTTTTGCCGCTTTCATAACGGTCAAATAATGACATGGTGGTTAATTAAACCTTTTCATTCATAGGGGAGGCCAAAGCCAATGCGCCATGTGTAATATTTATTGATGAGCTGGACAGTGTTGGAGGGAAAAGGATTGAGTCGCCTATGCACCCGTATTCCAGACAGACAATCAATCAACTACTGGCTGAAATGGATGGGTAATTCTCTAAAGTACTTTAAAACTGTAGCATTGGTGCACTGTGGCTAATGTTAAATAATCTTAATGAAGGTTCAAAACTAATGAAGGTGTGATCATCATTGGAGCCACAAACTTCCCTGAGGCATTGGATAAGTAAGTCTTGCCCTAATCGTCTTTCACTTTCCAATTTCTTCAACAAAATGTATTATATTTTTTAGTGCGCTGATACGACCCGGACGATTTGACATGCAAGTGACAGTCCCCAAACCAGATATCAAAGGACGCACAGAAATCCTCAACTGGTACCTCAAAAAGATTAAAGTAGATCCAGGTGATGATAAACCCATCTCCACACTATTGTTTACAGAACACATGTCATATTGTGTGCTGTTCCCTCAGACATTGAAGCCAAAGTGATTGCCCGGGGAACGGTGGGATTCTCAGGCGCTGACCTGGAAAATCTGGTGAACCAGGCAGCCCTGAAGGCGGCAGTCGACGAGAAAGATATGGTTTCAATGAAAGAGCTTGAGTTTGCGAAAGACAAAATTCTCATGGGTAAGTGAAGTGGGGAAAAATATGTCTCTATTATGCTTGACTGCAATAAATATAAGTTACTATTGATATTTAAGGCCCTGAAAGGAGGAGTGCAGTAATAGACAAGAAGAATAAGGAAATAACAGCCTTTCACGAGTCCGGCCATGCAATTGTAGCGTATTACACGAAAGACGCTATGCCGATCAATAAAGCCACCATCATGCCAAGAGGACCCAGCCTGGGACATGTAAGAAATATCTCCCACAGAACAACATAGTGGTCTTCTGTAAAATAAAAGGGCATTGTATGTTAATTTTTTGTTTACATAGGTGTCCATGCTTCCTGAGAATGACCGCTGGAGTGAAACCCGTTCCCAGCTGCTGGCCCAGATGGATGTGAGCATGGGTGGGCGTGTGGCAGAGGAGATTCAGTTTGGACCAGAACATATCACCACAGGTTAAAAAGTGTAGTTTGTTGTGTAAATCTTAATGTCTGGTTATTAATTTATCATAATTTCAGGAGCATCAAGTGACTTTGATGCTGCCACCAAGATTGCAAAGATGATGGTTACCAGATATGGAATGTGTGACAAGGTAACAACATGGGAAACAATAAAATACAAACCTGTCTAACTGTTGTGACATGAATGCAATCATCTCTTTCTCAGTTGGGTGTGATGACTTACAGTGACATGACGGAGCAGAGCCCAGAGACTCAGGCTGCTGTGGAGCAGGAGGTCAGACAACTGCTGAAGGTCTGTGCCTCTTCCTATAACGGAGACAAGGCCATGCTCTGTGATGCTATGAGCTTATGATGCTTTTTCCACCTTCAGGAATCTTACGAACGTGCCAAAGCCCTTCTGAAGTCTCATGCTAAAGAGCACAAAAGCCTAGCAGATGCCCTGCTCATGTATGAGACACTGGACGCCAAAGATATTAAAATGGTCCTGGAGGGCAAGACTCTGGAGAGCACTCCAGAGTCCAGCAACACTGGGGTCTGTGAAATTGGGCTGTGACGTGTGTAGTCAGTGCTGTTTGACCAAGGACATTTGTCCAGTTAGCTGTCACTGAAACTGAATCATATGTTCGTGCTAATTCAAATATGAAATCGAGCTTTAAAGGTACAGCTTTGTGCTTTTATGAAGCTGTTGAAAAAGCAATTGGCTGCAGTTCTCATCACGTTGGAAATATTTGCACATATGCACTCTAATGTCAATAGTTTATTTTAATTGTGTGTACAGCTCCAACTCAAAGTTGCACCTCAGTGATGAGCTCGTACAAACTTGAGCCCCAAAAAACTTGTCACCTGACATATGTCAATGTAGGAAAGAATATCTGACGAACATGTATGTATGTATCGTACTTTCTGTACTATAAGGCACACCTTTATATAAGACGTATCAGCAACATTTTATGAAATAATTTCTTTGTCCACATGTAGGCCTCACTTGAATAAAAGCCGCTTCATGTTGTAATGTAGCAGATAGAGGACTTTTTCAGCCGCTCACAACCTGTGACCATGTGTGTAAACCATGTTCCTCCATGACGGTACTCATTCACCAGCCTATTTTGACAATAAAAATGTGACGTAAAGCTACTAAAACTGAATGGAATCAAAATACACATCTTGGCTGCATCACTGATTTCGGCCGCAGGCTTCAGAGAACAAGATAATGGTATCTTATAGTCTAGAAATGACGATTCTTTGTGTCTTTGGCTTTGTCATTTCTAATGATATTATTTGACTCGGGTCGTGTAAATAAAATACCCTAGTAAATCAGTTGTGAATGTGTAAATTATTTGTATCTTAATGACAAGAAATTTGCAACCTTTGTTTATTTACATATTCAAACATGACTACAAAACATTTAACAATAATGATCTATCTAATTTGTACACCAAATATCCCAACAAGAGAAAGAAACACAGGTATAAACACTAAACCATGGACCAGACCAAATGAAATAACAAGAAACACCATTTTAAAGAAAGTCCTAAAGATATAGCTCCCAGACATGGATAGTACAATCACTCCTAAAATAGTGGACAGAGCTCCTTGTAATATCGGAAATCCTAAATGAGCCAAAGAGTCGATAGCTTTTTTATTGGCATCCACCTTAGAGCTGGAGACAAAGGCGTATGTTATATGTGCTGAAAAGTCCACAGAAAATCCAATGCACATGACCAGGTTAATGAGAGATATTGAGTCTAGACTTACACCCCAAAGAGACATAAAGCCAGCCACTCCAACTACAATAGAACAAATTGCAAAAGCCACCCAAATGCTGCAAATAGGGTTAGGAATCAGGATTAGAGAGATTGCCAGCATTGCAAGAACTGCTATTATTATAGTCTGAATTGCATTATCTGTTACCACTATGTACTGGTCATAATAGATGAAAACAGGATTGTAGACAAGTATTTCAACTGGACATTCATCTGCTATCTTTCTCAGTCCAACCATTGCATCTTTCACTCTTGTCCTGTCTAAAGTTTGTATGAAGAATCTAGATGCTTGGATTTCATTTTCCGTCCAGTTTAGATCTTGTTTGAACATGGGATATAGCTCTAAGAATTGTCTCAAGCTGTCTGTGAAGCTCTTTTGACTGGTAAGGGACAAACTAGTTTCATTTGTGTATTTTTTAAACGCATAAAACCATGCATGAGTGCTATCAACATAAGTTAAGTTTTCCAATGTCAAGATACAAGAGTTAAGTTTCATAAATTCGGCTTCGTCCCAATATGGAAACGGATGCTTTACTGATGCCATAACATTACAGCTATAATGTGAGAAGTATTGTTTTTGACTTTGGTAGAAATCTATAATGTAAGACTCATCTAAGGCCAGATTCCTTATGTCGAGTCCTTCTTTAATTGTAAAACATCCATAAAGACCTATAGCAAGATAAGCTGCATAAATAACAAAAACACATGCTTTTACCACTTTGTGCGTCAAAAATGGCCCGTAATATTGTTCAAAGAAATAAATAGTAGGCTGTTCTTCCTTTTCGGTCGTGGGATTATTACTACCTCCAATGCAGCAAATTTGAAATACTTTAGAAGTATTCGGAGGCAGATCTTTGGGCACTTTTAAGCAGGTGAACCAGTGTCTATTGTCTTCTTCCCTCCGGCCGTTCAAAGCCATACACGCCCCTAAAAATGTGATGCTGTACAGGTAGCAGAAGACCACAGAGACCCCTGCATACAGACAAAAGGACCGTACTGAACCGAACGGAGAGAAGTAGCCCAGGAAGAGAGCCAGCGCATCGGTGAGGGAGGTGATGGTGATGGAGATGGCTGCTTCTCTGTAGGTTTGGGATAATCTCACCGGAGCGCTGTCTGTAACAAGTGTCTTCTGCCAGCACGAGATCATAATGAACATATCATCAAGGCCAATACCTGCAAGAAGGAGAAGTATGAATGAACCCGTTAGGCGCCAGCGTTTCTTGTTGTTGAGAAATGGATTGTGAAATAGACAGAAGGTGACACCCTGTAATTTAGGATAGTGGACTACATTAATCAATACTGGAAATACATAGAGAAAATAATGTCAGAAAAAATTTAGAGACGATTGTGGGAAGCAAAGTCGCTGTATAGAAAGTGTTTGAGATTTAAGAGCTTGTGTAGAAATTCTGCTACTTTGGCGCCTAAAGGGTTAAAGCTGTTTAAAACTGCAATACATATTTAACACATTGGCACTGACTGTAAAACTTCAGTTTGATTTCATGACATTGGTAGACTTACAGTGGATACTACTGTGTTAATTGTAGTAGTAGTAGTAGTAGAAGTACAATTACAAAGGAGGAAACTCTTTTAAACTTTGATAAATTAGAACCTCACAAATGTTAAAGTGCATTGTTAAGTTGTAGAAAAATAGTAGTTATAGTAGATAGAAATAGAAATAGTAGAAAATAGAAAAATAGTTAGATATCTTGTCTCAAAACAGCCATACCTAGCAACATGAAAGGACATGATGCAGCAGTCATTACGAAGGGTAGTTCCAGCCACAGCAGCGCTCCAAATCCACTCAAGACGGCCAGGCCAGTGGTCAGCACCCCACCAAGGGCCACCCACACCTTTGTCCTGACATTGTCCAATCTGCGTCAAGATATAATGAGATATTGGCAGGATTACAAGGATTATTACTGCGTATTAATACTCACCTACAACAGGATGCAATTGAAAATACGATGGCGATAGTGTACGTGATGGAGAAGAGAAAGGTGACTGAGTCTGGGGATTTCTCAAATTCCCACTGCATTGACATAGAAGTAGAGTAAGAGACCTGGAGAAATGAGATTAACAATAAATTATACAAAACCAAAGTTGAAAATAGTATATGTAAAAAAATATGTATCTTACTTGAAGAGGAGTTGATAGATTTGAGAGCAACGTTAAGAAGCTTTTCAACCACATATCAGCTTTAGCTTGGTCAGTTTCTAAGTAGTAAAATAGTTGTATGGCCTCAGCCCGTTCAACTATTGAGTTATTGATTTTGAATTCTACATTTCCCAGTTGTGTAAACAAAGGCATACTTCCATTTTGAGAGTTATGCCAAGGGTACGTCAAATTAACAGAGTCTATGTTATACGCATTATGATTTATTAGATCCAGGATACTGTTATCGCTGCAACGCTCATTTACAAGAGCACAGACATCGGAATAGTCAAAAGTGTCATTCGCCAAACGCACTTTCATGTTTTTAACTAGAGAGTCAAGATTGATTACTTCTTGCAGTGATTCAAATGACAAAACATTACTATTTGTTGCAGCAATAAAAGTAGCCAAAGTCCCATCCGTGGTCATTCTCAAACTTGAAAACCCAGTTCCATTCCTTGAAAAGGTCTCTTGCATGTATTTTCTTTCCATCTTGGCGGGTCCATCTAAAGGCGTAAACTGCTCTTCGATATTGTTGGAAATCCGGACCTTGAGAAAGTAAAAGCCGCTTCCAAGGCTGGTGGAGAAAATAAGTGGAATCAACAAGAACCACCAAGGATGCCTGCCAACAGTGTGACCCAGAGTTTGAAAAGCTGCTTTGAAATGTTTCTCAATACAGTCGGCGTAGAAGATAACCATTGTTGCAGAATCAAAAAACTGCCTGAAACTTGCACTGGAGCCTCAGCGTTGAAGACTGGCTGACTGACACCCACCTGGGCTTGTATTAAGGACCCACCCATCACCACATCGCCCCCAAGAGCTCATATTTGCATGATTACGGACTCAGGCTGAACAGATCTGTTGTTTAAGAGTAATTGCTGGTTTATGGATCACTAGTTGCACCTTTATCCAACAATGGCCTTTGCTGAGCCTGTGGTGCTTTATATGCTTCAAGTAACACAGGGACGGATGTTACAGAGTGCCATTGTGCTGTCATTTAATCCTTATATGCCATGTGTATAGATCAATGCAATCCACATAATACCATATAACATAAGAATACATTTACACAATTTATTTTCATATTATATGGCAAGAGCTCTAGTGTGTGCCAATTCTCTGTCTGGTACACACTGGGGTAGTCTTGCACAGTTTTTCCAATGTGGTTTTACTGGAAATGGCAAATAAATTCTTTTATTGTATCTTGTATGGTATTTTGTGGATCGCATTGACAAATTGCAAAACACCATACAATATAAGAATACATTTACACCATTTATTCTTATATTACGTGGTATTTTGTGGGTTGAAAATATGACACATAGGTCTAACAGGTCTAACAAAAACATAAAAGAAAAGAAAATATGGAAAGTTTAGTCCGTCAGCTAAACATAATCTGTCCCATATTGACCATAGGTTGGTGGTTGCTGCAGTGGCTGGATATGGCTGCAATTTCTATGCCTACACGCCGTTAATGCAAACTTTTTCCTCTGCATTTGACCCATCCTTTAATACCACTAGGGCCTCTGTCAGGATTCAGGAGCCCAGGGACCCATCTCCACATGTTTGATGCACGACTTGGTCTGGACCAGAGCAGGAGGATTTTATCTTTTGTACATATTTTTAGTGGTAAGGGGAAATTAAGCACTCGGAGGAAACTTATGTCGACACGGGAAGAACACGCAACTGCCATTCAGAAAGGCCCTGTCTGGAGGTGGAATCGAACCCAGAACCTTCTTTCTGAGAAGTGAGAGTACTAATGACTCAATCAGCGTGTGGATTGTCTAAAGCTTGTGTTTTTATTCTAATTGTTCAGGTTGTCGTTTTTACAACAAGCAATGGATATGAAGATTATACATTAATAATAATAATAATAATAATAATAATAATAATAATAATAATAATAATAATTAGATATATCTGATACAATAAATAGTATGCTAGTTACAAAGGCAGTTAAAATGTTAAGGCTTCACAGCTTTAGGATTAAAAGAGGAGCAGATTCTTCCAAGTCTGGCTTGTCATTATGAAGTCATCAACTCACATTACATTGCTTATTGGTGACGTCATCATCCTTGCGGAAGTTGCGCGCGCAGAGTTGTGAGCAGAAAAGCTAGTGGTAACACTGCCCTGAAGACATTAAAAACATTCACAAAATCATCCGCAAGTAACGATCCTTACAACCACCACAGTGCTATGGACGAAGACGTGCTGACGACGCTGAAACTGTTGATAATTGGTGAAAGTGGTGTCGGAAAGTCCAGGTTTGTGGCTCTTTGTAGCGGACCGTGTAGCTAGCCTAATGTTGACATTCTGTGTGGTATTATGTAAGTTTACCACTTTTTAGATGCCAAACATTGTTCTTTATTATTTATCTACAACTCCCGAACTCTGTTATACGCAGTACACAGTGATCAGCCTGATGGCCACTTTTCAAAACTTCATGTTATTGTTGTCATTTTGTTTTCTACTGCTGTGTATTACAGGCTTATCACACTGCTGTTATTTAAACTGGCTCTGCACATGTCCTTTTTCCTTTACAGCCTTCTTCTGAGGTTCACCGAGGATACTTTTGACCCTGAGCAGTCTGCCACAATAGGTTTGTAGTGTCCACAACACAATAATATCGCATTTCTAAAGAAACATCATCGTCTTTCTTGTTTTGTAACATGTTATTCTCTTATAAAGGCGTAGACTTCAAAGTAAAGACTGTTGCCATCGATGGAAACCGAGCAAAACTGGCGATTTGGGTAAGAAGATGGGTTTTTTCTCCACCTGAGACTTTGTTGAAAAATATATTGCAAACCACGTTTCGTCCAGGCGGGGGCGACATTGTTCATTAAAACTGCGCCACTCAATCTCACGTTATGTTCAGGAAAATACTTCCCTGGCCCTTTACTTGTTGAAAGGAATTTAGTTTTTTCTTCTTTTTTGGAATTAAAACGGTATAGAGTAAGCAAAGGCTCAGTAAACAGTTTCAACATACATATGCAGTAATTACCACAATAGCTAGATGACATCAGTTGCCCTAAGGCAGGTAGAAAGAACAAACAGTCCCATAACAGGTACAAACAATTCACATAGTGAGAGTCCAAGGAAAACAATGCAATAGTCCTGTTTCCACCAGCCCTACTTTGTCCTCCTCGGTTCTACTCTATCCCGATCGTGAGGTTTTCCAACTGAGCCTGTTTAACTGGTACCACATAGTTTTTTTTTACCTGCTTGGCATTGGTTCTAACTATAGGCTGAGCTGGTACTAAAATGTTTTAATTGTCAGTGATAGGCCAGCGTGCTGCTGGAAGTTATGGTTACCAAGGATGTTCCCTGGATACTGGTTTGTTGTGGGTATTTTGCTGGGATACGGTACCAAATAAAATGTCATGGAAACACCAGGTAGCCAGGTAGAAGTGAGTAGAATAGGGTCAGGTTGGACTGGTGGAAACAAGGCTTCCCATAAGCCTATATATCTTTCTTTCATACATTTGGATGCTGCAGTGGATGATTCTAGAATGGTATATATTAACTCATTAAATAGTCTGGCTATGGCTCCATAATGAGTATTTTAGCATAATAAACAAATATAGGTATGGTATTCAGTTTATCTACTCTCCATGTGTGTTTTTTAACTGTTTATTTGATGGAATCATGGAGTGACCGCTGATATGTTATCGGGAATGGGGTTCGACCTCCATTAAGTTCCTCTATACTAAAATGCTCCTTCTGTTGACCAGGACACAGCAGGACAGGAGAGATTTCGAACTCTGACACCCAGCTACTACCGTGGTGCACAAGGTGTTATTTTAGGTAAAACATGTCGTTATTCATCTGCATTTGTCAATGTATTATCGCCATAGGTTATCTTTCTACATTATGGTTTGTAAATAAATATTCTAACATGTTTTACCATCGCCCCCTCATTTCAACAGTATATGATGTCACCAAACGAGACACATTCGCAAAACTTGATAACTGGTTGAATGAACTGGAGACGTACACAACACGGAACGACATTGTGAAAATGCTTGTTGGCAACAAAATTGATCAAGTGAGTTGGTAAATTGTATCTTGTTAATTTGTTAATCACATTCCGTACATATAGGCGCACAACAATTCAGCAACAATGACCACATGCTAACTGAACATATTTTGCAGGAGGACCATGAAGTTGACAGAAATGAAGGACTGAAATTTGCAAGAAAACACTCCATGCTGTTCATTGGTGAGTGTCTTCTTTGTTGTGAAGTATCCTGAGGGAAGTGGTTGTGTTGTATTTCAAAAAACTAGTTTGAAGTCTTGTGACGTCAAGACATTATCTCACAAATCCTAGATGCAGTTAATCTCCGTAGACTGGTGTTTACCATTTTACATCTCTGAGCTGAAAGATGCAGCCTCTCCAGAAGAAATACATTATGATTGAAATCTGGGATTTCATTTATCGACTCTATGTCTGCACATGTTTCTGATTCTCATCTCTACTTGCTCCTCTCTTGAAATTAGGTTAGTTTTTGTAAAGTTTCCATCTTAAATGGTAAATTCATGGGTTTTTATAAGGGCTGGGATGGAGATGTCATGAAGTTTCTTGAAGTAATGAAGTTATCTTTTGCTCCATACAAACGTCATGTTTGTCCATGCAAGGTTATTTTAAAACCTCCTTCATTACAGTAGAGTAGGCTCTGTTTTACATTTGTTACATTTCGTGTCTCAGTGCTCAGCTTTGCAACATTCTGGACAAGACTCTGTTTAACTTTTCTCTGATCTCATAAATCTTTGTGTCCCGACTCTTTGTTCAGAGGCCAGTGCAAAAACCAAAGACGGAGTCCAGTGTGCCTTCGAGGAGCTGGTAGAGAAGATCCTGCAGACTCCAGGTCTGTGGGAGAGTGAGCATCAGGGTCAGAAGGTGATCTTGGGGCAGCAGGAGCAGAGCCAGGGCGGGGCGTGCGGAGGCTACTGCTCCATACCATGAACAGGACACATCAGCACATCGATCTGACCCCGTGGCTGCAGACCACAGACAGACACTACTGTTTAGGTTAAACTTCTGTTGGCCGAGTGGACTTTGCTGTTTGCACACTTCTATTAAGCCTCCATCAACTTTTCTTTATAAACATGAATGAAACCGTCATGAAAAGTAGAGCCCTTTTTGTGAGAAAGGAGATATAGTATTTGACCTAACAGACCCCGAATGCACATCTGGATTACATTAATCTTTTTGTAGAGAGAAATCCAGATGTACATGATCAAATCAGGTTAATGGAGTAGTGCCTATAACTTGAACCAGTTTGTTGGTTAGAGCACATACATAGCTTGTCAAATTATATTGTCAATGATTAGTCATAATCAGAACAGATGTCTCTAACGTCCAGTGCTTCCAGGATAAAGTTCTGGTTTTGCTTTGTTTTAAAATCAATCACTCTATGTAACCAAGTCTAACCAGTGCATTTTGTTCATTAAGTCTAAGTTTGCAGGCGGCAAAACAGACATTGAGGACTTTATGTGTTTGTACATTTCCCTAATGCTATTTGAATACACTATTTAATTACATCATTATTTAATTCACTCCATTAAATTCCTTGTCCCTCAATTGAATGTGAAGAATCTCATTCTTGTCTATGTTAAGTGTTTCTAGGTTGGACCATATCTTGATCAGGTTCAAAGGTGACGGTGTTTACAGTACAGTATATTTTGAAGTATATGCATTTTATTTTAGTCGTTCTTCTAATTGAGCTGTTACTGTCAATGAAGACAATTCCCATACACTTGGTCTGAGGGCATTCCTTAGCATTTCTATATCCCTCCTTATGCAATCCTTTAATTTGTTGTTTTTTTCTGATTCCCTTATTACTGACCATTTTATCCTTGTTTTGATGTGCATCTGTCTGCGTTTTTTAAGCAATAGTAAAAATTTAATTGCCTTAATGTGAACCGACTTCAATTCCTGTTTTGTGTTTTGTTGCAAACTGAAATAAAGGACAACTTGATCTGTCACTAGCTGTTGTTTAATTGCTGTTTGAGGCATGGCATTAACTTTCCGTGTTGTCTCGCAGCCCCTAATCAAAGCCAGGTTTACAATGGAAACCCGGGATGCTGCACACGCAAAACTGAAATATAGTTTGGAGAAAATGTCAGAAAGCCAACCCAAAGGAGTGGAAAGATCTAGTTAATCATGTTTTGCAGAATAACGCCTTAAGCAAGACTGTGATTACAAGCTTATGTTTGGTGTCAGGGTGTCCCCACATGGAACAAGATGCTCCCCACAAATCTCCAATGAGTGGAACAGCTGTCACTGTACTCCCTACGCTTATAATGCTATTAATTTCACCTACTTTTGACAGGTTGACCGAAATTAGGTCAGTTTCAGACCAAGCAATCTTGTTCATTGACTAATTGCTTGCAGACGAATGGTAGCAGAGCAAATGCCACACTCATCATTAAAAAGAAATTTAAAAGATTTGATTATGTGTATGTCACCAGTACATGACAGCAAAATCTAGCTCAGGTTGTTCCAAGCAAGGATTTAAGGAATACCACAGGCCAACAGATTTCACATTGTGTTTATTCAAATAGCTGCTGTCAGACTCATTGGACGACAATCCAGTCTCATGGAAGTTAATATAACTTAGAAGAACAGGAGGCAACGAGGAGGAAATGACATCAAAATTAATAGTTACACAATATACATCGGTGTTTGGTGCTTTTTCAGACGTCAGAATGAATCATGGGTGAAACATAACATGGGGTTTAAGAGTCAAAACGGGGAACTGGTTACTTCAGCATCTGCTATCCCCATATGGAATAATGTGCGAATGCCTACACACAGTTTGCCAGAGCCACTTTGACTGTCTGGACTTCGGCAATGTGAGAGGACTTCTGGATGATGCGACTGGTGAGGATGGCGCGAGAGGGGACAGGAGGGGTCTGGGTGGACACGGCACTCTGCCCCTGGGCCAGGTTGGTTAGTGCCACTGCAGCGTGGAGCTCTCTCCAGGCTGGTTCACTTCCATGCTGCTCACTGAGGACAGAACATTTACAATGGAAACTCTTTGTATAGTTTGGTTTGATATTAACTGAAACAACTGACCTGGCAAACTTAGTTGAGCTGTAATCAACAGGGTCTGTCGTAGGAAAAAGACAAAATGGTTAGGAAAATTGAGTTGGCAGACAAATCAATAAATATATTGTGTTTTTTCTTGTGTCCTTGGGCAAGACACTTAACCCCACTTTGCCCAAAGCCCCCACTGAAAGATCAAGGCTATGCTCACACTCAGAGAGCAGCCGTCCTCCTGTGGACTCACCACCTGCAGAGGGTCAGTGAGGGGCTGGTGCTATGAGACTTGGGTGGCATCTCTGACTGCCACCCCCCTGACCCAGAAATGGATTAAAGGGTAGAAAATGGATGGATGGATGGATGTTTTTTCTTGCTTTGTTAGCGTGTTCTCTCCACTTCTGATGTTACACAAAATCCCTGTATCTTCTCACGTCCTATATTTTTATTTCCCCTTCTGGCCACAACATAACTATAAAACAAGCATCATGCAGAGTCATTCTTGCTAAAATAAGGTAGTAATGCCATACTGCTGAGCCGTGGTCTGCTAAAGTATGTATTATGTGTACAACGCGTTTCCATTTCAGTTTGGGAATATTTCTCTTTCGGAGATATAAGATATTTTGGCCACAGCTCAGAGCAATAGACGAGGAAATTAGAGGCCTGCCGTGAAACACAGTCCTTTGGTGCTAACAGCCCGAAACATCTCCGTCTCTGACTCTCTGCTCCCTGAGCCTCACTCTGGCCAAAAGCAACTACTCACTGATAGTAAATCATTCTGATATTTTATGCTCCTGGCTACTGAGTATCCACTTCAGCCTCACGTTGTTTGCCAAAACCTGTGCAACGCTGCATTTTACTCTATTGAAACGTATTCCTCTGAGGACCCAAGATTTACAGATAGGATGGATTGAAGTCTATATGTTCCACCGGTCTAAATAAACGAAGGGATAGTTGTTTTAGGAAGTTAATTCTACATAAACATACCTTTGTAAATATCTGCTGTAATGTAGTTATTATGCACTTCCAAATCTAGATAAAACTATATGAGACATACAGATTATACTGTATGGTGTGTGTACCTTGGGGGTTCCTGCACTACATGTTTTTCACACAATGCTCTGCTCAATCTAACAGGTGTGCCATTGTAATATTCTCTGGAAACCAAATGTGCTTAGAAAATACCAAAGCCTTTTATACCCTCTTGAGCAGTCCCCACTCTGCATCAACAGGCATACTTTCCTTCGTCACTAACTGGGCTGAAAATGCTTTATGCTCCCTGCAAGTTTGTATAGTACTGTGTATATTTATGACAAATGAATGCACTTTTATAGCTCTCTAAACGTTCTCTGGGAAAAGAACGCCTGGGCTAACAACCAAAAAGAACTGGCATATACATTCAGCGAACAACATACAGGACATAAACATGTTTGGTGAAAGTAAAAGAGTGTTCTGTGGGTTATGAGTCCGTCGCTGCTTTAAGGCCTCTCTGGGGAGGAGGTGTTAATGAGGTGAGTGCACATCATGGATCTGGCTCTAGACTTTCCACTTTGCCTCAATACAAGCTGCAGCCGCATGTTCGGAGCTTGGACAAACATTTAACAAGGCCACACTGTTGCCTGAAACTGGGATAAAATCACTGTATACATACACATTTTCTTTTATTCATCAACACCATTAAAATCTTATGGGCTGCATTGTGGTATATCAAGTATATACCACGGCAACAAGCAAGGTATTTCGTTATTTTTCACTAGCATATGATATTTGCTTTGTGATTCAGAAAAGCTGTTTTAAAACTTTCTATATATTTAACTTGGATTCAACAAGCCCCTGATTTGCTGGAACTCTATTGCGGACTTTCTTTCCATGGTACGCCTATAAATTATGACAAGAGTAATACTACAAAGTTTATGAAATGTCCACAGCCTACGGTCATTTCATGTTTGGCAGCCGAAGTGGGAAAGGACCCGTCCTAAAGAGAACGTTCTATCATAAATCTTTTCACACTTACTACTGTGAATGTCTAGTAAAACCAGATAGAATTTGGATATAAAATATATTTGGAGGGACATACTATACATACACATATCAGACACACCAGTTAGATAAAGACGTATTTATTCTGGATCCTATTAAAGGTAAATATAGTTTATCACTGCTGTCTAACAGGGAAGGAGTTGTACATCCATCATCAAGTAAATAACATAATATTTTAATTTGAATGTTGTTGCTTGAAAATGCAAATTGAATGCATTATATTAAAGATGCAGTCAGTGATTTTTTCTGGACGCATTCTTTTTATTTTTTATTTTTTTACTGTGGGAAAACGTCCCTAAACCCTAAACGTAGTCAAATTATCATGTGTTTTCAAAAAGAAATGGAATTGACCAGATGTCTTGTAATCTCCAAAAATTAATAAAAAATATATTAGAGCGGACCGACAAAAATAAACCAATGGGATTCGTTCGTCCTCAACGAACCAATGGGATGCGTTTACCGGCTTTATCCTGATTCTCGCGAGTGGGCGCACCTGACTTTTCGAATTCTCTAAAACCTAAAAGGGCTGAACAGAAAATGCCAATTTCACGTTTGCCACCCACTCTCCCTGTTTTGACAAAGAAAAAAAAAGCTGGATGTTTGGTTTGGTGGCAAGGCGAGGGGAGGGGGGAGTGGTTTCGAGTTGGTGCTACGGCTAAGCTAACAAAATCACTTACCGCACCTTTAATAGATATGTAAATGACGTGAAATCATGGAAGTGAGTCAAATGTTTGGTGCGCCTATAGCAGGGCTGGTGCACGTGAATGAAAAGGTCAGGCCCACCAGTGCAGCGTCTGTTGAAGTGACTGTTTCAAGGAATAGATAGTATCATTTTACTCCAGTATTTGAGTTCGAAACCACAACAGCTCTTAAGTGGCTCCTAACAAGCTTTCCTCTTTCAAACTGACCATCCACTTAACTATGTGCTGGCCCGAGTACACTCCTGTCACCCTGGGATGTATAAATTCTCAGACATGTTGTAATTGTCCTTGAGACTGGACATTTCCACCTCCATGGCAAAGCGGCAGCAGCGGAACAAACGGCACATTGAAATATATGGAAATGATATTTGTGGTGTGCCGTATAACCAGGGCCGTCCAATTTATAAAACCAGGGATTTCGCTGTCTGCCTGAGTCTTTATTGTCGATGTTTGTAAAAGACTTGGCCCTCGAACGGCCTGGATTTTGAGCTTGTTGAAGTACGCAGGTCTCTGAAGGTCTGAGAGGGCACCCAGATGTCAAGACTTTTGGCTGCAACTTTATAATTGAATTTGGTTGAGCCGCTTGCTTACGGGGGAATGCCAGGGATTTATTGATGTCTAGGCTCTCTGGGGACTTGCATGGAAGTTTTGGTTCACTCTGTTCTTGTTTTACTGTACTCAATGGTGTAGTAAATATTAAAGTGGGGAAAAGGGTGTTGTTAAACTGTCATTAAAACACATACTCAGCATAAATCCAGAATTAATACATGATTAAGTCAGTAGTTCTGGCCCTAATTCTCTCATTGCATCAATCTATGACATATTTCAGCCATAAAAGATAGACAAATTGACTAACTTTCGAGTCACATTTCATCGAATTGTTTGTTCCTTATAATAATGAGACCGATGATGTTGGAGGTTTGTCATGTTCAGTCAACAACACCCAACACAAATACAAGATTGTGACTTAATGTCGAGGTGCAGAGGAGCATAAATCACATCTTTCTATTACTGTAGTGTATATTTCTGAAATGCAATTCTCTGGGTACTGGTCTGAAAGGAAAAAATATTTGATGAAAGGGTTTGTGTCTAAATCTTTAAATTGAGAGTGCATTCCTTTCTTCTCAACTTTCCAATACAGAACTCTCACCCATGTGGTAGACGTAATTGGCCTCTGTCCCGTACGAGGATGCCGGAGACACCACGTCCCTCTCACAATCGTTGGAGCTGAAGGACTCGCAGTGAGACCTCCGCTGTCGGCCCGCGCTCGCCGCTCTCTCCGCCTCCATCATGTGTCGCAGCGTGTCATTCAGGTAGCGGTTCAGTAAGCTGCTCTTGTATTTGGAAGGGCCCGACCCCCCGTCATCAGGGCTGGGGAGGACTCTGCTCTGGGACTGGAGCGTGCTCTGGTGAGAGGACGAGCGGCCGAAGTCTGAGGGACGAATCTGAGCTTGTATTGGGCACTCGTCTGTGGAAATGAGATGAGTGTGAGAGTGTGGTAAAAAATGACACAATACATTGCATTCTATGTGTGTGTAATTACTCAAATATAACATGTTAATATACATTTAACCCTTTATATCTACTCCTTGAAGAAAGTAATGTAATTTTTCTTTTATTTTAGATTTTCTCAGATGTAGGAGCATTAATAACACAAACGTTAAATGTTATTTAAGTTAAAGGCCTTTACCAAATACTTGAGTTGCAGTTTGATGGTAAAAGTGCCAAAAACCCAGTGATAAATATACCTCTTTGGGACATCTCTAAGTTCCAAGCATGCTTAAAGTAGATATAGTGACTCAAAAGGTGATTTACCAAATGGTTGAGAAAACACTTAAAATAGTCAATTATAAATATGGTATTCCTGAATATCTTCACAAGACCTTGGTGTTTGTGAGGGCTGACCTGTGTCTGTGTGGCTGTCGTCGCTGCACACGCTCAGTCTCTCTGCGTTGCCCTGGATGTACTGGTTATAAAGTTTGATCCTCAGGGCCCAGCTCAGGTCCGGTTGCCTCACTGTGTTCTTCAGCCTCCGCCGGGCATTGGCAAACCAGTTTGAAACCTGCCAACATGTGGAGTGGAGAAAATTAAAATAGGTACATGAAATTGTTTTGGACTGAGTGTGATCCTCTTTTTGCCGCACCAACTACTTCAGATTTTTCAGACTGAAAAGGTTGAAAATACATGCATGTTACCCTTCTGATGATGAACGACACATGATCAGTAGAGTAAAGAAATTATGGTCTAAACTCTAAACCCAGCTCACGTTCCCAAAAAGTGGCTGAACAATCCAACACATGACAGAAGAAATGTATCTATAATTCATTTCTTTGTGGTTTGAAAGTTAGATACATCTGTTTTAATTTGATACAGCTCACACTTGAAACATTTGTGATTGAAAGTGTACATCCTAATTACAGACATTCTCACTGTAAACAAAAAAAATGTTGTTTTTTATTTCCAAGTTACACATTTATACACCATGCAATGAAAACCGCTCTACTAATTCAGTTTAAAAGCGAACTCTCACCTGCACCAGTGTCATGTGTGATCCCAGAGCCAGCAGAACCTTCTCTGTTTTGGTGGGATAAGGATTGTCCCGGTGTTTGTAGAGCCAGTGTTTTAGGGGCCGCGCCATGTCCTGCAACACCTGCCTCTTATGGCGAACTTTGGCCCCACCTAGACGAGAACTGAGAAAGAATACCATTATAAACCACATTTTAGTTTTAAGCCCACATATCTGGACATACCTATATTTCCTGTATTTTGGTGATTCATTTTGACTGGGCTTGTGGCACCTCTCACTTAAACTGATTGGAGATCCGTCTTCACTGTTCAGCCTGTTCGCCTCGTTTCTTCTTTCTCCAAACTCTATCACGCTGGATTCATGTTTGTCCATCCTTTCCAACGTCAACAGGTGCATCTCAAAAAGTTCAATCAGGAAAAAAGTATGTTTCCGTACTTGGCAAAACAGAAGAAAGAAAAAAAAGTGTGTATCTTGGTCAGAACCAGAAAAGAAAAAAAAGATTATACGTCCAGTCTCGATGAGTGGTGTTTGAAAAAGTCCTAAGATGTGGTGAGTGGAGAGTGAGGAGAGCCCACCTAAACTTCTCCACTGCAGCTTATTGGCCCTCCCACTATCCAATCACGTGCTAGTTTTTTGGAACAGCAGCAGCAACAGCAGCAGCAGTAGCACCCCACAATATGAAAACTATAACACGTGTGTATCAGCAAGTGCGGTCAGTGGATTTGCAAGTAACATTTGGCCCGGTGTGACGGTTGCCAACGCTAAGCAATTCACCACACTCGCATTTTTTCAACATGAGGACGGCAGATTTTGTGGATGTTGAGGTTTGAACTAAAAATCGTGTCAGCAAATAATAATACATGTTTTAGTCGGGACTTTGGAAATGGATGGTGTAATTACAGAGTGCCTAATAACTGAGAAAACCACAGAATGATGCCCAGAGCGAGACAGAAGCGAATCCTCCAGAGCTCCGGGTGATCTCAAAACAAATTGGGGGATAACACAGACGGTCGAAAGGATGGAATAAATTCACAGATGTTTGAGTGTCTTTTAAATCTGGAAAATATTATCCCATTTTTACACAGACAGAAATATTGAAAAATAAAGACGGACAGAGTTGGATTTGAGTCAACAAGGATTAAAGCTGGACTACTTTACATTTCTGCTTCTTTCTTCTTGCTACAGTAACATTTTGTGAACAAATCAGACCACAGTATGCAGTCTTAATCCTATTAGAAAGCGTTTTATCTTTTACATACTGAGAGCTGATTGGCCGAGTAAGAATGGTCTTCTAGTTTTTACTGATCGAAAGATGTGACAAAAATTGAGCCATATGTGCATCATTGTGCTCAGAACTAGTTCCCTGGATTAAATGACATAATACAGGTTTTTTCATTTCAAAGTTAGGTACTCCAGGTAGAAAGTCTTGAAAAAAGATAGACAAAAAGATAAAACCATCAAAACAATAATTGATATAAAAAAGTTAATTACAGTAAAATACACGGAAGACTTTGACTTTATTTCTATTCACTGTTATATGCAAGAAAATCTATGCTTATAACTATAACTTCTTCCTTGTCAAACTATAACCTCTAAATGACAGTGCATGTTTATCCATGTAAGTGTGCATATTTTTTCAATCTCAATCCGTCTGATGTGGCTTAATAAAATCATCTGTCTTGACAAACACCTATTTAGAGAACATTGAAGAAATGACAAAACATAAAAATGAAGCAGAATTTAATTATTACATGCACAGTAAGACTAGAGCAAAAAACATAATTAATCTGTCTAATTCTAAAAACAATAATTCAACAATATCATATCTATCCCTGAGTTATAAGTGATAGTCTTGTCACCTATTCAGGCCCAGGCCAGATGATGATTAGAATCATTCCCCTTTTGTCTATGCATATTTTCGTATAAAAATCTGCAAATGCCAGTAATAACTTTTCCACATCCAAAATCTCCATCATCTTCAGGGACACTCTCCGTCTGATAAAATATCCTTCAAGCTCTCATTTAGACGGCGATTGCAGGTCATGTTTAACTGTTAAACAGATTAAAGAGCCCATAACTTTCACCCATATACATAATTCACAGATATCAGTGGGGAGGTTGAGTCTGGGAGCTGAAAAACACATGCGTCCCCTTCAGGTGCCATAAATTCCTGGCTCACATTCCTGAAGCAGAGGCTGGAGAATGCTACATGCTAACACACACCATTTAACTCTGTCCCAGTGTGCTGTTCACCGTCTGCACTGTTGATACTAGAGCCAGGGACACGCCCACAGTCCCAACAGCCAAGGGACACGCGTAAAACTACAAACAGACACATGTACATTTCTACTTTTTTGGGTTTTTCGCCAGCTTTCTACTCAGGACGTGTCTTGGAATAAAATCTTTGACACAGGCAGAGGGGGAAAAAGTGCAGGTCTTTGCTGGGGTACGCAACGTTCACAAAAAAATGTAGCTTAATACAATACAATGTTTGTAATACAGTCTATAAAACTAGTACAATTTACCTGGTGAATTAAAAAGACATGTTCAAATATGATTCCTTTCAAAATATATATAAAGTATTCAGTAGAAAGAGAGTGAAGCCCTTAAGCACAGAGCAAGTGATGGGGAGAGATGTAGGGTCAGAGAGGGTTTGGGCCAGTGTCCTGAGTGTAAGTTTTATTAATCAGTGCTTTGGAGCTACAATCTGGGAACAAAAGTCAGATTTTAATAGTAATGGCTTAATTAGACACGAGAGTACATATTGCACACTGCCCCTTTAAGTAAAAGCATAGATACAAGTATAAAAGTGAACTCTGGTAGAAGTAACACTATTGAAATCATTACAAGGATAAGCTTTCGTACTTAAATGAAAAATGCAGGTTTGAGAAAAGCAGGTTTTCTCTGGACTAAAAAGTGCTTCGTTCCATTCGCACAGATAGCATCAATCTGTAAGAAAACCTTTTTGCGAGGCCGCCGATGAAAGAATCCGACTTTCCACTGGACATAGGTGATTTTCTATGTCAAGGAGGGATATCCTAAAGCAAAGTATGTCAGGCACATTGTCAAAAACACTTGAAATATTTAAATCAATGTTACATCTAAGGAAAAAGAGTGGAAAAAAGTAGGTATAGTGGGATAAGTGTAAGTTCTGGGCATAGAACATATTACCTGGAAGTCCCCACTCAGGACATAAAACCACAATGTTAGTGTTGGGGCAAAACCAAAGCTAACTTTCCTCCTAATTCTTGTTAAAGCCTCTTGAAAGAAGGAAATCTCCATGACACTAAATAGTACTTACAGAGAAAGTGTGTCAATGCAAGATGTACAAGTTATTACTCACGGCTCTGTGTACGCAAGACTATACAAAACAGGTCAACAAAAATAAGTAAAGAAAAGCAAAGAGCTGCCACTGCCATTAGCTAGTACTGTGCCACCAAAACCCACATAATAACGAAATCGTACAATTCAACGAGCAATATTTCCATAAAACTTGCAGAAAAAGAAGAAATGCAAATAATAATAAATATAGCACATTTCATACTAACTCAATTTTGCTCCACAGTGAACCATGTGACCAGATTAAGGGGGTGATGGCATGTGGGTCTTTTGTTTACTCTTGAGCTCAGAGTGAGAGGACACTTGATTAGGGAGAGCGTTCCATTTACAAGGAGCATAAGCCTGCGTCTCCCACCTTCAGCCTCGCAGGGGAACAGCGAGAAGGTCGAGGCGATACTACTATGGATAGATAGATAGCTTTATCATAGACTCTTGGCGCAAAAACAAACAGACACAACACACGAAACAACAAGAGTGCATATTACATACTGCCCCTTTAAGTGACAGCATACATAGCAGTGATAAAAGGAACTCTGGCAAAAGTAACACTACTGAAACCATTCTCTTGCTAGTAAAAGTAACAAGGACAAGCTTTTGTACTTAAAATGCAGGCACAGAAGAGAGTTTGAGAACTGCACTCTTCTTCGGACTAAAATGCGTTGTTCCATTCACACAAAAAAAAACTTAAAAGTCCCCAAATGGCGGTACAGGCGACAACCAGTGTTTTGCACATAGGTTTGAAAAAAAAGCTATTTTTCACACTATTGCCAACTTTACAAACAGTTAGGTTCCATCACTAAATGTAAAGCATGTATTTTTTAACTTAAAAATTATAGTTTAAGGTAGTCTGCAGTGTGTTCATTCCGTATAGAACACAGAATAAGTAAGAAAGTAAGTAATGTTTATTTATATAGCACAATTTACAGGCCAAGATCAGCCAAAGCACTTTAGAATGTTAAGAGTTCCGATATTTTTCCATTCTCTCCACACACGGTGATGAAGGAAGCGAGACGCCGAACACACAGGTGCATCAAATCCCCCAGCCAACACCATCCATCCACTCACTCATTACAGAATACGTATTGCACTTGTCTTTTTGGGGCAGGGGAAACCGGAGCACCTGGAGGAAACCTACGCAGACACAGGAACGCTCCACACAGAAAGGGCTGGAGGTGGAATGGACGACAGGATCTCTTTGCTATGAAACACAACCTCTAACGGTTGTGCCACAGAACTGCCAAATCATCAAATAATCTAGTTCACCCACAGATGTGAAACGGTGTAAAGCGCTCACAGTAAAAATGTGTAGAAAACATTCCCAAAATTCTGCTTTGAAATGACCCAAATTGTATGCGTCACTAAATGGGACTCTATGAAAGTAAGTGGGCATATTTATTGGAATGCACTATATAAACAGGGACATGATTGAACCAAATTATCCGTTACAATCAGACGTCATTTTCAGACTGATGTTTGAAGCGGGAGCAGCAGAGTTCTTGTTTTTACTGGACGACGGTGGTGTCTTTACAGGCATCATTATGATCTCAGCGAGCCTGCAGAATCTCAGAGGCAAAATGAAGTTATACTGCGGCCCCCTGGCACTAAGGTAAACACTGGAACGCTGGGATTGACACCTGACTAAATACTTTTCACTAAAACATGTCCAAATAGTTTAACGTCTTTACTGTGAGAAGACGTGGAGGAAGTCATATAAGTCTGGATGATCGTAGGCAGTGGCCAAAACGGGGATAATATCGATATCGTTTTACAGAAGAATATTTTTATTATCAAGTTTATTAATAGTAGTAGTATTTATTCAAAACCTAATTCGTGCAACAATAAAACACGATAAACAGTAATCAATAGCCAGATAAGAGGTTGGACGAAGCAAACGCTAATCTGACTCTTCTCCCTCATTCTACAACACACAAATTCCAACACATTCAGACAAGACACAGGTCCTCACACTCTCAGACCCCACACCTCTCCCCTATCACTCGTGCTGAAGGCATCACTCTCCTTCCTCAACCTGAACAATTGTTTAAATTCAATATTTGAACATGTTTTACTGCAGTGGCCCCAAGCACTAAGACACATGTTGGTCTTAATTATGGTGTGTAATTATGGTGAGCGCTCCCATTAATGAAAGAAGCATTACACATTAACTAATATTATGAATACGGTAAAGACATTTGAAAATCAATACAAGGCTGGAGTACTTCACTTTCTTTTGTTTAAGAAATAAAGTTTGTTCCAACAGAAAGAGTTTAATTTTAGTAACATTTTATAAACAAACAAGAACACAGCACCACAAACCATTTTATTTTCTATCTACTATGAGCTGATTGGGGGTTGGTGCTCACTTTTTCACTTCTATCCAGTTTTACATGCATGTGAGAACCAGAGATACTGTAGCATTTTTTTTTTTGAGAGCTGGGAAGTGGTTTTGTAGTTTCAAAGTAAGTTACTCCAGCTTTAAGGTGAATCTTAATTGTCAATCAAGACATTCAGTTTCATCATGTTTAGCACATTTTTGATAGAATGCAATGCTTTCGTCTGAATGGGTCATCGATGAGTACTCAATTTCCTTGTCTATCGTGCTAATAAAACAGGCACTAAATGGTAATTTTCCTACTTCTTCTAACCCAGCAATGGCTTCTGAGATCGGTTCCTATGATTTTCTACTGTACAAATTCACTTTTGTGTGATAAGAAACATAACAAGTAACAATTAACCTTTGTGTCGTGTTCGTTTCCCCCCCCTTACTTTGGTGTTCCCGGTCAAATTTGACCGGACGGTTTTAACTGCTCTTACATTTACACAAAATAACTGATCATAACTAAAAAATGTTTTACTCTCTTTAAAGCTGTAAACAATACCTCAAACTACTGGTTTACATGAATAACTGCAGTGAATATACAACAAATACACATAGAAATTGTAAATTATATTCAAAATGTAACATTTATTGTAGAGAACGAAGCAAAAATCAAAACTGAGTACAAATTCACAGATCAGAACATCAACATGAACATATAATCTCTGTGTGTGTGTGTCTTCACACACAGGAGTGGCATTTTGCCATCAGGTCGGAGTGTGCCTTGCAAACGTAGGCATCACATTTGAAACAAGTAAGACTTGTTTTATTGTCTCTAGGGGCACAGAGCTTGCATCTCTTTCGTTTCTGCCCCTGATTTGGGGGGAGAAAGGGCAGGGCAGCGGCTGGGGCTTGCAGACTCCTAACCAGACTGGCAGAAGCTGGTGCACGGGGAAGGTGCTGGCGTCGTTGAATTAGAGGAGTCACTAAAGCTTTCCCAAGCTCTGCCAAGAAGAGTCTCCTCCTGAAACATTTCCCCTGATTCCAGGCTGGGTCGATCGCCGTCCACACCACATATGCATTACATGCAGATACATCCAGGATGTTGTGGAACACCGCCACAGGCCAACGAGCTGTCATTCGCTTGCAGGTGTATGTACCAGTAAGCTACAATGAAAGAGACAATAATGATAATTATTAATAATTAGAAACAATATTGAGTGTGTCTTACACAAAATGCAATGTTTTAAATGAATACAAGTAAATCAAATGCATGACAGATGAAAATATGAATTACCTTATCAAGGCAGTCGACACCTCCTTTGTTTCTGTTGTAGTCCAGGATGATATGGGGCTTCCTGTGCTCTGCTGTGCTGACAGCGGTGTCTTTGTGTAGTGTGCTCATCAGGATGACATTCTTGTTCTTCTTGGGAAAATATGACACTAGACTGTGTGTGTCAGTGAAAGCAAATTTTGATGAGAGAACTTCTCTCCCTCTGGTCGACACCAGTGCAGGGGGAAGTTGAGGTTTGTTCTTCTTCACTGTCTCCACCATGGTGAGCTTTCTCTTCAGCAGCTCCTGACCAAGCCCAAATGATGTGAAAAAGTTATCACATGTGATATTATGCCCCTTGAGTCCGGCTGTCATGTCCAACACAACACGCATGCCCTGATTTTTTTCTGGTTTTCCAGTAACAGGTTTTCCCGTGTAAACCTGCATATTCCAGGCATAGCTGCTCCTGGCATCACATGCTGCCCAGATCTTGATCCCATACTTGCCTGGTTTGCTTGGGATGTATTGTTTGAATGGACAGCGACCTCTGAAAGGCACCAGGCGCTCGTCCACTGTCACTTCAGGGCCTGGGTTGTACATCAGTGGTAGACGCTCCACCCACCTGTCCCAAACGTTCATGATGGCAGCCAGTTTGTCATCTCGCCAGCGGAAAGGTCTTGTGGTTCTGTCATCAAATCTGATAACACGTGATATAACATGGAACTGTTGGAGGGACATAGTTGACCGGAATATAGGCCTCCCTGACTCTGCATCCCACAGACATTTTGTCGCTTCATTGTTGGACCGGTGAACTCCTGCTAAAATCAACAGACCCATGTAGGCTTGGAGGTCTATCTGATCCAATAATTTCCATGTGCCTGCAAACACACGCCTCCCCTCCAGGTTTGTCATCTCCAGTATTATTTCCACAATGGACTCTGATAAGAAGAGTTGGAAGCTGGACTTGATGTCATCCGCATGAGATGTCGCATACCTTGTTGGCCCTGGCGTCATCCTAACAATATTTTCCACTCTTGCTCTGCCTCCTCTGTCCTGGGTGGATGAATACCAGAGCAAGTTGCCATCCTTGGACTGGAATGTAGCCTCAGGTGTGTCTTCCCCAGTGGCCTCTTCCTCAGGTGCCTCTTCCCCACGTGTGTCTTCCTCAGGGGCCTCTTCCTCACCATCTGTTGACTCGTCGTTTTCATTATAGTCCGGATCAAAATCAGGATTGTCTTCTATTTCTGAGACATCCTCCTCTATTTCTTGTTCGATTTGAATCCCCTCTTCATCAGTTTCAAAAAAAAGGTCAAGAGCCTCTCTGGCAGAAAACCGGCGCCTCGTCATTGTGCTCAGAGTCAAATGAGAGCAATGCACAAATAAAGCTATATATAGGGGGTCAGTGAGAAGATATCTTTCTATTATGATACATTTTGTATCGAAAGGTGTGGCTCACGTGGGGGAACTGAACACCTGTTCAGTCTGAAACAGGGGGAGAGGCACATACGGGCGGGAAAAAGATGAGGAGAGGAGACACCTGTTCAGTCTGAAAGGGTGTGTGTGTGTGTGTGTGTGTGTGTGTGTGTGTGTGTGTGTGTGTGTGTGTGTGTGTTGAAAACTATGGTGAATGAAAGGATCTAGAGTCACCCATTCATTTCCTATGGCGGTCATTTTTGACCGGGAACACCACAGGTGTTACAAAGTTGATTTACCCACTCAAAATTCAACAAAAGTGGTGATCATCAATTGTACATGTTCAAATGCCTAGTGTGGAGGATATCATAAGGCCTTGAAACAATAAAATATAAAACAAAAAAATTATGATTGTTGAAAGTAGGAAATCGGTCAGATTTGACCCGAACACGACAGAAAGGTTAACAAGCTCAAACTATTTTGTGGCCACATCTGCATCTGCAAGTCTGTTTCCCCGCCAAACATGCCCCACTACTACACAGGGCCTATTCCGCCATCTCTTACTGTAACTTTTATGTGTGGTCGTAACTGTGTACTTCTGTGTTCCTCTGTGAAGACTGAGGTCCCATGAAAGCCATTATTATCCTTGTACAAGCACATCGCAGCGCTCTAGCTTCCCCTAAACTTCACATGATTGACACATTAACACTCCTTCACACCCAATTGAGCTCGGCAACTCAAGAGAAAGGAAACCCCAAGAATTTAAAAGAATGTATCCACTGTAAAATGTAATGTATGGCTCTCAAAGCGGCGTAACAGTAGACTAATGATAGAGGGGAAATATTTATATTATGAGCTTGATAATATGTCAATGGCCGACGATAGCTTTTTCCAAATACGCTGCCATTTTCAATACGTGTCACACAGGGCTTTTACGACTGTTATCGTGCTCGTGTCCCCATTTTGTGAAACATTAGCGACTGCTGCTAATATCGCGGCTCTGGTGTCCATTACGCTTAATTGAAGTGCAGCAGCTGTCAGAATAATTACATGCCGATGTTTGTGACTTGGCAGGGAAGGATTACGTTTGACCACATGCGCTGGAGAGTTTCCGCTTTTTTTTTCCTCGAGACATTTTGCTTTCAGTCTGCGAGATGTTTTTTTTTCTTGCACTCAGCTCTGTGCCAAAAAAGACTCAGACAAAAAGAAGGGGAGAGATGGTTTCTTTTCACGTTGTTTGGGAAATACTAAGGGACATTGCCTTAAAGGTAGTAATGAGCGATAATGGCCTGGCTATCCTGTCTACAAAAACACACTTTTACTATTAGAAAAGCGAGAAAGAAAAAGTGCAGTAAAGTAGTAAAGAGGATGAGATGTGTGTTTTGGCTAAACTTTTGTCATGGTGTGGGTTAATTGTTAATATCAGGGTTCTCCAACTTGTAGGCACCAGTAGCTCGCCACCCCCTTCCAGGTAGCTCACCAAAGGATTTAGAAATGAAAAAAATCTAATAATATCCTTAATATTTCAGATTGTATAATTCATTATCATTGTTTATAATTGTAAACCTTTATCAGCCCAGGAAAGTATCTCTCTGTGTGAAAGAGGTTGGAGACACCTGGTCTACATGTACCCTGTGCTTCCTGTGTGTTTCTTTCCCCCCTCAGACTATTATTTGTTATAATTTTTTGTATTCTTGCAGTTTGGGTCCTTCCTTCATCTCACCCCATGTGACAACTTTAGTCTTCAGGTGTCAAACCAGTCCTCAAAGTTCTAATGTGGCAGCAGATTTTTGTTGTAATACAAATCTCCAGCAACACCAGCCAATTTAGCACTGTTATGACACCCCTAAATCAAGACAAACGAAGAAACAAAAGCTAAAATGGCCTATAATAGTAAAAGATGGCTACACATGTGTCTTTGATCTGTCATCTGATCTAATAGTGTGAGAGAACAGTCAAGCTGAAGAGGAAAGAATGTTTTGGGTTCAGATCCAGCCTGTTAAGTGACTGCAGCTCCTCCGTGACGCTGTTGGAGACGGGCGAACCCACTCTGTCGGGATCCACTGAACTTCGGCCTCAATGATCTCCAGCACCGCCGTCTTCAGCTCTCGGAACGCCACCGCGATGTCCCCGTTCACCAACACCTTGTCGAACAGGTGCCCATACTCCCGCTCCATAGACTCAGATGTGTCAATCATCTCCTCGAAATCTTCCTCCTGTTTCCAAACGGTATTATTATTGCTTTAGTGCAGGAGCGTGACATACATGTGAAAACTATAAAATGACTGACCAAAGCACAACCGGTCATTACATGCTGAGAGAGGAAAGTATAAGAGGGCTTTTCACACAGCCCTATGAACTGTTATGTTTGGGACAGGGGCGACCCGTGTGCAGGTGTGTGACCTCAGGTTTTATAAGGGCAGAGCGCAGACATGGAGAAGGCGCAGATGGACTGTTCGTGATGCAGCACGTATAGGAGTCCCAAAATCTGCCATGCCTCAGCTCATATTTTATCATCATTTTCAAGTATGATCCATATTGAAAGTCTATGTTATTGCTACTCATGTGATTAGACACGTTTCACTCTTTATGTCCTGACAAAGATCAGTATGGGACAAAACTCATACAAATAAAGTGATTTTATACATATACAACTAGTTAGAGTTGTACAAACATCCTTGAGCTTAAAGATTTTTTTAATACTAAGATTAAGAGATCCTAACTCTATACTAAAAAAAACAAAAAAAATACAATCAAATCTGAAATCTAAAACAAAATAAAACTCTAGCATAAAAAGAAGCAGTATAAAATCTCTATCTTCAGCATAATATGGAAAGAAGTCTCAGAAGTGTTTGGTTCCAGACACATTTAATTTGCCCCAACACAGTCTTGTTATTTATTTACTTTATCTTATTAGAAAACATTGTGTATTTTACATACGGAGCGCTGATGAGTGGAGTGAGGGTGGGTCCAGTGCCTGTTTTGAGTGCTTTAGTGCCAGTGCTGAGAGCTAGTTACATGGATTTTATGACATAGTTAAAGTTTTGTAGTTTAAAATCGAGGTACTTCAGCTTTAATTTATAAACCTACTGTTCAAACCACCCACCCGGCTGCGTGACCCTCTCTTCTCTTAAACGTCCCCTAAACTCAAGCACAAGCTGACCCCTGCATGTACAGCAGGGTGTGGGCCGTTTGACCTGACCTCTCCTGGGTGATTTGTGAGTCACATTATACTGTATGTGAGAGGGTGAAGGTGCCTCCTACAGTAAAGGTGCGGACTGGGTTCTTGTCCTCTCCCTCGCAGATGAACTTGGCTCTGCGGCGGGTCAGGCGCAGCTCCTCAATCCTCGGGGGCTTCACAAACACCACAAATGGTCTGTACTCTGCAGTGTACACGCACTTTATGTTCTGTAATGAGAGAAGGATGTAACAGTACCATAACCCTAAACAGCAAAGTCCTACTCTACAAAAACCTTACATTACAGCATTGCTTTGAGTAACCAAGCCCTAATTGTAAACACATACACTTGGATGCATGTCCAAAAGGCACACTTTGCTGTCTGCCAAGACTCGGTTGACTGAGTCTAGACTTGACCCGTAGTAATGTCCCTTGTAGCGTCCATATTCAATAAACCTTTGAAAAAAAATAAAAAGCATATGTCAGATGAAACAGTTAAAGCTGGAGTACCTAACTTCAGAACCACAAAAAAGAAACAATTTAACAAAATCCATGTACAGTAAGTAGTTCATCACTCTAAAAAAACTCTCAAACTACTGTACATTACTGAACCTTAAGACCCCCTACAATCCACCTCGCAGACCTTGATCCTCGGGCAGGTCCCGGTTGGCCGTTCCAAGGTCGAGGGCTCAGAACGAAGGAGTATATTGTATTTGTTTGGTCTTTCTTATTGTGTGCTGTCTTTCTGCTTTATTCTCCTGTTTTTTATGCAGGTTTTATTGTTTTATACTGGCTGTGCAGCACTTTGTTAACACTGTTTTAAAACGGCCAAGAAATAACAATTTCGGCTTCATCTTTTTTGTTGTCTGATTTGAAACAAAAAAGTAAAGTATTCCAGCTTTAACAAAACAAAGTCTTTAGGACTCTTGACCTGTGAAGGAGAATGTCCTCTTCGAACTTGTGTAGTGGCACAAAGTGATAGTCAACCCCATCTGTTTCTTGTTGTTTCCTCTCTCGTGTTGTATCTGATTAAAAGTAATAGTTTTAACACTGGAATTGAAGGACAAAAGAAGCCCATTTAGACTTACAGGGCACGGTCACAGCATAGCAGTCCGGGTCGGAGATCAGCAGCCTCTTCTTCAACTCACTGACGCCAACGCCACTTGGCCCTGGAAAAAACATTCAACTTCGAATGAGTGCAGTGATCTGGTGACACATCTGCCTTTATCGTTACAAAACCTACAAGGAGTCAGACAGGACCAGCTTTGATTTCATTAAGTTTTTTCATCTACAAGTGATTCTCCAAAAGTTCTTTTATATTTTGCCTGTGTATCAAATGTTCGATGCCCTCTGGAAAAGACATAGCAGTATCGGTATTGTTTTAGTGTAGGAAGTACAGGATGGAGGGCACGTACATAAAACTGTCGCAGCTGGGATTTGCTCCCAGCGTAGGATTGTCCAGATTGCATCAGACTCAGATGAAGCAATGAAAGAGGGATTCCTTACATAGCTGCCATTTCCATCACAGTGTTGCACGAGATTGATACGATACAAAATATGGGTTTACGTACGCTGAACTGATGCTTTTTACAGAGGCCCCAGTAATGGAATGAATCAGAAAAACATGCGTTTGTGTTTGTTTCTATGACATTTCTGTAACATTCAACAACTTCCAAAGCATTGTACATGGAGCCATAGTTTTGGACAGGTTGGGAAGAAAGTTATGATACTGGTTACCGAAAAATCAGGGGATAAATGCTCTTTCCATCAAACAAACATAATATTGAGTAAGCTATCTGCTGCTGTTTTAGCTATACAGGTTGTGGTTTTCCTGTCTACAAACCGCAATGCCAATAAACCCTGGTCCTAATGACGATCACTGGTCAGAGAAGAGTGGACAGTAAAAACTGGAGTTGAATCACATGCAGTGCGATTAAATAAATGTAATATCAAGCTGTTGAAACTGTTCCAGTGAAGAAGCAGGAGGAAGGGACTCAAAGCAGTAGTGTCTATTGTACGCTAACCTTGTTTTGTGCCTTTTCATTAGGAAATGATGACAAATCATGACAATGATTGAAGTAACATCAAGTCATTCCAAAAATACATTAAAATACAGTTAAAAGATTTTCAGTTCGAGATGCAAAATTAAACAAGATAATATTAGATAAAGATGGGCTATTCTTGCTTCAACACAACTAGATAAGAAACCACACATTTGTAATTGCTATCCAGAAACTATGTTGAAAGTAATTCTATTCTAAAACAAATTCCCTGTGTCTTGCTTTGTTGTGTTACATATTCATAATGTACAAGGGTGATTGCATACAGTAAATAGTAAGTACCAACAGAGTATTTTTCCCCACAGCGTTCCTACTCACTGTTGTGAGATGACATTAAAAAGGTTTTTGGCGAGGTTCGCACTAATTCCCCACAGTAAAATAGAAGCCTGCGTACAGAACGCAGGCCTGCTGCGCTGTGCTCAGAGGTGATTCAGGGGAGCGCCATTTATTCTGAGTCTGTTTACGTGTCGTAGGAAAAGATTATACCTGAACTTAGAAGAATGAATATACATTTTCATCAGTATGTTCCATTTTCTTTTCATTAGCAGTGATTTTTGGTGATTTTGGCATAAACCAGATCTCTATGCAGTGTCGTTGTGCCTATACAATGAGGAAAGACAGAAAAAGTACTTGTTGAATTATTATTATGGATATAAACGTTTTTGGAAGCAAGTGGTACATGATATGGAAAACGTACAATCCTTAGTGACAGAGTAAAAGTAAAAGTAAAAAAAACTACTGGTATTCTGTAGTTTTTCATAGGAAAAAAAAAATCAAATAATATTTTGGACAACTTTCCTGGTGAAATAAAAGTTATAAAACCTGTTATTTGTTCTGACATTGGTGATGTCTCTAGTTTTATTGAGTTATATGGCATGTGGTGGAACATTCCAGTCATAGAACCAGGCAAAATGTGGACCCTGCACCAGAAAAGCACAAAAAGCTTGACGTACCGACCAGGACCACCAGCTTGTGCCTGTCCGTGGGTTCACTGTGGTAGGGGATGACTTCGATGTAGGTTGGGGGCCTGATGGAGCTGTGCAAACCGGTGCTCCACCTCCGAGACCTGGCAACTTCTCGGGCCACACTGCCTTTCCTGCCGAGTCGGAAACTTCTCCTCAAACCAGCTGCAACAAAAAGTTTTTCTTAACAAGGTTGTTTTAGTATGGAAGAGTTATGATTTACATAATTGATTCAGCATTCAAGTGTAATTGTGTAATTGTGAATGAACATACATACAAATAATAATTTTGCACAGCGACTGTAACCTGTCCTGATAGCCCTCGTGCAAGTGTGAGGGCCACAGTTCAGCGAAAGCAATACATTCTTCATGGATACAGTTAGCTCAAATCAAGAGTGAACCTTTCATTTCACATTCAGCATATGGCTTTGTAGGTAAGACTTAAAAATACAACTAAAAGTGAAAAAAAAAACATATTAGTTAATCTAAAAACAGATTAGACAAGCTGCATATGGAGACCTCTCTGATACTCCACATGTAGTCTGTTCATTGCTATTTCCCTGCTGTCCCATTGTGTGTTTCATGACATGATAGGAACCCCTGAACCCAGCCTCTTCAACCTGAACTTGAGGACTCCTGATTCTACAGCCTGTGTCCTGAATCTATAGCCTGCCCGTTCATAGGAGTGGTCCCTCACTCACTGTGGGCCAGAGGTTTCTCTTCTTTGATTGTCAAAAAATTCCGCTATCGGAGCTGGTGAGATGGTCATTTGTTATCCAGCCAACTTCAGCTCTGTCACAGCTAATTAACCAGGGCAAACCTGGTTACCTGAAGTGACCCTCCTAAAAATTCAGACACCTCTGACCTAAGGACAGTGATGATCCGGGACATTTATGCACTTTTGTGAACATTTACTATCATTGGTCATCCCGTTCCCTATGGACCAATAGATCCTATGTGTTTGTTTTATTATTGCATTTCCTGAGTTTGAATTGTTGAATTAGGGCTTTACAAAAATAAATTGAATTGAAATTACCACTGACAAGTCCAAGTTTTCTTATACCCTTTCATAAAAGCCCTATATATAATAAAACCTAATACAGGAAGGAAATGCCCCAAGATCAGCTGTTTAGGAGAATATTAGAACGAGCCCATTTTCCCTGTACTAATACACAACCTGGTTATGCCTAATTGTTGAAGCCGACCAGAGTCCGTGAGTACAAAGCAAATACATTCAAACCGAAACACGTTGAACCAACAACCCTGGTGGTCATCACAGCCACCACCCAGCAGGAGGCCAACAGCTCCACTGACAAAACAGATTTATGCTCTGAGTTACATTAAAGACATGAGTATCTGAGAATAGCGCAGTCACGCATGGTTTGTTGTTCGTCTGTGAGCCACCGTCTGCCATGCGCCTGTGGTTTGGCAGAGCTTGCGGGGCTAACTCTCGCTCTTTCATGATGTTAACGGCTGCTAAGTGATGGTGCCAGGCCATTTTGACGTCAGCCATCATTCCGGCATGTAAGCAAATCAGTCCATTTCCTCTCTGTGGACACAAGGAAACTGGCACGCTTCTGTTCAAACTGATGACTTCACTACAAAATGTGCCGTAATGTGTAAAAGGGAGTTATGCTTGTGCAAAAACAAATATATACACAAATGAAAGAGAAAATCGCATTTTCTACAATCAGGTTAGGTCTTAAGGGAAACATGCTGTAATTGTCAGTCTTATGCACTCAGTCGTAAAAATTGAGAATATTTCTGGCACACGTTTTTTCCACTTTTCTTGAAAGTCTTTAAAGAGAAGATAAGACTCAGACAGAGAGGACTGATGCAGTGGAACACATGTTGTGAGCCCAGTCTGTGGTGTCCCTATTAAGATGAGTGGGACGATATGAAATTAAGGTTGTGCTGCCAAAACTTGACATAATACAGAGAAATGAGAACACTTTCTGCTGAAAAACGTTACTTTTACACAAAAGCACAGGAACTGCTGTAACTGCAATCTCTGGTAAACTGGTAAAAATATTCATAAGTATTTTGTATGGATTGAAAAATTCCTTTTTCTGATTTTTCTGTAATATCTTTACAAATCAAAGTAACTGTTACAGTTCAAATTAAGTTAAGTGAAGTAATAAAAAATAATAATAATAATATGTCTTTAACCATATACAGTAGTATTCAAAACATACTTAATTTTTTTTAAAGTGGAATAACTTACACTGACCTAAACCAGTAATTCTTTCTCATACACGTTTTCATACATAAATATATTTTCAAAAAACTAATATGTCCCTATGCAGGAATTAAAACATATATTTACTTGTACTTGTAAACTGATTAAGCCTGTGTATTCGTGATGCAATAACTACACATCCCGCTCTTCCCTTTTGACACAATTTGAAGAAACCCAGAGTTCAAACATTCTCTTCAGTGTTTGGCCAAAGATTCAACATTAAACACACACAACTCTGCCACAATGCATACCAAACCAATAAGCTTTATCCAGACATAAGGACCTTTTTATGATCAGCTGAAAGGCATAAGAACATTGTTTCCAATTCCCCAGATAAAGACAAATGGGATAAAGTGGATGTCCAAAGCCATGGTCCTGTTTTAGTTTTTTGCCGAAACTCTCCCAACCACAAAGCTACATCATCTCATGAACAGATTTGAACTGCTTCGAAAGCGGTTTGCTTTGTTCTTCTGCTGAATTAATGTACTGTATGATCATTTGAGAAGTCATGGTAAAATGAAACAGTTGTATAGTATCATCTTTTTCCAGTGGTTTTACCAATGTGAAAGCCGGTTATGGCGCGGTAGTCCACATCCTCCAAGACTGGGGACAGAGAAAAGGAAAGATCTTTTACATACACAAGAAAAGGGGTTAATTATTACTATAATTATATCTATCTATAGCTGTAAACCATTTACTTCAAGGAGGGTTAAAGAAGATCCCGTCACGCACTCATACATCCACCTTCACACCTCCAGACCCCTCAGGCCAGCAGTACTGCCACCCGCTGCCAGCACAGGTTATGGTCCTGGCTTACCTGCTGGCATTTAACCAGACCACTGTCATACCTTTCAACCTTTCAATGTTCTCTTCACGCCATCTTTCCATCCATACCTTGGCCTACCTCTCAGTCTACTAACCCAAATGAAACTATCAATCTCTCTTCATCCATTCCCTGCCTATATCCATACCATCTCGACACACATACATTATTCTTCGCAAGCATTTCATTTCAAACACATTACATTTCTTCCGTTCACTTTCTTCTATACGCCAAGTCTACACACATTATTCAAACTGAGAACTTAGGAACTTAAGGATAAAATACCTTTAGCATCATCTGTGGAGCATGTGGAGCAAAGAAAATAGTCAGACACAGTGCTGATCTTGACCATGACCTGGTGCACGATCCTTCACCTTTTGGGTTCAGGTGGTGGTGGTGCGAGGGGCGAGCTCAAACATGAACCATGGAAAGTCTTAAAGGAGAAATCTGTTTGGGGCGTGGGGGGCGTTTATAGACACGTGTTGAAGGTTACCTGATGCTTTGGGTGTGCGCGGCCTGAACAGGGCTCTGGGTCTCTGCAAGGTCACCCTCCTGAAACAAGCGGAACAAGGGGGAGTGTGAGAACAAAGGTTTTATGGGGACTCTACATTTTAAGGGTGTTTATGTTTCTCTACTGTGGTCTGCTATATACAGTTGTATATAACATGGATCATTAATACTGTATGTATATGATCATGTTAGCAAGCAGTTAATTCCATGTTTTCATTTGAGCCAAAATGCCTGTTAAAACTGTTGAATGATCAGTATTTTATAGACAAATAAAGAGAGTATGAAAGGGAAGCTTTCTTAGACAAGAGCGGTGATGAATACTTACTACGTCCATCCATCCATCCATTTTCTACCCTTTAATCCATTTCTGGGTCAGGGGGGTGGCAATCAGAGATGCCACCCAAGTCTCATAGCACCAGCCCCTCACTGACCCTCTGCAGGTGGTGAGTCCACAGGAGGACGGCTGCTCTCTGAGTGTGAGCATAGCCTTGATCTTTCAGTGGGGGCTTTGGGCAAAGTGGGGTTAAGTGTCTTGCCCATGGACACACTTACTACGTAATTCTCCAAAATACTCGGACAAAATCTCGCCTTACTACTAAACACATGATTTTATTTCTAGGGAACTTTACTGTATACAAAGTTTGCTAGTAAGATTGTGTGTGATTTTTTGACATATTAGAAACAAAAATCTACAATAGATAAATAATAATAATTGCTCTCAGAAATGTGTCAATTCTTCTTTCTTTATATATTTATATATATGTATATAACTTTAAACAACGCACAGCAAATATGTTTTAAAAACATTCTTGTTAAAAAAATAGATATATATCCTGCAAAACTATTCAATGTAATATTGAAACTCCTGGTAGATAAAGGAAGCATACAAAGTTAACATAATAAACATATTAATGTATATAGTGTATAAAAACTGTGATTGTAGTTTGGGCTCACTAAACAAAATACACAAATTAAATGTGTAAATGCTTTTAATGCCACTGAAATGGCAGATGATTAGAGGTACATTCATGTACCTCTCATGCAGCTGTTGTGATGGAATGAGTCCGGGGCAGGACTTTCCTTCTCCCTGGTGACAGGCCTGCCACCAAGTCTCATCCTCCAAACTGACAATCTGTAATATGTCTCCTCTTTTAAAACCCACAGCAGCCTCCTTACACGGAATAGCGGGGTCCTCCTCAGGGTTATAGTCAAATAATGCCCGCACGAACAGCTGGGAAGCACATTAATTTCAACATTCAAATTATGACAAAGAAAATGTACTTGTCAGTTTTAACACGGGTAACCTCATTCTAATTCCTGGTAGTGACGATACAACCTTTCTTTTTTTGAGAAAAATCACAAAAATCTCTGACAATAATTTGCACTAATCTCTCACAAATGGTCGACCACTAAAAGTTTCCAGCTTCAACACTGACTTCATTTTTTATATAGACTTTGCTCAAGAAACATATTTTGATGTGGACTAAAATGTTTTAATATCATCAAATACAGCAATAGCTCAGAGGTTACTTGCATACAATTATAAATAAGACAATCAGATGATAACATTAATTCAAGTCTGATAAAGGTGTATGCCTCTTCAATTTGTCTGGCTTTAAATTTGACTATTGTGCGGCAAATTATTCATCCACTACAATTTGTTTCACTAAACTGCACACTTACCCACTTACATGGGAGTGTGTATCTCTAATTAAAAAAACAAACATATATTGTTCGTTTGGTTGGGACGTTATCAGCTGAGTGCAGAGAACCAGCACCTCCAAATCCGAGACCATGGTCCTCCACCAAAAAAGGTGCCTTGCAGGAAAAAGGTTCTGTATCCAGGTGGGTGGAGAAAGGATGATTCAGGTCAAAAGTACTCTTCTGCAGAGTGGCTGGGCGTCACTAGAAATAGGGTGAGGAGCTTGCTGTAGAGCCGATGCTTCTCCAAGATGAGAGGAGCCAGTTGGGGTGGCTCGGGCATCTCTTTAAAATTCACTTTGAAAGACACAAGCTTGTGTCAAGCTTGTCACACAAGCTTGTGTCTTTCAGGCAAGAGCAGCTCTAGCTGAAGTTGTTCTAGTATTATGATAAATGAAAATAATGTGGTACCGTATACTTCTTTCTATATTACTCACCTGTTTTCTTTGTGATGACACCTCTTCTCTGTATAAAGCAGGTATGATCTTAAAAGTCACTGCACCTTTTGAACAGGCCTGTAAAAGAAGAAGGTCAGGGAGAATAGAGAAAATCAGAAGCCAGTTCAGACACTCACCAGAAGAGAGAGTATTTCCTTTGGTTTTCTCTGTTCCATCGAGACGCCGTTCACTTCCATCAGCTCATCTCCTTCGTGGATCAGGCCTGCACACATAAACATACACAAAGTTCTGCAGGCACTACAGTTGGAGCAGTGTTTGTCCAACTGTTTCAGACCAAGGATTCCTTTGTCATTTAGAACTAAAAGTGGAGACCACCTACTTTGCATTATATGAGCATAGTTTCACAACATTTCTCAGTGTACTGGTCAGTGGATGCTAGTGTGACCGCTGAAGTGCATCAAAAGACCTTATAATTAGTGTTTGAGATGCGCCTGGTGGCAAATTCCCCTGGTGGCAAATTTGCCTGCAGGCGGCTGAAGGCGAACTGTGCATTATGGTTAATTTTGCGACCAAGAGGCCTCCTGAGGCAGCTGACAACATCATGACCTCTCGCTGTCATGTGGCTCCCGGTTAAATCATGGGGTCAGTCTTGGTCCAGAGGGATAACCACTCTGAGAGGGGTGGTGAGAATGTATATATTTTGTACTTTTGTGTATATATATATATATGTATATTCATACACACACACAACTTACCACTTTTATCTGCAGCACCTCCCTTCATTATCCTCGCAATGACAATGGCTCCAGTAGACTCATCCTTTTTGATAGTTGCACCCTTAAAGATATACATAACACTGTTAGAAACACAGCAAATAGCTTTGTCTAGACAAGGCATCATTGTTATCTCAACACACAAAAGTGCTGGCAACGGTCATTCAAATCAGCATTATTTTGACCAGATGTCACAGAGGAGCAAATTGCATAGAGACGAGCGTGTATTGTAGAATTCTTACAATCAGGCTGTGGTCTGGTTGTAACTGTGGAAAAATGCAGCGTTTTGGCTTTATCAAAGACAAAAAACAGTGTCAGAAAGAGGTCAGTAACTCCCAGGGTTGCGTTAAGATCAATAATAAAACATGTTCCCCATTAGTGAAGCTGTAATACTAAACAGTAAAATAATGTCCCTAATTAAACCATATTTAACCATATCCTGTGACCAAAGCAAAATAATGTATTATTCTTCTTAAGTCTCATCGAGGTCACCTTTTTATTTGTCACCATCTTGCACATAGATGATCACTGTGAAATAACCCTAAGCCTCATTTGTCTCTGCACACCTAATGCAAAGTGTGGAATTGTATTTACGTTTACTATAATGTTTTATATTCCTACATATCACGCAGACAGTTCCTAGTTGTCCAGAAAATGTTTTTGTGACCCTTACATAATCATGTAACCACACTAAACAATATGTTAAAAGTATGTTCACACAATACACACAATATATAATAGCACTTACAAAGGGCTCTTTGGTTTTTACCAAACTGACAATTTTGACTGAATCTTCTTCATCTGCCACATAGTCATCAGGTATAGGGGGCAGTGTGGGCTCATAGTCTGTTTGGGCCACAGCATCATGCACGGACAGGAGGCTCTGGAAGCAAAGCATCTGTATAAAGGCAACAGTTCTATTTAACATTCCTTATTTCCATCCTCATCAATCAAGCTATTATTTAATATTTAGTAGTGATCATTTGGTTTTTTGCACACACATATCTCAGGATTTTTAATGCCTTAATAAGGCTGCAAATTAGAGAGTTAATCCATAATGGTTCTCTGAAAATTGTGTGTGTGTGGGTGTGTGTGTGTTTTAATATGGCAATAATAGTATTTATATATTTTTCTGAAAACACTATAAGTTTGTCTCACAAAGATCTGCTCATAGTGACGTCTGGCTTTTAATATAATTTGACAGAAATAAACACTGCCTGGTAAGTATGTGAGAGGTGCTGCCTTTGAGCCAAGTGCAAACAGGTCATTATAACTCTTTAACCACTGGTCTGCTGGCTCCCCCAGTTTAATAGGCAGATTCCAGTGTGTAGTGTATGAATCTCAAATGTTGACTCATGATTAGTCCTGACTCTGGGCACCAGCAGGAGGCCAGTCCGTGTGCTTCTGTGGGAGAGGGGGAACTAGTAAGAATCTGTTCATTTCTTGTCATTGTAAAAGAGGGATGTAGGGAAAAATAGCGAGAGAATCACACTGTGATTTGGTCACAAAAGGGGAGTCTGTCAATCCCACATCTTTACCATTTATCATCTAAAAACAATCACATGATAATGATGAATAGGGTATTATTCAAAATGTTGGCTTATTGGCATATTTCCCCATATTACCAAGGATAGAGAGAAGAATGCAGTAGCTAAATAGTGTGAACAAGTGCAAACGAAATTGTCATGGAAGTCATAAATAATATTTGTTGTACCTACACATTTTATTTTAATTATTATTAAAGTGCTACAGACCTTGAAGTGGAGTTTAGACAACATCTCCATCAGCTCAGTGACTTCATCACTGCAGCCATGATGCATAAATTCCTCCATCAACTAAAACAAGAAAAACACATCCTAAAATCTAGAGCTTTGTGGATATTATTGTGGTGTTTCTTTTGCTGTTTTTAATTTTGGGTTTTGAGCCATTGTTGATAAAAACGTTATGATGTTGAAGACTATGTGACAAGTGTGGCGACAGCTAAATGGGTGCAGCCTTGACTATTGTCCGGCAGAGAAACAATTGTCGTCTTGTCAAGCGTATTACTGTAATGACTTCTACTGCTTCAAGATGTTGAGCCACACTCCAGAGACACAATGCATGAAGGTCATTAGTTTCCACTGTGAGCAAACAGAAGCCTGGCTGAGGGGAAGCAGACCGAGCCTTGGCCCATGCAATTGGTCCTGATGATCTAAGCCAGACGGAGAGTGGCTGTCCGACCATATCCACAGTAGAGTTAGTGAGGGAGGGGAGTGAGGGAGGGGAGTGCGGAGGAGCGCGTAGGGACAGTATGGAAACATCCAAATGCAATACCAATTTACAATTTGTTGGTTGATTTGGTAAATCTTTGTATTACCAATCAGCAAATAACAAATACAGTGGCAGTGACTGCTCTTTTCTTTTTTTGAAATTGACAAATCACTGTGAAGTGAAAGTAAAACTATACATGTTTTTTTTTTTTTTATATATAAAAAGTGTTAGTTACACTTGACCTTACTTTGAACATGTCCTAATGACTTCTGAGTGCTCATGCATCTTGAATCTTGCCCTAACGGTTAAATACAGCCTACCTGTCTCCTCACGATATAATTAGAGATAGTTGGCAGCTTCAGAGCTATGTTTAGAGCTCATTGGTCACTAAACAGCATCAGAAAGTCCAAAGCACACACCAGAAATGCTTCAAACTAGCAGAACAACTGGGTTAATTACTTTGTTGACGTCTTTCTCATTGCTATATTTATCACTTATTGCATTGACTTTATAACAATGATACATGTATTCATGTTCTCTTTCTGTTCATTTCATAATGTTATTGTTATTACTAATATTATTTTGAGCTGCATTTTAATGGTCCAATCTCTTTTTTGTGTCCTGTTCATAGTTTCTTGTCTTTTCTACATACTACTACTTAGTGTATGGGGACGGAGTTGATAAAGGAGAAAAATTTAATTTATTATAAAAGACACACACACACACACACACACACAGTGATAAACTACCACCCCTCAAGTAGACGGACGAAAGCAAAGGCTGCCAATCAGAGCCGTCGGTCCCTGCAAACACTTTATGTGCCATATTATGTAGCAGATGTCCTTCTTCTATCTACACTCTACTTGATAAGTTAGACAAGGCACAATTATCAATCAATTAGAAAAGTGGTTTTACTTGGTGGGGCAGTATTGCCTTGCATGAATGAGTGCATTTTGTGTGCATCCCTTTTTAGGTCTTTAAATGTTAGAAAACAATAGAATGTGTATTGATGGAGCAAACAGGTGTGTATATGATGCCACCAACCTTTAGCCTGGCAAGCTGCACCAACTTCTTTTCAGCACAAACAACATTTCTAGCTTTTCAGGCTAATCAACCTGGGCCTGTTGACTCATTTATCTAGTTTGTAAATGTTGTTCCCTTACATTAGCAGCCAGAACTTCTGCATGACCCTGAACAGGAACAGGTTTTCTCTTCTCAAAAAGCTTCAATCGCTCATGGATCTGTCAACATAAATGTATGATAAAAACACATAAACATATACATAACTTATTGATGAACATAAATATGACTAAATTGACGTGATAACATTGAGTATGCACAACTTAAGGACTAGTAAATGTCAGTTTAATGTTAATGTTAAAAAGCACAAGCAACAGCTATTACTACTAGAAAAATCCTGCAGATATCACAAAGCCTAACGTAAGGGGATGCCACCTTAAAGAGCAGGTGAATCTTTTTCTCTCTCAGCATGCTGTGGAGGAATCGGTAATCCTCTTCGCGGCCCGGCTGATTATCCAGTCCTGACATCATTTCCCATGTGGTCATTGTCCATGTGTTTTTGAATTAATCTGAAAGGTTTTTGCAAGATTCTATTATTCTTTCTTTTATTTTTTAATACATTTTACCCCTTTGTTTTTCCAATCTTACAGCGCAAGGCTTCTCCAGGTGCAGTGCAGGAGGAAGATGAAGACGTCCTACAGTCCAATACCAGTATCTCAGTGTGATTCTGTGATGGCCTCAGAGGTTTGCTGAACACATGATCCAATATGTGGCATCACTCTACTCTCACCATCACCACTATCATACCTGCTGCAGTAGCATCATGCTCTGTCTCTTCTTCTGCAGAGACAGGGAAGAGTGTCAGAGTTGATGCAATCATGGCTATAGCAAAACACAGGACATTCTTGGAGGCTTACCTTTATTTTCTTGTGTAGTGCTATAGGCTCATACATACATGATTGTGGTCGTAAAAAAATTAAAGGTTCATGGGGTATGAATATTTTTTTCAAAGTCTATGCACCTTTAAGTCACAAATGGTCATTATTAGTATACACTATATCAAGTTAGTTATGATTGAATGTGATTGTACTTACCAGATAATGAATGATGGAAAAGCAGTGTAATATTCCACTTGTGTAGAGTGAATGAAGGAACAACTGTAAAAGCGATGGCAGCAGTCTATAATTTAGTCAATATGTTAGCTCTGACCTCAATCAAGCAGAGTGATCAATAGCTATTCCAGAATACAGGAATTCAGATTGAGTAAAAGAAACAGACACCCAATTTGATGGGCGCTGCTACCACAATAGTCCCATTCTTTAACCTTCTTTTAAATGCCCAAATTAACTGAGAGAAGAAAAATGCCTGCTCTCGTCAGGAAGTAATTAAGACCTTGCTTTATATAGTTAAGTTGATGACTTACTAACTGACTTGATGCGTGTTTTATACAGGAACGGTGCTGTAAATGTTGATCAAAACTGGCCTTTGCATTCAGTAAACTGTATGTGTAATATTCAGCTGTTATCAGATATAGATTGCTCTTTATGTACATGCGTCAGCCATACCGTGGTTTTACTCTGAAGTGTGAAGCGGAAGTGGGATTCCGTTCGCATGACTGGGCCAGATCCACTTCCGGCTGTCTCCGCTGCTGCTGCTGCGTTTTCTTGACCTACATCGGCCAAGTCTACCAACTAGTTCATGTCAGAAGATACTGTGAGGGTGGTTAGGGTTAAGACCACCCGCTATGCATTGCTTCAGGTTAAGTCTAGGCGTGTAGGTGTCTGGTTGTAAGGTTAGACAAAGTGAAAATAAGAGGAAGCTACAGATAGACGACTACAGACAGGAGGCCACGGTTTCCAAACACACACTCACATCACCGCGGCCTTCATGGTGATGTATGCAAGGAAAGCGCTAAGAGTCGGCGACGGGTAAATATCTCTGAAACAAATGTGTTCATAAGAGTCTTATCTAGCAATAGTCGCATTTTGGCATGTGTGTGGTGAAGGCTATGCTCAGTGTTAGCCCCGATCACTGGTGGCTAACAGTTGGCTTAAAATTAGCATGTTTCTTTTCGTCAAAACTACTTTTAAACCTTACTCCCGTATCAAACCAACTTATTTAAATAAAGCTAAAACATCCAGAAAGCTGATCCTGACAGGTACAGAGTTTGCCTTAACGTCTGGTTAATGTACACAGTAAACTATCATCGATGACAGAAAAGCTATCGTAGCCACCGGAAGCTAATGCTATTTACGTTTAATTAACAGCGTTACGTGCATTTTACAAGTGTTAACCACTATGTCGTCCGATCTTTTTAGGTGCAATGACAGAAGGGATTCGCAGTCTTACCAGGTAAGTGTCAATTTCGGTTTAGTGCAATGATCAGCAAGTATTGTGTACTTTGAGGATAGAAATAAACAACTGTGACAATTATTTTTCTTCTTCTATAGACATTACGAGCATGTTGTTGGCAAAGCTTTAGAACAAGTATTAGCTATAACATCTAACAGCTAGAGTTAGCTATAACTTAATAATGCAATGATCAGGTGTCCTGACCAGAAGTACATTTGTTGTAAAATCAGATTATTTATTCTGTCTAGACCCACAAATCTCAGCCAAAGAGCCAATCCAGCAGCCTTCACCGCTATGACAAGATGCGTGATGGCTCATCAGACCCCACACCGCCATACAAGGTGTTGCGCAGGTCAGATGAGAGTCCTGTTAGCAGGCATGGGGATAACCCAGCCCTCAAAGCAAAAAATTCCAATCCAGTTCGAGGGAAAAATGGTGGGTCAGTCTTCATAATATTTTATTAACTCGCACGTCTTTTATACTTAATATTGTGCACATCTTTGTGGCAGGGACCAGTGGATCTCCTCAGGAGAATACTAACAACAGTTCTCATAACAGCTCTGAGTCACTTGTCTCTCAAAACAAGCCCACAGAGAAAGTAAGACCTTTTTGTTGTTTTGTTTTTTAATAGCTGTGTCTAGCAACTTTGGAAATACAATAGTATTGCAGGTTTGTCTTATATTTTCAAAAATATTTTCTTCCATAACCACACAAAACTAAATATTAAAGTATATAGATGCACAAAGGTGAGCATATTTATGCAATGGCACAGCATGTAAAGGTTTTCATGTAAAGTCTTTGGTAAACTTATGGATAGCGTTTTGATGGCACGTCTTAGAGTAGTTGAGCAATGATGAACTTTTGGCATAAATGCCATGACAAAAATAGGAATTAATATGAATGAAGAAAAATGATCCTTTATTCCCTATTAGGACCCAGCAGATGACTGGACAGAACACATCAGTTCCTCTGGAAAAAAATACTATTACAACTGTAGGACTGAGGTTTCTCAATGGGAGAAGCCCAAAGATCTACTGGAGAGGCAAGGACCATTAGAGCAATGTTTAACAATTTTATCAACATAATGCACTTCATTAATTTCTTACTTTCGTACTGCAGGGAGCAACGACAGAAAGACAAAACGGTCGCAAACAATTTCCCAAGAGACATGGACTATAGACAAGAAGCTTTGCAGGACAAAGTTGTTTCAAGTAAGTATTCTAAACGTAAATAAATAAATTATGAGCCTAGCGCTAACAATGTCTTTACTAAGTGAATTTCCAATTGTACATTGATACTAAAACAAGTACTCTCTCTAGAGACTTATTTCAACCAGTATCTAATTATTATTTACTGGTAATGGAGTCCTGAGTTTAAAGTGATAGTCTGTAACTCTAAATGAATTACACATTTTAGGAAATGTGTTAAATTGACCTCCTGGCCTTAAATATTGATATAAAATAAGTCATTTTATTAATTCTAATATTACAGGTAAGTCCCGCCTTCACTTCTCTTAGCTATAGTTCAGAATCCACGGTGCCGTCGAGGTTAACCAATCGAGTCATGCCAAGGGCTGTCAATCATCAGCGCTGATGCTCGCAGCTGCGCGCATGCGCAGTTGTTTGTTTTCACGGAGCCTCCAAATCAAGCCTCTATTAGGCTCTGGAACTACATGAAAACTGAACAAAGAATGCTGAACATCCGCGCTGAGGTACTTATGTATATACTGAACCTATATCCATAATCAGATCCTCTGCAGGTGTGTCCTATAATGTGCAATTCATCATAATAGCACTTCCGGGTTTGCCGCGATCGATGAAAAAAATGTTTTTATGCACAAAAAAGTTGTGCATAAAAACATTATTTTTTTCATTAAAACATTAACAAATAATTCTGAAAACCTCTGTGTATTAATAATGTATATGTATAATGTGTTCTCTGATTAACATTTCAAAGTGTTACGGAAACGTAGGTGTAGACCAATCAGAAAGGAAGGGGGAGGGAGCTTGCGTCGTTTTTTTCAAATCAAGTACCTCTCTCTCTCTCTCTCTGACAAACTCCAGACATTCACTTTAAAGGTTATTTAAAACATAACATTTTAAGTTTGATCTGGGTTAGTAAATTTAGAAAAAGTTGAAAAAACTTACAATTAAATGTAAATATGAACTCTTCTCTACAGAGAATTCAGGAGACCAGTCTGCGTCATCAAACTCTGGACATTCCTCTTCTGGTCAGAGTGTGACCGCGGCTCCAGCTGCTGCCCTCTCCTCCTCCTCTCTGTCTGCAGTGCAGTTGGCCCAGTCTCAGGGTCTCCTCCAGGACCCGGCTCTCCTCCATCAGCTCCTCATGCAGATGAACAATGGGACCATGGACAGGACAAAGCTTAATGAGAGTAAGCTGCTTTTCATAAACCCCTTTAACTATGCAGCCCTCTGTTAAACAATTTAATGAGGAAAATATAGTATTGTGCAATTTATTTCGGATAACAGTAATTCATTGATCTCAGTAGAGATGCAGCTTGATTGATAAATGACATGGATTTTCAAGAGTATTTAAATGGCATCTGTTTAAGAATAAAGAGCCAACCTTCAATTGAAGGTTCAATTCAGTCAAACTGAATTCAGGGGAAAGCGTAGGCAAAAGGCACAGCAACATAGACTATGTTTGTCATCCAGAAATTTGGAAAAGATTCATGTTACTTGCAAAGTTGAAGAACAAATGGGTTAAACAAAGAAAAGCAGCTGTTTCTGAAATACCATCTTGTGGATGTGATTGAGAGGCTGTTTGCAACATGAAGGATGTGAATCTGCAGTAACGGGCCGCTATGGGTACAACTCGCTGTAAACAAAGCCAAAACAGAAGTTGTTTTAGCAACATGAATTAACGAAAGGCTGTTGCCTTATTGTAAACACCCACATTGTAGATATCACTTATCCTTTCTATCACAACAACAAAAACATAGATGCTGTGATAGTTTTACAGATATCATCTGTAAAACTAATAAGGCTGAATACATTGAAAAACAGTGTGCTTCTGGAGTTTGCATTTCTCTTTCAAATGACTGGTATATATTGCTATTTACTGGTAAAATAAAAACGAACATTGGCACCGAATTGCATTTTTTCAGTACCTGTAGGAACTGACCCATTTTGGTATTGTTCAAGTGAGAACCATTTAACTGTGTGTGGAAATAGACAAGACACAATTCTAATGTGTGTTTGTGTGTGTGTAATGAGCTTTGTTTCCTTTTGTTAATATTTTAAACTGTATTTGGCTTCTAGTTTGATGTTTGTAATTTTCAACTGCCCCATTCATCTTGCGGAAGTAGACTTTCCGTAATGTGAATGAGATTGTGCTGATATGAATTCCAATTATTTGATATGACATATTAACCCTAGAAAAAAAACAAAACAACCAAGTTCTATACTCAGAATTTATTTTACTGGTATTGGTTTATGTAAGATATATGGAATAGTATTACACAGTTAATCTTTTGAGAGAATTCCAGACTACTAATAGTTCTAGTTGTGTTGCTTTAATAGAGAATTTAGAATTTCAAACTTCAACAAACTAATACTAAATGATCTATCTTTTTAATATGGATGGCCCACCTTTTAGTAATGAGTAACTTCAGTATGAAGTTTTCCATTCACGGCTCTGATTTGTGTCTGTGCTTGTGCACTCACTGTTGTGTGCCTTTGCCCGATCATCTATGTTCTATGTGAATCCATTCCCCTCTCGCTCTCCCCTTCAGTCTTGGCAGCTGCCGTCACCCAAGCTTCCTTGCGGTCTGTGCTTCATAAGCTCCTCGCTGCTGGACCTGCTTTCAACATCACTGCTCTGCTCTCAGCCGCTCAGCACTCAAACCCAGGTACGGCCTTCACTGTTTCATCTGCTACAACTACAGATGTACATGCTCTGGAAGCATACATGGAGATGCCGACCTGCTGTTTCAAGAAATGTCCTATTTATGACATGTACTATTTTTTTTTTTAAGACACTGCTTTACAGATAGTAACTGTTTCACAAATTTTTTCCCTCCAAATGTATCTTATCGGGTAACTATGAATGTTTAAGGTATGTTTGACTGATCTTTATTTTCTTAAAATCCAGTTGCAAAACCATTGAGCAGAAAATGTATTTCCGATACATAAGTTTCAAAAAAGTTTTAGGATTCACCAGTGCTGTGTTGCCATTGGGGAAAATATGTGGCTTAGTAACGAACTTAAAGTCGCACAACTTTCCCAGTGGAGGCTGTTTTTTTCTCGGGTTCATCTAAATATTGTAAGTATGACATGTGACTAACTTCACCGGTCTGCAGAGAGACGAGCTACCCCGATGCAAGAACGTTTTTGAGCATCCCTAAAAACATCTTTTTATATCGTACTGTGACCATTTCAAGCAAAGAAATAACATCTCTGACTTCGAGAGGGTAGCACCAGAAAAGTCACAAAGCACCATTTAATCAAAATAACTGCCAAAGACAAAGCTAAAATGCCACTTGAACATAATTAAAACAAAATAACACATGCTTTTATCCAACTCTCCTGAGTATAAAACCTCATCACCACTTGTTTCGTCTGTCTGGTTAAAAGGAAAAATCAGATTACCTAATTGTCAACTTTTTATATAGTTGGTTGCAAATAATCAATTAACTTGTTGCATTCCATTCCAATAATAATTATCTAACGGCTTAATGTTTTGACAATTGGAATCGTGAGACCTTCCCATCAATTCATAAAAAGTAATTACAAATCTATTTCCATTTCTGTCCATTTCTGTCCACCACCAACGTGTGAGCTGCTTAAATATAACAGTGTGATTGTTTTTTCAAAGTACTAATGAAAACCGAGTTCTCCACCTACTCCAATTTAATCCCATTGATAAAGACTCATGTAAACCTGTGTGCCACAAGTTTGGTGATGGGTATAAGGTACTCTTATTTTGTTTGGGATTAATGCATGGTCCCTTGCTACATATATTATCTATTACAGTAAACATTTTTTACAGTAACAAAGTTTTAAGTTGTGGGTATAGTGTACAAAGGATGGAGCTTCTAGCAGCTTCTCCGCAGAGTGCATAGAGACGGGACCAGCTGTCAGCTCGTCACAGCTGTTTGATACTGTCATTGAATTGAGTGAGTTTTTTTTTAATGTTCGTTTTCTTACGCCTTGTAAATGCACACTAAAGTAGATTTTGACTTGAAACAGTCAGTTCAACAGGCTTTAGGGCCGTATGTGTTCCTCTGCCGTTCTCTAGCTGCGTGTAAGGATGCTCCTGCACATTGGCTCTTTACAAAGTTTCTTGCAAAGAAATGAAGCGCGTGGTTGAAGCACTTGCATAAGAAAATGGTGACTCCCAGAAATGTCTTTTTCCAAATGCAGTGTGCAACAACTTAAACTTACACATTATGAACTGCATGCAAAAACCTATTTTAGTTGAACTGTAAGCCAGCGTCAAATTTTGATTTGAGTAAATTGTTTCGTTCCCACACACAGACACACACCTGTAAAATGGTTTCTGCGATAGTATTTGTGAACATATTCACTATTATAAGCTGAAACGGAGCATTAATCCCTTTAGAACAGGAACATTTGAAAAGAAATTAAAGACTTGTATGGGGTGCTCAAACTAGAGAACATTTGTTCCTTGTCTCATTCCAGAGGTTTACTGAACCTTAATTTTAGTGAAATCTGCCCATAATAAATATGGTATGTGTGTATGGTATGCTCTGGGGGGAATGGAGCCCAATCTGGCAACATGGTGCATACTTGAGAATTACCCCCAATTTACACCAAAGGAGACACACGTAAGGTTTGCAAGTGTTCAATTCAAACCAGAGGGGCTCATTCTACGCCAGACCTGTCCAGTTTTAAGATGTACATGCCACTTAGTGATTTAATGTGCTTTTGATACTAAACAAATTTACCTTTTATATATATATTTATATTTATATTTATTATTATATTATATTATATTAGACCATATGATCTTATGCTCTTTGGTCCAGTTTCAGCTCAGCACGCTGGTCAGTCTCCTGTATCTCTGACCGAGGCCTCCTCACCGCAGACCTACATCTCACCACGTAATGGCACTCCGCAGAGCAACCAGAAATCTGCCATGGGTCCTCCTGCAGGCACAGTCCCAGCTACACAAAACAGAGTAAGAAATCTAAATAGGGTTTTACATTTGAATTTGTTGTTCTCAATAAAGTCTTGTCTCATGTTTCAGGGCACTTTGTCTTCTGGAAAAACAAGTTCAGTTGTATCACAACTAGACAAACGTCCTGAGGATCCCAGAACTTTCCAACAAAGAAGGTGTGCTGTTATTTCTTTTAATCTTTTGAAGTGTTTTAAGTGATATGTTTTAAACTTTTGCTCTTGTTTTGTTTCAGCCAAGACGTTCAATGCTCAGGATCAAATGTATCCACTGCTGCATCGTCACACATTCCATCGAGCCAGTCGCAGGGTGACCCCCCCGCCACCTACACCCCCACACTGGCAACTTATTTTGATGAGAACCTTATTAAACATATCCAAGGATGGCCTTCCGAGAACACAGAGAAACAGGTGTTGTATTTTATTTACATGTTAATTGAATTGTAGCCATTTTATAATTAAATCAGAATCATTTTTATTGCCACGTAAGTAACAGGAAGTCACAGACTTGGAAATTGCTTTGGCTCAGTGCAACAGTCAGAAAGAGATAATAAAAATAAAGAATAAAAAACACTTCTAAGGAATAAATGTAAATTTAAAATAGAGTTACAGTTACTATTTACATTATACAAGTGCACATGGTGCACACAATGTAAGGTGACAGCAGTACAGTGAAGTAAAGTGACGTATGATGGGCAGTAAAGTGACTTTATAAAGGGCGGGGGGACAGGTTAAGAAGTGTTCAAGAGTCCAACAGCAGAGGGGAAGAAACTGTTCTTGTGGCGGGAGGTTATGGTCCTGATGGACCGCAGTCTCCTGCCTGAGGGGAGTGGTTGGAATAGTCCATGTGCAGGGTGGACCAATGCTGAACCAATGCTGCAATAATTTTAGTTTTATTTCATGTAATGAGTGGTTTGTAACACAGAGCTTGTATTTGTCAGGCGTCACGGTTGCGGGAGGATATGTACAACATGGGGAGCTTGTACATGTCCGAGCTGTGTACAGAGATGAAAAACTTGCGCTCCCTTGTTCGCGTGTGTGAAATCCAGGCTACACTTCGAGAACAGAGGTCTGCTACTCTGGCTGGAAAATGTTAGATTCAAATATTGATAATTTGTTAACAATTTTGTACATTTTGTTTTCAGAGTTTTGTTTCTGCGGCAGCAGAGCAAAGAGCTAGAGAAGCTTAAGAACCAGAACTCCTTCATGGTCTGAAGATGTGAGCCATAATATGGACGTCAGTGATCTGAAAGTACGGACTACAACCTGTTCAGCCACATGCAGAACAGAAAAGCCGAAAAAACCTGTAGATTTTTGTTTTGTTTATTTTAAGTTAGTTTTTCTACTGCCTGTCACATGAATTGAGACGTGATTTTTACAAGTGGATGCAGAGGACCTGAAGGCATTTTTCAGAATACATTTGGACTGTGGATTGCGTGTGTTGTTTTGGGTTTACCCATTTTCTGGTGTGTTTTGGTGTGTAGTTGTCCTATAAAGATATCTGGACCATCTAAAGAGCTGACTAACAGTTCTCCTTACTGTTTTGAAATGAATTGGAATGGTTGAATGGTAGTCTTTAATTATACTAATATTATTTTTACTCTCTTCACTTATCATTGGTTATTCTATGGCGTTTCTTTCACAGGGGATTATTGAAAACCTTTGACTAGAATTGTTTGAGTCTATTAGTACATTTCATAGATCAGACTTTTTGCCTAAATTGTGCAATGCGTTTTCTTTAGTCTTCTGATTCATTTCATAAATCTTCAGAAATCGGACCTGCACTGGTTAGTCAAAAAAATGGGGTTTTCATTTTAAAGGACCATGCCTGAATCCACGCTTTTTTGTTTTTGTTTCTTCCAAGGAGAATTTGAGACTAGTTTCATTCCATTTTCGCAGCGTTGCAAGAGATCGCTGTGAGTTGGGAGTCAGCTGAATTATTGTTGCACACGTCCTCATAGCCAGATGCAAAACATGGGTGGAAAGACTAGCTGAAATGAAATGTTATTTAACTAATGAATTCAGCTGTATAGACTAAAGCCCCACTTTATGACTAGGGATAGGCTTTTATATAAATTTGACTCATACACTTAAATCTACTCTTTTTGCTGTCTGCACATTTTGGGAGGGGATGGGGGAACATAAGGGGGCTTTGTATTCCATTAAATATGAGAATAAATATTATACCACTCTGCTTGATTTACATTTATTTAATATGGCTGTTTATTTTAAAAACTCATGTAAAGTTGGTCGGCCCCGTGTTACAATTCAAGTTTGACCACAAGGGGGTGATGCTGAGACACTGAGTCTCGTGAAACTAACATCTGTCTACACACAGATGACAGGGTATGGGTTTATCATGCCTTGGAATCTGAGAACGTTTCCCACCTGTTATCTTTTTAAGAATTATCTCTAAGTTACTCATAGCCATGTTTTTTTTCTTCACACGGATCACTTTTCACAGTGATGAGAGTAATAATGACTTGGCTCACTTTCTTTTATATGATTTATGACTGCTTTTGAAGCTAATTACAAGTAGAGTTTATTTCATTAAGGTCTTGAGAAATCTGCAGCCATTTATTTTGTCCTTACACTGTTGACTCTTCATGGTAATTCTATGATTAATCCACTTATATCTGGGTACGTGTCCAGACTGGCAATCCCAGTTAGTTTACAGAAATTTAAGCATACAATTGCATGTTCATAATCTTAACATGTTTAAACTGGTACATATGCTTGTCTGTAAACGGATAAATAGTGCAGTCTGCCAAATAGCCACTAGATGTAGCCAAAAAGGGGATTTTTTTTTATTTTATTTTGTTCTTAATTTTGCACCTTAAAACTTTTTCAGCTTAAAAGGTTTTGTTTCTTATATGTCTAACTAAATCATTAAACATGGACCCCTCATATATGGGCCTTTTGAACCATGTAGGTTTAGACTTTGCTCAGGAGAGGCTCACTTCGCTCCATCAATCCTCCTCGGATAGGGTTCATCTGCCCAGAACATCTTTCAATCAATACTTGTGCTACACTTTTTATTGATAATACCCATCATTTCAGGACTTCGATCTCTCACTGACCATTGCGAGGGGGCAGAGGTCACCCATCTCTCCTGGGTTGGGACATTCTCTCTGGGGGACTCCAGCTCATCTGTCAGCCTGGGTTGGTATAGGCCCCAGTCTGCTGTCCTTGGTGTAACCGCACTGATTACCTGTCATGAGATATTTATGGCTGTCACTGTAGCATGTGTATTTATAGGCTGCTGTCTCCTTTGAACCAGAAGACCTTTCTGTGTTTCAAGCATTTAACCAGTCATCTCCTCACTCTTTAATTAGCCGTATTGCCCTAGACAGTTCACCTTTAGCTTTGTCTTTCAAGTGTGCTTTCCCATTGTTGTATACACAAAGATCATTTTTGTTTATTTCCTCCCACGCAGCTTCTTACCCAAAGGCCTTGTCAAAGTGACCACTGTTGTGTCTAGTTATCCCTGACCTATGTAAATAGTTACTAGGTGAATGTCTGGAAAAAAGTTGCTCTTGGCAAAATTGTTGATCGGCAACCCCAAAGCACAACAGTGATTTAATTTTAAACAAGTTAATGCATATGCGTTTCATTAGTTTAAAAGAACTAATCAAGATTCAGATTCATTTATTTGCCATTTGCAGTAAAACCACATAGGAAAAACTGTGCAAGACTACCCCAGTGTGCACCAGACGACACACACCAGAGCTCTTGCCACGGCGCCATCTTTACGGCGCCATGCGACAAACAGTAGAATAAACAACAGAGAGCAATAACATACAGTTACACAGACAATTGGATAGACACATTGTGCTTTGTATAAACCACGGATTTTTTTCTCGGGATGAGCACCTTCGACTGCCGGCCCAATGTGGCTGTCAGAGGGGGCGGGGTCAGGGAGGGTGTGAGTCGGAAACACAATGAGGAGTGGAGGGGAGGGAGGGACTCCAGGAAAAAGACAAAAACAGGAGATAGCAAGCAGTCAGAAGCAGGAGCGGTCTGAGACACAACTTTGCTCGACGGAGGCGGAAGTAGAGACATGAATAATGATTCTCCATTATACGTTTCACAAGAGTGAATACACTTTTTCATTAGAGGCAGCGACTGTGGCGCAGTTGGTAGCACATTGGCCTTTGAGCATGAAGGTTGTGGGTTCAAGTCCACCATGAGACCTTCTCCACCACCGACTCCCTGATTTCTGCTGTTGTTGTGTCCTTGGACATTAAACCCCACTTTGCCTGAATCCCCCACTGAAAGGACAAAAAAATGCTGTCATCGACAGAGCAGCCATCCTCCTTTGGACTCACCACCTGCAGGAGGATAGAGAGGGGCTGGTGGATTTGGATGGATTTTAAGCGGAAGAAAATGGATGGATGGAAAATGGATGAATGGAGGAAGTGCTTTCTGGGGATGGACCATAACCACTTTTTTCAAAACCAATGCAAGTATGAGTACCTTGTAAGTAAGTGTAACGGATATTGAAATGCACTTTATATTTTTTGTTTACAATTTCTGGTTGTTTTTTTGTATTATTTTGACGTTTTATTTTGGTACTCAACTTTCCCTTGTTAAATGCTTCAGAGGGTGAGTTCTGTCTCTGTGAAAAAATACACATTTTCAATAATTTATCTTTATTTTCCCAATATTCACTAAGATATGTTTAGTAAGAAATGTATTAGGATACAATGAACGTACTTTTGCACAATTTCTAGCGCACATTTTTAGTTTTTCTGTACTTTTTATTTAGCTAGCTCACCATGTATTGCCATGCTCATGTGCCGTTTTCATCCCGTAGGGGGAGCCAGTGTGTCCGCTGTGACTAAAAATGTATATTTTTGGTCTGTCACAGGTATGATTAATTTATTTTTATGTGAAACATGTTTTTGTTTGTGCATTTGTACTCCAATTGATTACTCCACTACCTCCAATATATATTTATTTTATTTTTATTACATTGTTCATGTAAAATGACTGTCAACATTTGACAATCCTGTTACAATATTATTATTTGCTCCCCTCCCCCTCTCAAAAGCCACTTGACCCTAACCCTATGCTTCAGAGGAGGGAGCCAGTGTGTCCGCTGTGACTAAAAATTTATATTTTTGGTCTGTCACAGGTCTGAGTAAAGTAGTTGACGCCACATTATACTGTTATTCGTATACGGCTCGTGGATGAGTTTGCAGCCGTTACAAAAGTACTAAGTAATGTTTATTTATATAGCGCATTATACAGACCAAGGTCACCCAAAGCGCTTTGCAATGTTCAGAGTTCAGATATTGATGCCTCTTATGCTAGCAAAGGTGTTATACTCATGGATCTAGGTTATGCTCCGCGTGGTGGAGAGTTTTCAGATGTTTGATCTAGTTGCTGGTGTTATTCGTGATTGTTTTGGACCCACTTCGTGACAGTTTTGCTCTACACAACATACAGTCCGCTTTACTGGGTTCAAATCCCGGTCGGAGTAGGGCCTTTCTGAGTGGAGTTTGCATGTTCTCCCCATGTCTGCGTAAGTTTCCTCCGAGTACTCCGGTTTCCCCTACCACTAAAAACATGTACAATAGGTCTGGCATGCGCCTCCTGTACTGGTGACCCTGCTCCCATCTCTGTGTGGAGTGAGAGGACAAGTGCCCAAAAATAACAATTGTAAACCGCTTTGTGACTCTGGTCTGTGAAAGGCGGTATATAAATAAAGATTACTTACTTACTCTTGTCACTCGTTTACTTTTAAAAAACGGATACGGCCGACATGCCCCTAGCTCACCATGGCAACACAAAGGCTCACAGCTGTCCGCTGTGTGACGCTAATGTAAATTAAAAATGTGGGTATCGGTTCCCCGGATCGGGTCTAATGGTATGTGTACAAGTACAAGCCTATGGTATCGACCAGATACCCGATACCAGTATTGGTATTGGTGCTTCCCTATGGTGCTTTCCTTTAGGAGCCCAAGCAGAAGTCATCTCAGTAATCATAATATTCAAGCGGATGTGCGCTCAAATACCCTTTTTCATTGAATAAAATACAATATACACTTTGTTTGGGCCTCAAAACCTTTCCTCAGAACAGTACATACAAATGCAGAACTATTGTGCTGAACTACTGTGCATTTTCACAAGTACTTATAAGTAATGGTAAAAAAACTTAAAAGCATCAGGCAATTGTTTTTTCATTGCTGTGATCAATAAATGGGAACACT